GTACATGGATCAATCGTCTAGATTTGGTTGTAGTGCTACAAAGATACAGTAGAGCAAGATCTCCATGGGTGCAAATACATACGATGTGCTTTTTGCCAATATATTCGCCAAAGCGTTAGATACGGCAATAAGGTAAATTGGGAATCAGATCGGGGAGGGGCACGGCGTTTGTGCATAATCACCAATAGACGCCTTACCGTAATTGGTATAGACGAGAATTGTTGGGGTCCACATAAGGTCACTAAATTTTAGCCGCTAAAAATTGTGGCGGCTTATCAAATCTTCAGCGCTATCAGAATTAATCCTCGTCACGATTTCGCAGTCTTCAAACTCAGACAGGAACCTACCAATTCGAAACGAAATGATCTTCAATAGACGGAAGTGATGCTTCATCCTGCAAAGGGCCGCATAAGAAGCGCATCGACTTCGAGCTTCGTGCGGCTTGCCAATCGGGTGCATAGTCACCCTTGTCGGCCATGGCCTTCCCCATTGCTGTCCCATTTGAGGCGGCAGACCACCGCAACCGCAACCGCATCCGCAACCGCCGCAGCCCAAGCTTCTAAAGCTCCCCAAGCTCCCCAAGCTCCCCTCGATCCTCCTTCTCAAACACAAACACAAACACACATACCAAGTCTCGCCAGTTAGTTATAGATCTTTTCGTTTTTAAACCATGTATAAGAGATCTCTAAACAAAACTATAGATCCTTCTGATGCTCGAATCAACGAAATAGGCGTACAACAAGTCAGTTCCCGTATCTATGAACAGATCTTCAAGAATGGTGGCGACCCACCACCAAAAGAGCTTGTTGATCTATCCATAGATCATTTAAGCCGCCATGATCTTTATGGAAAGAACACCGACAATACTCCGCCCATTGCCTTTGATGTACCTGAACTCCAGGGCACAACTCTGGACGAGCACTTCCACAAACTCGGTATGGACTGTGCCAACCCGTTCCTTGGTATGGCGAAGGCGTTTGCAGAACGACATGCACCCTTGCGACCGAAAGAATGGGTGAGGCAAAGCGGCTGGACAAAATATTACGACGATGGTACGCCGCCAGAGAAGGTCGAGAGTCCAGATGCCGATACGCTTTGCTTCGATGTCGAGGTCATGTGGAAGGAGAGCTCATTTGCCGTCATGGCGTGCGCGATGAGCCCGACTAATTGGTATGCTTGGTTATCGCCTTGGCTACTTGGTGAATCCGAGTCGGACCGGCATCTGATTCCATTAGGCGATGCGAATAAGGACCGCGTCATCGTCGGCCATAATATTGGGTATGACCGAGCAAGAATCCTCGAAGAATACGATTTGAAACAGTCAAGAAACTCATTTATCGATACCATGTCATTACATGTTGCAGTCAACGGTATGTGTTCACGGCAACGGCCAAAATGGATGAAGCACCAAAAAGGTAGGGAGCTACGAGAAAAAATCTCAAAAGAGACAGACAACGTCGAGCTAATAAACCTATTGGCCAACAACCATGAGGACGAAGAAGAACTCTGGATTGAGAGAAGCTCGATCAATTCCCTTCGCGATGTTGCTAAGTTCCATCTAAATACCGTAATCGACAAAGCAGCTCGAGATCAATTTGGGGAGCTGGACCGGGAAGGCGTTGTCGGGAAGCTGGACGAGCTACTGGATTACTGCGCGGCAGATGTAGTCGTCACCCACAAAGTGTACAAGATCATATTCCCTAACTTCCTCAAGGTCTGCCCTCACCCCGTTAGTTTTGCTGCATTACGACATCTTTCCTCGGTCATGCTCCCTGTAAACAAGTCCTGGGATGCATATATTCAAAATGCGGAAGCAACCTACCATAGGCTATCTGATAGTGTCCAGGAGCGTCTGGTTTCCCTTGCAGAGAAGGCAGTAGAAATTAAGGACGATGCAGACAAATGGGGCAATGACCCATGGCTGAGGCAGTTGGACTGGTCTGGCCAAGAAATTAAGATGGTCAAGGGAAAGAAAAAGGGCGACCCCCCAAGACCTGCTGTTCGCCAGAAGAAACCTGGAATGCCTAAATGGTATAAAGACCTATTCAAGAAAATCGATGCGGAAATCAGTCTTACGGTTAGGACTCGAATTGCGCCGCTTCTACTTCGACTTGCGTGGGATGGCTATCCTCTGGTCTGGTCCGACAAATATGGCTGGACTTTTAAAGTGCCACTTTCAGACATGTCGAAATACGGTTCAACGCAGCTTGTTAAGTGCGACTTCTCGGACGAACCTATAGAAGCTCTAAAGAATGATAGGACTGGAGTATATTTTAAGCTCCCTCATAAAGATGGCCCAACCACGCGATGCGGGAGCCCCTTAGCCAAAGGGTATCTCCCATACTTCGAAAATGGTACTTTATCGTCGGAATATCCGTTAGCCAAAGAAGCGCTCGACATGAACGCGTCATGTTCTTATTGGATCAGCGCTAGGAGTAGAATCACGTCTCAAATGGTGGTTTACGAAAAGAATAAAGTTGAGAATAGCGAAGAAGACAGCGCTAAAAAGGACGACTATGACCTTGGATATATACTCCCTCAAATTATCCCTATGGGTACTATTACACGAAGAGCAGTCGAAAATACATGGTTAACAGCAAGCAATGCAAAGAAGAATAGGGTTGGCTCTGAGCTGAAAGCAATGGTTAAAGCACCACCAGGATATTGCTTTGTCGGTGCTGATGTCGACTCGGAAGAACTCTGGATCGCCAGCGTCATAGGAGATGCTACCTTTAAACTCCATGGTGGTAACGCCATTGGCTTCATGACCCTAGAAGGTACCAAGGCTGCAGGAACCGATCTTCACTCCCGCACCGCTTCTATCTTAGGTATAACACGTAATAATGCCAAAGTTTTCAACTACGGCCGGATATACGGAGCAGGGCTTAAATTCGCCGCTACTTTACTCAGACAGTTTAACCCTAGCCTCTCGGAGAAAGAAACGTTGGATATCTCTGGAAAACTGTATGCCACGACGAAGGGTACCAAGACAACAAGGAAAACGCTTTCCAAGCGGCCTTTCTGGAGGGGCGGGACGGAGTCGTTCGTCTTTAACAAGCTTGAAGAGTTCGCAGAACAAGATCGCCCACGAACCCCGGTTCTCGGAGCCGGCATTACCGAAGCTCTGTTGACTAGATATATTAGCAAGGGGGGGTACCTCACGTCTCGTATCAACTGGGCAATCCAGTCGTCGGGGGTGGATTATCTGCATCTTCTGATCGTCTCGATGGACTACTTGACTCGACGTTTTAATATTGCGGCTCGTCTCGCTATTAGTGTGCACGACGAGATACGCTATCTCGTCAAGGATGAAGACAAATATCGAGCAGCCATGGCTCTTCAAGTCGCTAACCTCTGGACCCGAGCGATGTTCGCCCAGCAGGTTGGCATAAATGACCTTCCGCAGGCATGCGCTTATTTCTCTGCGATCGATATTGACCACATACTTCGTAAAGAGGTTGACATGGACTGCGTGACACCGAGTCATTCAACGCCTATTCCACCCGGGGAAAGCCTCGACATTATGCAACTACTCGAGAAAGGAGATGAAGCGAAGCTCGACCCCGCTACCGTCCCGGCGAAGCCTGTTCCAAAGCCGGAGAGCATTCCGTATGAGCATAGGGTACCTGTGATGGAGGAACTGAACGCTTCCAAAGATCCTACGGACCTCAGCTTCCTAAAGGCACAGATCACGAACGACGACCAGGAGCTTCGCCAGATCATCAAAGACCAGAGGAATATTTTCGGGGAGGGGTTGGCCAGTGTAATAGTGAACAAGCCCAGGCAGAAGAAGCTAGTCCCGTATAGCTCGCAGCCGCAACTCATCCCGCACATGTACAAACCGTTTGGGGCAAAGTTCACCTCGAAGCAAGATTACGGCAGCGGGGAGCAGTGGACTTTCGAGCCCATGCCTCCTGCGTCGCTGCCTATCCGGAGGGCCTAGAATCTGAAGTGGTGTGCCATATATATTTCCCTGTGGACACAGTTTTTCTTTACATAGTAGTCACGACACTATTAAAAAGGGGGTTACGACTCGGATCTAGCATGGTCTCAAAAGGGTGGCGACAATGTATTAAAAGAGGCGTTATTAGTGAGATTACTGTACCGTACCAAGAGCAGATATGTCGTCCTCATTGGATCGTTGATATTCGAATATTACTGCGACTTCATAGATGGTATTGCATGAATGTTTTTGTGATTCTATGGTTTTAATCTTTCTTAGTCCCTGTGCTTCTAGTACTGACTGTTCCGAGTAGTATGTGTGTGCTAGATATATACAGTCTGCGAGTAATTGTATACATGCCTAATCAACACTACTGGCTAGGTACCTAAAGCAATCAAATAGATGAAGGTTTACTATGTAGTCTCATCAAGATCAAGATTCCGAGGTCTTTTACTAAAGGGACGCCAAAGAGGCACGGTTCCTAATTCGACAAATTAGGCATAGCTACCCGCTTCGTCCCGTTCATCCCGTTCAGCCCGCTACATGTCGTGCTATTAGGCGCAGCTAAATGCGGAGGTGGCAGACGCAGGGGCCACTACGTACGTACCTAATATAGAGCAAAATTTGAATTGTCACACCTTCGCTACTCCTAGCGCTCCGAGAGTGTGTGGGTGATACAAACGGGAGAGGAACTTGTGTTGTTCGTATTGATGGTTACGAATACGATTGAGCATTTATTTATTTATTTGGTCGTAAGTTTATTAACATAAGCTTTAGAAAAGAAATAGCAGTCTTTCGTTTGTAATGGTATAGGTTTACTAACCTTTATTTACCTCTAATGTACATAATATAGGTAACCACTATACAAAGGTACGCAACATACCCCTGAGTGCTACCCGATTGCCTTGGTATGTTACAGCGTATGTAGGTACTGATTAATACTGTCACTATGTAATCGTCCCAGCCATGCCGGATCGCTATTTTTAGCTGCCCTACACTATAATACACTATAAAAATTCATTTTCCTTCGCATAGGTTTTGTCCAACATTTGGTCTAATGCGGACTTGTTCAACCTAAGATCGCCATATCTCTTAGCGATCAATACTATTACTTTTGCCATGATACAGAACCTTCAAGCCACTCTGATAGGCTATGCCAGCGTTCCAGCCCTAGTAGAGCATGTAAGCACTAATGACATCACGCAGTAGCAGTGTAGCATCTTCAAGGGCCACATTCCTTTTGCCTGCCGCCGCCCGCCGGCCGTCGCATTTATAACGAGATGATAAGCAAGCAACCCTTCCTTTGCCTCGGGCCTATTGCTGCTAGGTAAAGGATGGTTACCTGTTAGTAAGCTTGTATCCTGATTTCCAATGTCTGGAGTTGTCGGAAACATACGCCTGAGTCTATGTACTATTACTGGAAATAACTCGAATCCATCCATCTTTTTCCACATCTCTACCTTACTTATCAAATCTATCATCGCGCATCTACCTACCGTCTTGGCATTGTAAAATAAGGCTGGGTAGGGCTGAGAAAACTTAGGTACCTTAGGTCCCTTATGTCTGTATAAGTCGCCTCGATATGCCTTTCCTCTCGTCGCTGTTCGAACGCGCGTCGCCCACGGGAGCTTTCAATGGAAAACCGCCCGACCGTCTACCGGCTGAAAATGGGGTGCACATATGGCGCGCTGCGGTCATCATGCCCTTCTTCACTTTTGCCTTTGTTGCTTTGAGGTTTTATACCCGGACTTATTTGTTGAGGGCTAGGAAGTATACCATCGACGACTGTACGCTGTTTCTCTGCTGGAAAGGTAGTTGGTGATATTGCAGCGCTAATACCTACCTAATACTATAGATATCGTGGCGCTGAGCATGCTCGTCTGCATCGCGCACGCCGTGCTCATGGCTATCGCGACGTACAACGGCATGGGCCTGCACGTATGGCAGTACAACGAGGAGCTCAACGCGCGGTATTATCTCTGGATCGGGATCACGTCCGAATTCTACGTCCTGGGCTTGATGGGCTTCAAGAGCGCGCTCGTCCTGCTGTACCTCCAGCTGTTCGGCGTGTACGCCAGGTTCAGGTGGGCGTGCTACGGCACCCTGTTCTTCTGCACGGGATATCTGTTCTGCAACCTCACGACCGAGTTCCTCGGCTGCCACCCCATCAGGAAGAAGTGGGAGCCGGGTTTGCCGGGGCATTGCATTAATAGCGTCGCGACGGCTACGTTTTATGGCGCTTGCAATATGGCGAGTGATTTGGTCATCGCCATCTTGCCCCTTACCATGATATGGAGGTTACAGGTGGCGTCGAAGCTGCAGAAGGTCGGGCTGAGTCTTGTCCTGAGTAGCGGGTTTGCGTGAGTATACCATCTATCGCATTGTGAATTGCGCTGATGTATAAAATTATAGTGCTTGGGCAGTGGCTGTCACCCGGTGGGGTATTTCTACGTATGACTGTATGTCCTTGTATTTCAAATCGTCATATCATATCGCTCAAGACACTGCTTGCAAGTAAACGTCAGCTGACTCTTATTTTTCTTCCCCCAGTGGTCGGAACCGAAGACAGAACGTGGTGGGCCGGCGTCAGCTTCACCTTGAGTATAATCGAGATTAACACGGGCCTCATCTGCGCTTGCGTTGCCACCCTAGGACCTCTCTGGAAACTGGCGTATGCGCAAGTCAAGGACTGGACTGGCTGGACCAGCCCCTGCAATAGCAAGGGAGAATCTTGGCCGTCCTTCGTGCGGAAACCTCCCCACAGCCAGTCCTCCGAAGAAACTAGGAGGCCGAGCGGGGCTACAGTCGGCGGACACGGGCTCCCTGCTGGTCGGGCGGGTCGTGTGGTAACATACAATGGGTCGACGCTGACCTCTAATTACGAAGACGAATATGGTCTGCTGGACGCTTCGGGCTGGCATCCCCATGGTATAAGAGAGGATAGGTCTTATAGGAGTAGGGAGGATGTATGAGATATATGTGTATTGATATCACGTCTTTGTTTGGTTATGGCTGGCGCATATTATACCCCAAGTAGCAAATGAAAACCCTGTTTTAGCATCGACTTCAGCCATCACTTTTCTTTGTTCATTCATCATTTATCGCCGCGTGGAATATTTTTTCTATCTTTGTAAAAGCTGGAGGCTCGGTGCCTTATACTACGATTGCCGGACCGACTTCTGCTTTTGATTCAGCCTAAGAATACGACTGCGACTTTGACAGTCGACTCTAGGCTTGTTTAGGATGTTGGGGTACATGATTCCCACACGATATCCACATCCACGTTCCCCATCTCACCTCAACTAGTTCTCTTTAGGCCTATACCTGGGATAATATGCTTGTGCAATGAATTGTTGTTGGCAGAGACATACGAAGGGCCGAGGAGACGGTACGTGGTGACTCCGGATTCCGGTGGAAACTGCAATATTTACTGTTGATTTGCGCCATAACGAATAAACATTGGGTTTTCACCTAGGTGGCTACTATTTTTATGTGTAAGCCGGTATGGTCCTATACACGTAACTATTTTCACGATGCTGTCGGGATTGCTATTCGTGGTCTTCGCCATCGGAGCTGTAGCAACTCCGTCTCCGCAGACCCTAGACTCCAGTCTTACGTTGCTAATTGACAATGATCTACAAGGTAAATCGTATCCTACCGACCAATTACTTCCGTATCTCTCGTCTAACTTTAACCCTAGGGGCGAGTAGCCCTGTATCCAACTCCGGGGTTTTGCTGCTAGAAGCGCGGTCGTTAGAGAACGCTGGCAAGACATGCGAGGCGGTGGGCGAACAGCTCTGGTCGCTTAAGTTAGGAACGAAAAGTATCCAAGCCAACTTGAATTATCTCAAGTATGTAGACCCCGATTTGGGTCTCTCGCAATTCTGGGTTGCGTCTGGGAACCAGTCGGCTCGGGCTATAGACATATATGGTCGCATAGTTCATGCAGAACCGGAGGCCAAGCTCCCGGTTTTATGCTCCCAGTCAGCACCATTTTCCAACGTGACGGCTCAGGATACGGGCGAGAGATGGCAGGTCACTGTGAATTCCAACAATGAATTCCTTACGGGGTAAGTATAGGCAATACTATCCTACCATATCCGGAGACCTTTATACTGATATATGTCTACTTAGGTACCGTGACCGCCTGAGTTTTCGCTTCTTAGGGGTTCGATATGCACCGCAACCTAAGCGGTTCACATATTCTGAGCCTTACGTCGGCAATGGGGGTGAGGTTTCTGCATTGGAGTATGACTCTCAGTGCGTTCAGGCAGGGAATATCGGGTCTGAAGATTGCTTGTTTCTGAATATTTGGACTACTCACATTCCAGCCAAGCCTACTACTAAAAAGCTCAAACCAGTCATGGTAAGTATTGACTTCAGTGCTTAAAGAAGACCGTTTAAAGGCTTGATTAACAATTCGGACAGTTTTGGATACACGGAGGTTCGTTTATAAACGGGGCAGCAAGCGATCCTACGTTCGACGGAGGCAATCTAGCGTCAAGGGGCGATGTCGTCGTGGTTACTGTCAACTATCGGTTGAATACCCTCGGATTCCTAGCCTTGAATGACGGTGTCACTAATGGTAATTTCGGCCTTGCTGACCAGGTTAACGCTCTTGAGTGGGTACGGAAGAATATCAAGGACTTTGGTGGTGACCCTGATAGGATCACCATATTTGGACAGTCTGCCGGCGCGGGGAGTGTCCAAGCCCTGATAGCCTCCCCAAAGTCGATCGGCAAGTTTGCAGGGGCTATACCCGTTAGCAATCTTGCCAGTAAAGATCCCAGCACGGGCTACACGACATATTACACGATCGAAGAGGAAGTCGAGGCGCTAGGAAATACTATCTTGAAGGAAACTGGTTGTGCGAATGCTACGTCTCAAGTAGACTGCCTGCGGTCTATATCACCTCATACTCTCGCGGGAGGCCTAAGCACCTTTGCTAGGTCCCCGGTTGTTGACGGGACATATCTCACATCCGACAAACTTCAACTCGAAGGGCCTACGCTTCCGGTTCGTATCATGATGGGAACCATTCGCGACGACGGCGGTCCATTCATCAGTTACCCTACGACGACGAACCAGACAGAGTATCTTACATCCCAAGGCTACGACCTGCCGCCGCCAGACCTCTTCCCAATTCCCAATATAGAGAACAAGACTTTAGCTCTGTTCAACATGGCCACTCGTCTTGTTACAGACAGTATTTTCCGATGCGGTAATCAAGCTACAGTGTTCAGCGGTCTCCGGAATAATCGATTCCACCCCGTCTACTTCTACGAGTTCAACAGGACCTACCAGCTTCCAGACTGGCCGAAGCTCGACGCCTGCGAGCCGCCCAAGACAACCTCTCGCCCCCACGGTGATCCGAACGGCGAGTATCTCAAATGTCATTCAGGCGAGCTATACTACATCTTCGGCAACCTAGCCCGACAAGGCCTGCCTATGCGGGACGAATTTGATTTATTGTTCGAACAGTTTATCCTGGACTCTTTCAGTTCGTTTGCAAGATCGTTCGATCCTAACCCCGACGTCGAGTTTCTTAAGGCTAGGGGTTTCCAGAGCACGTTAGGGGAAATCGAACGCTCGGGGAGGTGGCAGCCCTCCACCTCGGAAGGGGCGATGACAAGACGGATCTTGCAATGGCCCGGCGTTCAGGGGCCGTTTACGGAGGCGGAGCAATGCGAGTATATAGGTTTGGCTTGGGACCAGTAGGTACCTAAGCTATGTATATCGTACGTGTCACTATACAGAATAGACTTCATCAAACCACAAAGCGGGAATCTTATCCCAAACCACCCGACATTCTCCCATTCTAGAATCTAAAATGAAGGCTTATAAGCCTAAGAAACAGTAGGGGTCTTTAACAAATGCCAAAAGGTCGTGTTGGTACGGCCTGGCTAATACTTCCGCGCCCCTCCTAAGAACTACTTTACCCGCATCCTTATGCTATCCTTATGAAGTATTGCTAGGCCCTGGGGTTCGATTCCCTAGACGACCATACTTTTTTTTTTCTTTTTTTTTTCTTTCAAATTTCTGCATCACGTAAACTGATAGATTACCTATTACTTTAAAATTACTATTTAATATAATGCTTTCTATCACGCATCCCCTCCTTGAGGCAGCTTATCAATTGCAGGGAAATACGTCGTGTTGCGCGAAGCGATTCGCATCGCCAACGTAGAGCATCTATATAATAAAGAGCTTTTAATAGGCGAATTGCACAGGAACTTCGTCGCACCTCGTTGCGATTCATAATACTGAGCTATTTGGGATTATATCCTACTTTTGGAGATTCTCATAATTTTCCGTACTTCTTTACGTGTTAATTTAACATATGCCATTTTATACCCTTAATAAGTGAATACTGAAGGATAAGAGTGGTTGATAACCCCCCCCTCTTTCAGAAAAGGGGGCTCCACGCCAAGGGGCGCTATACACGTATAAGTTATGATTATCCACAACAACGCCCCTATATCATAGAAATTTTTAACAGAAGGTTGAGTTGAAGTTCTAAATATACTTCGTTGTATTCTCCAACACGTTAATGACTTGCGTTCGGAATGCCTGCTGTAGCTTCAAGTACTCTTTCGAGTCGTCTGCGGAGTTATAAGAAGATTGAATTGCCGTGGGCGATGCTGGTACTGTTATAAGAGATCTCACTAACGTGATCAAAGTCGCGAAAGTTGGAGACGAGCTCTGCTGTCTTCTGGCTAACTTTCTAAAGCGTGTCAATAGCTGCCAAAGTAAAACCTGTGATACTAAGAGGATCCATTACACACCCCCGGATGGGGGTGAATCTAAAATAAATATAATAGTGATAGGGGGTTACACGAGGGAAAGGGGTTATCAGTATGCTGCAGGCCGAGAGATTACCACCTTTTATGTTATTAATGTGAATGCAGAAGCAGGCTGAGGGCAGCTTATGAACACCATTGGTCCATATATAAATATACCTTAGCAAGGCTGTATTGAACCATGCCAATACCCCATGTCCCCGCTGTCCCGTCAGCTGGTTTGAAAATTGGGGGCTGGCTCTGAACACTTGAAAACTTCCCTTTGCACGTTATATCGACGCTATTAGGAGACAATGGAAGCGGAACGGAGGCAGATAAATGTATTCAAACCCACCCACCAGCACGTAAAGTGTTTGTTTCTCCATATAATATGGTCAACATACTGACTTAGTCATACAAGGACGAGACACTGGCCATAGCTTCGACTGAAACTTGGAATACCTTCTTGTCAAGGACGTCGGTATCCAGTCTCAGCTCTGCGGCATTCTCAAACCCTAGCCAAACTGGCCAGGTCAATGGCCTTGATGACATCCTTGACACTGTTAAAACGCTTTCTCTACGCCGTATCCCATATGAGGAGATTGAACGCCAGGATGTCGTTGGCGAAGGAGAGACCTTCGTCGTTGAGCGCTGTGTCGTGCGAAATCAAATTCTAGCGATAAAGCATTTAAAAGCCAACCTGTCGCCCGATGACAGCATATTTCGGCGCCGTATTCGATCCATCATCCTTGAGCTTCGTATTATGCGACACAAGCCTCTTCGAAGCCATCCTAATATCCTCACAGTGATTGGCTACGGTTGGAACGTGAGTATATCTAGGATTGCGCCGTATCTGCTTGTTCAGTATGCGCCTTACGGTACACTTCGTCAATACTTACAACACACCAAGTCCGAAACATCAGTGGCGCAAAAGGAGATACTGATAGGCGACGTTGCAGCGGCGACAAGCGCCCTCCACCTCTGCGGTATTATTCACGGGGATATAAAGCTAGATAACGTACTCGTGTTTCACTCGTGGGACCGCCCAGCTAAATCCATAGCTAAGATTTCGGACTTTGGCCATTCCTTGGTTGTCACTGGGAACGAAGACCCCGAACGATACCTGAAATACGTGGGCACGTTCATGCTAGTACCCCTTTCCGTCCTAAGAGTTTCGTCTAATACTGACTCCTCTTTAGATATAATGCTCCTGAAGTTCATAATCAGACGGTTTGTCCAATAGACCGAGCCGCGCTTATTAAGTGTGACATTTGGGCATTTGGAATTTTAGCATGGGAAGTATTCCTCGACGGCGATGAATATACGAATTATATCGCGAAGGTCGAACCACGGGCTGTTGACGATAGCAATGAACCTATTATAACAATTCCACATCGATTTCTAGACCTAGCAAAGGCATCGATACCTTTTTCAAAAGTAAACTTACAAGGCAGCGTCATCCGCTCGGCGTTTAATATGACCCTTCAAGTAGATCCAACGAAACGCATCTCCAATCTTACGAAACTCCCGTTTTTGTCGAAGTGGCAGTGAGTAAATTTCTGGGGTTTATGTCAAGTGTATCTAACAACTGGGTAGTTCTGTTGGAGTTCAGGGGCTGCAAGCTGATCTGGCACTTCATTTCGGCAATTCTGAATGGTCTTATGAAGTAAAAAGCCGATGTTGCCAACCGGAGTTGATGTGTACTAATATTTTATAGATGTTCCGCCCTGAGAATGGTAAAGAGATCCCATGGGAACATGAGGTACATATATATCAAGGATTACGTCGAGCCTACAACAGTTCGCACAGTCGGAACGGTGATGCTGCCTGGCAACTTGCATTATGCCAGTATCTCGGCTTTGGAGACTCTCCTAATCTCGAAGCAGCTCATCAATTAGCTTTAGCTGCTGAGAGACTTGGACATGCGGTTGCGACAACCTTCGCATCTCTTCTAGCACCACATGGTCCCTCTGAATCTTATCTTACCGAAAAGACTTATGCTGAACGAATAGTCAACTTACTTCGACAGAACAATGCCGCAACTCCATATTCGCAGTTAGTCGAAGCGTGTTGTAAAGGAGATGTCGAGACCATCCTTTACTGGCTAGAGGTAATAGTGGTATCTGATGAGACTACTGAAGGCAAATGCGATATTCTACGATTCCTATTTGCGCTCGAAGATAATCCCCAACAATCAGAGATCCTAGAACGCTTAAGTTGGGATGGAGAACAGTTACCGCTAGACCAGCCGACCAAGTCGGTATATATTGCCCACAACCAATATCCGCTACGATTATTCGGAAGTCCACTAGTGTTTGCAATATCAGTCGGCAGTATCAAGACTGTTCGTCAGTTGATCTCGCTTGGCGCAAATCCTTGCTCGAGAGCATTCGCTCCGGATCAATTTCCTGAAGCAGACCATCGCTCAAAATGGACGCCGATACACGTAGCCGTACAATACCACTGCCCTGAAATTCTATCGGACCTCCTTAAAGTTGCGTTGGCCGCCGGTTATAAGAGCGAAGTGCCGTATGGCTGTGCACTAAGCTACTCGTCTTCCCTTGAACGTATCGCAATGCATGGTAATAATCGTTATACATCGTTAGAAGCTGTTGTTTCTATTCTAAAGGAGTCAGATGATCTGCTCGCCACAACACCGAATGGAATGACAGCTCTAATGCAGGCGATAGATTTTCAGGATGCAGATGTGGTTTATGCCCTTTGTATGGCTGAGAAAAGAATAGCTATCACACCCTTCCGTGACCCTCGAAACTCGATCAACTTCACTCACCCAATTCACTTCGCAGCTCAGATCGGATCTCGGCGTGACGTTCCTGAGGTATTGCGAATTATAGAAGTTATTGCAAAGGACATGGACTTCAACAAACCCCTATACGATAATTTTGGACGCACACCTCTTCATTTGGCAGTGACCGGTCCCTCCAAGTTGGTAGCCTCGTGGTTCTTGGATAGGAATGTTGGTTTATTAAATATGGAGGATAAGTTTGGCATGACTGCGCTTCATTACTGCGGTTCAGCCGCCAATGCCAACCTGCTCCTCTCTAAAGGAGCAGACGTTAACTACACCAATAAATATGGAATGGCACCCTTACACTGGGCTTGCTATCACGGTAATCTAGACATTGTCCGGTGTCTTCTCGAAAATAACCCGCTGCTCAACCTAAAGAACAACTCCTACGGTACCCCTTTACATTGTGCTATCCTTCGGGGTTCATTAGATGTTACAATCGCACTGCTCGAGGCCGGAGCCCCTGTCAACGAGGTGGATAAGTTTGGAGTGGCGCCGCTACATCTGGCTTCGTCCTTATGCCGCTACAATATCATTCGAAGCCTCATGCAGCACGGAGCAGATATTCATTTGCTAGATCCGAAAGGTCGCACAGCGGGTACAATAGCCAAAGAATTAGGGACAATGGCGGGTATTATCGCGTCTGATATTCTAGATGATGACAGCACTGTACCGATTGAAGCCTTGTATGCCCGACGTCTAGATACCGGCTTCGAAGACACTATCATCACCGAATCCCAGGCTACGATAACAAATCCGACGCTTGGGAATAATACTAATGGATTAGAGGTAGCAGTTGGTAGATTTGAACCTCCCGACTATGCTGGACTCTTCGAGATCACTGCTGAGCAGAGCACTTTGAATGAAGAAGATGAGGATGAGCCTGAACTCCAAGAACCGGAAAGGAAGCCCGCAGAATTCATCTACCACCTTATTGAAGAATACTCATGTCCCGCCAGTGATGCTAGACATATCGCACATAAGCTCATACCAGTTCTAGAGATTGCTACGTATATCAACTTTAAGGAGATAAGCAAATATGTCAACGCCGAAACACCTTGGTTGACTATGTCAGAAGAGGCAAGTTACTTTGAAAAGATAGTTGGAGACAAGAGATCGAGGGTGTTTGAGTCCCTAAAGGGGGCTGTAGATGTTATACGGGCTCTGCGTCTTGTCCGGGAGCCCGAGGATGCTTTTGCGAAACTATACAGTACTGTTGAAGAAAGGCACAACTTCGACGACTCCATAACCTGGTATACGTACGACCGATCCATGGCGATTAGTTTGGAGCTAGTAAGACCTATCTGGGATATATGGAAGTTAGACGGCCCCAAAGTGGACTCGCTAATAGCCGTCGCTAGAATGGCTAACAAAATCGACCTTGAAGAAACTTGGGTTCACAACCCTTATTGCATGCCTCCGGATTACGTATCACGAGAAGGGACACCATCATCGCAAAACGAGGATGAAGAAGGAACAACATCATTATTACCACGGCGAGAAGAGGGCGAGGAGGAGACATCATTATCGGATAACGAGGATGAAGAAGGGGATGGAGAGATATTATTGCGAGAAGAGGAGGCGGGGAAAGGGAAAGAAATTGCAAAAGTATAAGAAGCGTTAGTTATAGGATCTTATCATACCATTCTAGCTTCCTAGAAAATCCGATCTACTCGCTTGGAAGATCATACGCAAGCGAGGGGCAGAGGCTTAGCTTTTATATGAAGCTCATACCAAGTAAATCCCTAGGCTAGTCGTGTATAAGTTTTATATTCTGTCATAATATATCCTATCATTAACTCCTAGTAATTGGAATACTATGCTTACTGTAGGATTAATTACTATACCCAAGATAGTATCATTATTATAACATAACAGTTATCTTCAACTTACTCCACGGTAATTTAATACATGTTAGTCTATGTAATCTCAAAATAGCATTAAGCCGTCGTGGATAATCATCCCGGGCTTCAAAATACAATACTCTATTATCTTCAACTCGTAATTCATCGCGATGCTATGCGAACCGCCATGCATGTGTAAACCCCCCTAGTCCCTCCTCCGCAAGTTATATCCCAGGTAGTCCAACGAGCGTCCTCAACCCCAGTATCCACCGCGGGAGTATGTATACAGTGTAAATGCCCACGGCAGCAACCAACAGTCCAGTCAACTATCGTAAAGAGTCAGCAAGCACATCCGTAGCACCAAGTCCGCAAAAAAAAAAAAAAAAAAAAAAAAAGAAGCAGGGTAAAACTAACCTTCTCAGGCCACGTGTGAAAGTAAATAGCAGTCATAAGCAACATCCACAAACAAGCCGCCACAATCCCCATCGCAAACCTCCCTCCAAACCCCAGCACCCCCTCATCCACAACCGGATGCGCCCTCTCCGCCTCAACACTCGCGCCCTTCACCGCGCCATCAGACATAACAACACACCTCTCCTCGCGGCCCCCCGCGAACCCCGCGCGATACACAACCCAACCCACCTCCTGCAGCAGGAAGAAGCTCCCCAGCACAAGCAGAAACACATGGCCGCTAATATCATGGCCACCGCTCCACCGGCCCCCCACGGCCTTACACGCCACAGCCGTGAACGCATCCGCTTTATCAGCAGAGCCCTCAGCCACCGCCTCCTCCGCGACCTCGCACTTACCGCCCGTGAAGCGGAACCCCCTATCGATGATCGCCGGGCCGAAGCACCACTGCGTGACGAGCACCCACCACGCCGTGATAAGCGCCCACCTAGCCGCAGCGTGTATTCTCCTTCGCTGCGCCCCGAGCGCCGGGTGCGTTAGCACGAAAGTCACGAACGCGACGCTGATCCACGCCCACCCGCGCTTGACGAAAAACGTGTTGAACACGTTGTCCTTGCGCGCGAAGTAACTCGGTGCCGCGCTGGGCACGTGTGAGTGGCCCGTCGGGTCGTACGGCGAGGCCCTGGTTTGCGGGCTGATGATTGAGAATATGGTGCCGAACGTGAGGAGTATCGGGAACACGAGGAGCACCAGAGTTTCGAGAGGCGTCGGTAGGAACGGCGAGTTACGTTTCGAAGGAGGGGGATACGTCGGTCTACCCGCGGTATCGTCCGGTAACGATGAAAAACCGGTTGCTTTGCTACCGGCGGCCATGTTGGCTTGCTGTCGTGATCTTAGCGAAGAGGTGATGTTGTTATCAGTCATGATAGTTGGGAGGGCAACATTGGCGTTAGAAAAGCTTTGTTGGTACTTTGTTGGTACGTGTCAACTATTGAGGAAATGAATGGAAGTAGATGAAAGCATGCGCTATTAAGTAAAATGAGAGTAGAGAGTACACACAATGAACTGCTCGAATTGAAGACTTTTTTTTTATGCGACACGTAGGTAATTCGAAGAAGTTCTATATTTCCTTGGTGAAGGGTGAAAGAAAGCTAGGTTACATCCGATGACGTTTAGTATCATACGTCGATTAAGAAGTACCCAAGTACCTAGGCATTTTTCCAAATTCTTACTAGCGTTCCAGGCTCCACAATGTGGGCATTTGTTTAAGGGGCTCTACATCACTTGCGAGACTGTCATAAAAGTACGTGAACAATAAAATCAATATTTGGTATTCATGAATACAGAGCGATTAGCAACTCAGGGTCCTATTGACCGTCACTTTCCCTCCCCGAGATACTGATAATCTCACGGGCACCAAGTACTAAGTGGTATCTCGAAATGGATCCTATCAATCATCTGAACTCCGGCCATCCTCATGGACTGGCTACCTTGATATCCTTTCCTGCCTACTCCGAATCAAGTGAAAATGTAACTATTTAAATGCCACTAGGGCCACAAGAGAAGCGAACATATAGGACTAGGGACGTTGAATGTAGGTCTTCGTCAAAATCACGCGAATAGACATCCCTGCTCATCTCAAGAATTTTTCACATGCGCCGTTTTGGATGCGCAACCACTTGAAGTTACGGTTGTAGTTCGGGTGGCGGTGCTCGTTGAATAGCTCCGAGTAGTATCACTCCTAGTAACCGTACTTCACGGTGCCTGGGAGCATACTCCCGGCGCTGTCACTGTTTGGGTGACAACAATCGTGACAACAGAGTCATCGCCACCAGCACCACCACTTGGGGTCTCTGACGGGATTGGTAGAGTGGTCGGGGATTCCACCGCTGTTGTCTCGGTACTTGCATCCACACCAGGCTGAACGTAGCTACCTGCAGGTGTGGACACTGGAGTAGCCGTAACCTGAGTCTCGGTGGCGACAACAGATGAACTGCTACCTGAAGGACCCGAGCCGGTGCTCGGGCCGGAACCAGAGCCTGACGTTGGGAGAACTGTGTCAGTACCGGATGGGACTATTCCTGAGGCTGACGTCGAAGTTTCGGCGGGAGCCGTGGTTGAGCCCTCTCCGGAATCGCTCGGTTCCGGCTGGTTTCCTGATACAGCATTGACTTCGAACTTAGCGACAGCGGCACAGAAGTTGTTTCTGTTGTCCTTGTCAAGAGCAGCCGATTTACCGTCGACGGTAATCATGTTTACCGAGGCCTTGGTGCTAATACCAAGGAGGTGGACTCCAGTAGAGTCCTCGATACTGATCATGTTATCCTGGCAGTTTTGTTTGTCTACGCATTTTTGGTCATAGTTGTCGAAGAAGCTGTACAGACCAGCGCCATAGATATATACCGACGACGAGTTCGTGACGCGAAGACCCCAAGTGCGAGCACATTTTTTCGAAGAGCCGTCACAGGACTTCGAAAAATCCGGATCAAAGAAGCCTTCGAGAACAGTGGCGCCGTCTGGGGCCTGGGGGTTACCTTGATAGTAGGCCGTTTCGGATTGAGCCACCCCAATGAAAACGTTCTGAGCATTGGAGACCTGATAGTTGTATAGGATACTGTGCTCCGAAGCGGTACCCCAAAGCCATACAGGCTTTTGCGACTCGATGAGCACACCACGACCATTGAAAATGTTGATCTGATTATGGTCCTCGAGATCGAGCTCGTGGTCAGCGACCCAGAACCAGCAGTTTTCGATGTAGGCCGAGGCTGTCTGCGTGACATGGAGCATCATGAAAGCGCCCATACATTCAGGGTTGGCAGTCGTCGTGACATTCTCGTTCTTGGTACACTTATCGGACTGCAACTCAGTCCCAGCAGTCCCACCAACACGGAAATGCACATCCCACATGCCGGCAGCGCCGTTTTCGGAACCAGCCAGGTTCCACTGCATGAGAATAGCACCAGGAAGAGATCCCTTTGTTTCTATGATGAGGTCGGACATCTCAACATCACCAATGTCACCGGCCTCGCCAACCTGGAAGACAGGTACCGGCTTGTTCTGGTCGGCGAATTTGGTACCTGTGGCCATGAGAAGGGGCCACATCTCTCCGGTAATCTTGATGTTCTTGGGAATCTTGACCGTGTCGGAGATTAGGTATGCGCCGTGGTCGAAATAGATGATATCTCCTTCCTTAGCACCATCGAAAATCTTTTGAATTGCAGCAGTGTCGTCGGTCTTGCCGTCACCCTTAGCTCCAGCTGACTTTACACTGACAAATTTGCTAGACGAGACGGTCTCATACTGAGGTTTGACGCGTGTGAAGATTTTTCCATCCTTATTTAGAAGAGCCTCAGGCTTGCGAACACTTTGCTTGTTGGTCTGAACAGCCTTTCCAGTCGTACCGGTGTACTGGCGACCCTGGGCAAATCCTACAATCTTCTGGTTTCCTTCAAGCACGGTAGTGTTATCTTTTGCGTACCTGATAGCGGTGGGAACAGACTCGGTCATGTCTACGTTGTCCAGGATGAGAGTATTATTGGTGTCCGGTTGATCGGTCTTGTAGAGGGTGCTGATACCGACTTCGACGTTCGAGATCTTGCTGTCGACAAGGAGCAATGATCCAACTTTGATGGAATCGAGACTGTCGCTGGTCATATCAATACCAAGCTTTCCACCATTGATCGTCACGTCTTGCATTAACCAAAGCCAATTCCATATCATGTGGATAGCTGTGTTGCAGTTATTGAACGTCATGTTTCGAGAGGTATACTGCTGACTGCCGATGTCAGCCCCGATACCTCCACCGTTGAATGTAAGATCGGCCATGAAGCCACCAGATCCATTCTCAATATACAGTCCCTTCTGCAAGTTCTCTTCGCTAGTATCAGGGTTCATCTCAAAGACGATGTTCTGCAAGCTAGTGGCCTGAGCGACTTGCCAATGAATACCAGCACCCTTGTTGAGCGGCATATCCTTGATGTCGATGATGAAGTTGCGGACTTGGCGGAAGAAGTTGTTCTGGTTGATATACCAATTCGCGGCTGGATCGACATTGTAATCGTAAGGGTTGGCATCGATAACGGCTATGCCATCAAAGTTCGCGGTTGCCTTAAGTGTTGGGATATCGAGCGCATCACCGACGAACTGAGTGTAATAAGACTGAATGATTGGTTTGCTCACTGAGTAGACACCAGGGGGGAAGTACAGAAGGGCCGGAGCGGTGGTTCGGGAATCACAGTGCATGATGCATCGATTCTGTCCATCCTGGACAGCCTTGTTGATGGCGTCGGTGTCATCAGTTGTGCCATCTCCCTTAGCACCATAATCCTTGACGTTGCGGAAAACCTTGTAGTCGGCTTGTCCGAATACTGCCACGCCCTGACGTTTGATGTCGGCAACCCAGTAGTTGGAGGCGGCATTGCCTACCTGTAGTTCGGTTGTTGCCGACGGGCCAGCCACCGCAACATCAGAAAACAGGCGGGCAGCCAAGAAAGAAACGGCAAAGAACTTTGAAAGTCCCATGTTGATAGTAGTACCAGCGATACCTATGTGGAATTTTAGACTCCTTCCACGCTTAAGGGCCAATATCGACAGTTCTATCCAAGATTAGTGATTGCTCCTCTAGGGAGGTTGCTTGCGTGACAGAATAAATGAAAGTAGTGAAGTTATAAATATGCGCACGAAGGAAAATCAAGATGATGGTTATGAATATGTACGTAGTGGGATAAATTTTGAAGGTCAAAAAAGTGGTAGGGAAGTAGAGAGGAGAAGAGCGACAGGTTAAGTAGGCAGCCTTGTATCTGCAAATAGAACCTTTGACTCTTGGCTTGATTCCTCGGACAATGGGTGGCTAATGACTGTGTTCTCGTGAATCGAGTGTTGGTGAACAATAGCGATTGTTCATGAATGGGCTGGGGTGGGACAGACAAGAGGGTAGGCTTTGTGCAGGATAACGAAGAAGTGAATTGAACGTAACGTGTTTGTGTGCAGAACAAAAGGGTACAATAAAGATGAGATTGGATCAAAGACTTACCAGTAACGATAGATCTTGCTGGTGTTTGTTGACGAACTCCCTCTGTCTAGGTAGTCAATAGGATCAATGACCTTGCCTTGACCTATCCAAGGTCGGGATAGTTAGGGTCTTTGGACTTGTTTAATAATGAACGACTGAATGAGTGACTTAGGCGAAAAGGATCGTAGGAGACAAGAGAAGAAAAAAGAGTGCCGAAAAAAGGAATCGAGAAATGAAGAATAGAATATGACTGAGATGACTGAGAGAAAAAAGGGTGATAGGAAATGAAGGGTTGTTGAGAGGGGATTACAAAAGTCACTGACAAGGCACAGGCGCTGAGCAACCAAAAAGGGCAAATATTTGATGCACGCATGCATTTATACGTACCTACCTTACCTAGGTGACTGGGTGACTAGGTGACTACCGAAGGAGTTGCCATCTGTGTTGTCATGAGGTATGTACCTACCTACGACGTACCTGCCTGCTTGCTTGCCTCTTAAACCTCTTAGCCTTTATCAATCCAAGACCCCATGTCGAGGACCCCCGGGACGTAGTTACCTCCACCTGCATAATTCTCCCTAAGCTGTGAGATTCGATCCAATTGCCCCATGGTCATGATATAACAGGTGTGACCTTGTGGTCCAATGAAATCCAATATGCATTCCCGATTTAGCAAGCACTGGCTAGCAGCTTCTGCATCTCGCGTTTTCTTTTTCAATGTAGGTTTTTAGGGTCCTTTTTATGTACCTAGGTACCTAAACTAGGCAACCATTTCTATAGGTTCCTATAATGGCTTTCAATTATTCTCATCTATCAGTCAAGATCATCATAGGGAAGATAGACCCTTGTCATTGCAATCATGTCGCTTGCCGGTGCCCACATCAGGCGTTGTTGACCCATTCTATGCCCAGCCAAGGAACGCTTCTAAGGCATAGGTCCTCAAATTAGACAGTTGAGACCTAGACTAGACTTTGGGATCTTGACAGGGCCTCAGCCGCCATACAAACTGTTCGTGAACCCCGTCCGGTATGACGCGGCCATTGGATAATACAGATCAGTGCCCCAGACGAATTTACGTTAGAATTTGAAAACGATAGGAATCGCATACATAGTGGTGAAGGAAACACAAGCTCGGGGAAAAGGATAGTAAAATCTAATAGGAGGCTAGGTACAGAAGACCCCAGTGCGATGGCCTCCGACACGTTAGATTTAAATATTATATATTTAAGTACCAATCTACAACTGCTGAAATCTTCAACGTCAGACATCTACAAATCAAATTACTATCATAATGTCTACATCACGTCATAGGTAGTATGGTTGCGGTTGTTCCTGCATATCGGTTCCCTTGGCGATCCGCCCTGGGATTGCTTTGTGGCCTATCATAGCTCAATTGAGATATCCAGCTCTTCGGTTAGGTAGGCCGGTACGTACCTCTTACAACAACACAGAATTTCCAGATATCCATGTATTTTCTAGTCATAAGAGCCACAAAATTCTTGTTTGTATTTCTATCAGATTCCTTTATCGAATAAAAACATAATAGGATAAAAGCAAGCGATTCGGTTATTGTAAATACCGTGGCAGATGGAGTACAAAGCTTCTGGGCGTTTCAGACGCGAACCACGGCGGCTATTGCTATCGATAGGACCTTAAAAGCTCTAAAACTGTAAACCTCCGGCAAACGGAGAGGATCGACTGGTCCATAGGTGTTCTGAGTAACTTCAATGTTCTTCCTCCCTTGTCCCTGTACTTACACTACGTCTTATCCGTGTAAGCATACACAATAGCAGTCCGCGAAAACATACATAGGACCGTTGGATGAGATCGTTCCTCGAGTCCAAACCGAGTTTTATGCATCGGTTACATTTCGCCTATCCTCGATATGTATGATTTAGCTAGCTAACTTCTTGGTGGAACGACACGATAACAGCTGTTACTAGGTCTACCAGGGAGGCAGGGACAAATATCATGTAAAATTCTTACTTGATTTCATGTTTGTACGTCTGTTAACTAGTGTGTATGTGCATGTACGGCGGGGATCGAACCACTCATTTTAAGCGTAATGCTTGCGTATGCCGTGGATGTGTTAGGATTAGGGTCACATAACGCTGTATGTAATATGCTTGACACGCTGAGCTGCTACACCTGTTCAACATCGCTTCTATAAATTCATCGTTGAGCAATCTCTATACTACATGTACGTTATGCATCGTCTAAGCTTGCATCGTATAAGCTTGCATCGTATAAGCTTGCATGTATCTTGCAATAAGGTATATAACGGATTTATACGCATAACTCGTCTATCGTCGGCATCCCTGATGAGATAGGATATCATTCCAGTCCTCGGTCTCAGTAGTTATTTGTCCCGCTCGAATGTCCTCAATGTTTGTTCGAGTTAGGGGAAGGGGACGATAAAGAAACTTTCTGATCTGAGCAGCACATCTAGCGAATCAATATCATCGTACCAGTGCGGCGTGAAACGGCGCCATTACACAATCAAAATTACGGACCTCATTCGATCAATCGGTTCAGCTTATCCGCCTTTCGCTTTTGCTTCTCCACATCTCCATATGCGGCATTATGTACTTAAGTCTTACCTGTCAGCATTCAGCCATTCACGACCAACCATAGGCCAGCATGTCTGCATGTTTCGAAACATGTTGGCAATGGATCTTTTTAGCAAGCCCCTGAGCCAGGGTTAGGTATAACAAGAATTAAGGGTCTGTGTTTCATCGTCCCTGGGAAGTTCGGATCGCGGGGTCGCTCTTACCTATGAAGTTCGGACCCCCACCTGCTGCTATTTTAGAGCTCCATCGGAGCCGGAGCGGTTAGACAGATTAAACTCTTTTCTTCAGCGCTTACCTTAAGTACCTAGGTACTACATTATTCGGAAAATTCATTAGGTACATTAGCGGGTAGGGGGGGTCTATTAACATAGTGTCAGCATTGGTGTAGAGGGGTGGACATAATGTCGGCCACGTAACAGTCAGGAATTAGTCCCCTAGCTAATTGGCTAATATGTACAATATGGTCACCCCGGGGGGTAATTGTATCCAAAATATAAGGATGACCAGGTCTGAAATAGCTACCGTACGTACACGATTATATTTTGTCTTAATTGTATTGCGTTTAAAATACTGATATATTGGGAAATAATAGCCTTTTAGAGATCGTCACCAACGGTAGTCACGGTCACCTAATCGACATATATTACGTACAAGACTATGTCAGGCCAGGTCATTGTCACCACCCAAGGGCCTAATAATATTAAAAAATAAAAGAATAAAAGGCCCTATAATCTAATACAAAGCCTTCAACATACTTATATATATATAACACAGGCACAGGCACATGTAAAAGTCAATTGAAAAGATTATGTCAATACGTTAAATTATAGGCTACGATGTTACGATGTTACGGGCTACGTGTTTTACCATTACACTACAAGGTTATTACAATTACGATTACAAATAATTAAAGTTTACCGTATTGCAGTATATATGCATACTTTAGGCCCTTATTTAACCTATATATACCCGGAGCTAATATTATATTGAATTCCTGACATCGTATTAAATTCCTAACATCGTTATGAACATAGTAGCTACCTGGACATCGTCAACAGGCCTGGCAATTACGGCAAAATAAACAGTACCTCTAACATAATAAATACCTTAACATACTATCTATTAGTACTAACTTGTAAATACCTGCAATGAAATCGGTACAACAAGCCTTGCAGGCATTATATTAACCTGTTGACATGGTCTTAACATGATGTCAGGGCCTGTAATTATGTAATTATACTGACACCATTGCTGACATAATGTCAATAGACCCCCCCCACCCGCTAATGTATATTTCTACTTCAACGGCTCAAGTTGACTTAACATAAGCCACAGTTTCATATAGCTATACCGGCACATTGAAATAGCGACTGGTTATACATTCGCAGGTTTTTTAGTTTGCCACTCTTCGTTTTGGACAGAGTGAACGATATATATTATATGAAAAGTGAGTGGTCATTTGGGTAATCCTATACCATGCGAAGTATGTTGTAAGGTAAGTAAAGCAAAGTTAATATATGGAGTCAATTATACTAAAGCAATTCAAGATCGTTTAGTTTAGGACAAAAGAATATCAGTTATATTCATAATCATAACCCTACTGCTTTAGTAGCCTAGGATACCAGATAAATGAGCGGTAACTATTTAACGCCACATAGCTACAGGTCAATAAACCATCCCTTTCCCATCATATGTGTACATCATTATCTTCAGAGTACAAACTATGAAAAGGGAGAACATTAAACCGATATCGCAACCTACAAGGTTATCAACCCCTTGGATACTTCATAGTTTAGTATCATGATACCATACTTACCTACCCTTGTTAGATCCCCAACTTACACCCTGCCCTGTCGACTCTTCATTAACGGCTGTATCTTCTGACCAAACGTCTCTATACCCAGCAAAAAGTCGTCGAATGTAAGCATAATCCCCTTCGTCCCTGGGACAGATGCGACTTCATCCAACATGCTCGCAACGTTCTCATAAGAGCCCACCAAGGTGCCCTGGTTGATATTCACGGATCCTTCCGGGAGACCCAAGCTCCTAGCCGTGGAGTTGGCGTCTGCGTTGACATCCTTCGACGACTGCGACTTCATCCAGGCTAACGCATCCACGTCAGCACCGTCGTTGTACAATTTCCACTTAGCCTGGGCCGCCTCGTCGGTTTCGTCGGCAATAACCATGAAGAGAACATATGAGCTGACGTCACGGCCCGTCTTAGCAGCTGCTTCGACGAGACGAGATGTCGCTTGGCCGTATGCCGTTGGGGTGTTGATTCCGGCGCCTATCACGAAGTTGTAATCCGCATACTTCGAAGCGAACTCGATTCCCCTGCCTGATTGACCGGCGGCGACAATATCCACACCCAGATCCTTTGGTCGAGGGGACAGCTTGCAGTCATCCATCTGGAAATATTTCCCCTTGAAGTTTGATACGCCTTCTTTCCAAAGCTCTTTCATGACTTGGACGTACTCGGTGGCATAGTCGTATCTGTACCCGAAGTACTCGTCGCCGGGCCAAAGACCCATTTGAGTATACTCGGCGGATTGCCAACCAGTGACCATATTGATTCCAAATCTTCCAGGCGCTACAGAGTCAATCGTCGTAGCCATCCTAGCGGTTATGGCTGGGGGTAGGGTAAGTACGGCCACTGAGGCAAATAATTTGATCTTTGATGTGACAGCAGCCAGGGCGGACATGAGGGTGAAGCTTTCTAGGTTATGATCCCAAAACTCGCTTTTACCGCCGAATCCACGTAGCTTGATCATGGAAAGCGCAAAGTCAAAGCCATAGGCCTCGGCTTTTTGGACGACCTGCTTGTTCAGCTCAAAGGTAGGCATGTACTGAGGCGAGGTAGTCGATATCAACCAGCCATTGTTGCCAATGGGGATAAAGACACCGATGTCTACAGTCGCCATTCTTGCCTAAATGGATCTTTTAGTCGTAAGGAGCTATATTCAAACGAAGGTCAACCTAAGGCGCGCCCTTCGGTAGATATTATTTAAGACGTTCATTTCTTGGGGAGTTAGTTACGGATACATAGAAATGGCCAGGTATTTAAGTTGTATGCCCTCGCGGCTTTCGGCCTGCTCTCCTTTCGACCCCGCCGTTGACTGTAGCATTATAGATAAGCCCTTGGTGAATAGTCACACGCATGAATACACCCTAAGCAAACAAGATATGGGCCTACATAAGACGATCGTCGATGATCACCTGCTCGATTTGTATGGTAGATAGATTGATATAAGTGCGTAAAAGATACATATACATGACTTATATAAAGGTAGGTACCTATATATGCGTATCATTAGAAGAGTAGGCGGACAAGGGCGATCGAAAGAGATATATATTAATAATTGTTAGGGGCCTACGCATGCCGATCCATCTCAGCTGGCATACAGCTGGCAGAGAATAATGTGCCAATGTTTTCAATGCGATGATGTAACTAACAACTTAAGACTCAGATCTTAAGACCGCCTCATATTCACTCCACCAGACTGCACCGCCCAGTCGCTACAATGGCGGAAATGACTCGCCTAGTTGCGCCGCAGAATCTCCCAGGACTTGTGAAAGCAGCCTTCGACGCGGCTCGCGTCAATGGCGACTTGACCTACTATCCGACTCAAGTCGTCATCTTGACACCTAATTCCATTCCCGTGAGCATATCCGTATATTTACCTACATATATATCTTCGCGCATAATACGGCAATAACTTACCATCCACTTCAGTTCCAACTTCGCTTTTCGCCAGCGTTGGCATTGAAACCCAAAGCCCCGAAGCCCAAAGAGCCTTATGGCAAGCCATTCAATCCCTTCGAAAACCCCTCCCCCGCTATGCTCATCGCCGACCTGCCATCGTCCCATCGACTTGTGCTGAATAAATTCGCAGTCGTGCCGGAACACTTCATCCTAATCACCAAGGAGTTCAAGCCTCAGACGCATATTCTAGAGAGCGCAGATATAGCAGCTACATACGCCTGTATCCAAGCCTACCGTACGCACGGACAGGAGCTATTCGCATTCTTCAATTCGGGTCCTCACTCCGGCGCTAGTCAGCCGCATCGCCATCTACAGCTTCTCCCCGTCGAGCGGATGAAAGACGGGCTGGAGGACGTGGATCGGGGTAGCGAGTGGAGCGTGCTAGCAGAGAAAATCGTTGAATTTGAGAAAGTACTACCGTTTAATATCTTTACTGCAAGCATCCGTCCGGACATGACTGCCGAGGAGAGGCACAGTGCGTATCTGGAGCTGTATAGAAGTGCTGTTAAGGCCACATTCCCAGACAGAGAGGTCGATGGCGAAGGTGAGGCTGTAATAAGCTATAATTTCGCAATGACAAGTAATTCCATGGCCCTCTGTCCGAGGACGGCAGAAGGCGCAATAATCAAAAACAAGTCGGGTCAAGACGTTGGTGTAGTATCGCTTAATGGGACGGTTTTGGCTGGCACTACTCTTGTTAAAAATCAGACCGAATGGGATGTTCTAAGAGAAGACCCCGATCAGTTGCTCAATGTCCTTAAAGGAATTGGTTTACCCCCTTAGCAGATATCAACGGCTAGCCAGCTAAAGAGGGAGGGGAAAGGTGCTAAATAGAAGCCATATGTTTTATTTTCTTGGTGATAGGACCTCTTTTGAAGCCCCGTCGTTGTAAGTACATACATACATACATACTAAACCTCCGGTTTCTACATTACATTAACTGCCAGAACTCTAATACACACCTTGAAGGTTCCTATCATACACACTTGAGACCAACACCCATAGTTCAGCCAACATACATACTCGCAATACCCAAAGCCAAGCAACCAAACCAGCTGAATTCATTTCCATCCCGCCTTACCCTCATCCACCAATTCCTTCCATTTCCTATGGCAAGTAGCGCCGCCAAACTGGTACGAGCCGCCATGGTCCATAATGTATTCAGCCACCTGGCCCCAGGGCGCCTTGGACGGAACCATATCGTTGCTCTTGGCTAGCTTGCGGACGGCCTTCTTTAACAGACGTATCTATACCATTCGCCATTCGTCAGTTAAACATGAAATAGGAAAAAGTCCAGAGTTTAGGAAAAACCCACATCGTTGTCTTGCCACTCCGGCTTTCTCACACGCGCCTCCTTGTCCTTGGTCAGAGTCCGGAACCGTCCTCGCAGCGTAGATTCCGCTTCGGTGAAGTTCCCCTCGAGCCGGATCTCGCGGTACGTCTTGCCTGCTAGCTTTGATCGGACTAGGAAATCGTCCTTGGCAGACCGTACTCTCTCGACGACTCTAGTGCCGCGCCCACGAGCTGGTGATCCTTCGCTTCCTTGGACGGCGGTATCCTGATGCTCCTGCTTTGGTTGAGTAGTCCGTATTTTGTGAGGCGATCGTTCAGGATCAGCGGAGAGTTGGGGCAAAGCTGGCCTCTTTCCCTTTGAAGATGACGGCGACTCGGAAGATACTAATGGTCCCAGCCGTGATCTCGCTGGTTTACTTGGAAGTTCTTTTCGTGGCTTTTGGGTCTGCCGTTGCGAATGGAACGGGCTACGGGGGTGCTGGTGTTCATACGCGGGGGTGCTGAGATCCAAGTCGCCGCCAGCAAGCATACTATTGTGGACTGACTCCGATGAGGAGGCTGGTGTTGGCGATGGGTTAATTCGCAGCATCTTGGGAGAGATGGTCGAAGGATAGCTCGACGATGACCAAGCATTTACAGGATTTTCCGGGCCGACAACAGAACTGCTAGCTTGTAGATGCCCAGCTGTGCTGCTATGTACCGCCATGGGATCGAGGGTCATCGCAGCCATGGCTTCAGAAGTTGCCGAGGATGGGGCTGAAGAGGAGAAGCTGCTAGGGCTGACTTGTATGCCTTCTAAAGGTTCCCCGAAGACGGGGATGTTGGAGGGCCAGTCGGTATTAGGTAGGCCATCTGGGTAGTCGAGATAGCTGGCCGTTTGATGACGGCCAGTCATATCGCACGTCTGCGCGGAAAATTGGCGCCCGTCGTAGCTGGCCCCGAAGTCTCGAGGGTAAGCGTTTGATGTGCGGAGGCTTGGTAGATGCATTGATTCGTTTCCAACGGGTCCTTTGTTGCGTTGGGGATGACTCGGATCGAAATCTCTTCCGGCATTTACGCCTGAGACACCAGCGGAAGTCGTTTGGGTTCCAGTATATGGAGTACTCGTATCAATAGGCGGAAAGCATTCGCTATAAAGGACCTCGGGCTGAGAGCACAAGCATGAGTATCTACTCCGATGCCACTCCAATGAGCTGCGTGACGATCTTACCATGTAAGCTTCATCCCCACTATCCGCGCCCATATTTTGGAACCAGCTTTGTTCATCCATTGCCTGCTTCAATCGTTGTTGATACACCACGCGGTTCCAGAACTTGCCTATTTCGTGGGGGCAGTTAATGAATTCTTGACGAAGGAACGCCTCTAGGGTCTTCTCTTCACATTGGCAGCGAAAGTGAGACCCAGACGCAAAGACGTCGTCACTCGGTAGAGTATTCCAGACAAGCTGGGGTGTCTTCGGGTTGATAACCATCTTGGATATCTGCCTGATATTGACGTACCCTTCTGTCATGCCTCCTTTTCCCTTCGCCCACCAGCTACACCCCCTCTTTCTCCCAGCTTTCACCGCCGCTTCTATCGGCCTTCTGCGCGAGTCTTAGGCAAGGAGGATACCTTCGACGTTCCTCTTGATTCTGCTGGTAGGCCGATGTTGGGTATGCTTGCAGCGGACCTTAGCGGTCAAGAACTTGTGTTCTTGGTAGCGATGCAGGTTTTGTGCGGCCTCCCGAATATGAGTCAGGAACCGTTCCCGCAGCTGTCCTTCTGGTTAGAACACACGGGACACGTTCTGGTAGAGAAAGTGAATAGCAGGTGCTGTAGTAGAGAGGTATATGTTTGGAAGTAAAAAGAGAACTCCACGCACTGCAGGATATTCACCGTATTAGAAAGGTAAGGAAGGGTACGCAAAGTCAAAAGGTATTGGCCTTGCAAATGGGTTATTCAGGTGGCGGTAGTTTTTCAGTCTCCAGTCTACAATTCACTGAGGGTGACAGATTCAACTAATATGCTTAGAACTGTCTGACTTATGCTGCAGGTACAGGTGGAGGATGTCGGCACTAATACTATTCATACGGCGCTCACCTTTTCCAGAATCTCGTCCATTGTTTTTTGGATACTGTCTACGATATGCGTGAGGATATTCTAAATCTAAATCTCCCCGAGCATTGATGAGGAGCGGATAACAAGGGTCGGAAGTGGAGGAGCGGGAAGCAAGTCTCTCAAAAGGATCACCAGATTACCCAAAACGATTCTGATGCCGTCTACTCATTATCATAGGTGACAATGTTCTCCTACCGTAATCTACCTACCTAATAACCGTGGCCCTGGATGGCGTCGATGAAGGTTGCCAAAGCTGTACAAGGGGTATCCCTGTGTTGCTATAGTTTTGGCTGCGGCTCTACCTGCAGATGTATGCGCTGGAGATTTCGGCACATGAGAGCATGAGTCTATTCTGCAGGGGTGAGTTCTATATGGAAGTCTCTCTACGGAAATCTCTCTACGGGATATACCTGTACCAAATGGCAAACTAGCTACATTAGAGCCGGCATATACTACTTCTAGTACCAAACGGCACAGGCACTGGCTACTTCTATATGCAAAACCACGGGCATCTGCGGATAACTTAAGCTAGTATCTTGTACACCACAACTCCTCAACACGTCTGCATATGAGGGGGTATTCTCTCAGTTAACTGGAGCCGAGCAATCCCGACGATCAGCCCCTGACTTCATTCGCCTGTTTGGTTCCTCCGTTGGGACCTGACCCTGCGTAGATGTTGACACCTGCGAGCGGGAACGCGGGATCGTGCTTCTACCGGTTTTGTAAATTTGTTCTGGGCCCATCATCCTTTGGTTCTAACGGGTTTCTTGCGAGACGCTAGGCATCCATTGCTATTCGCTCCCCACCTCGGCTTACGAGGTCCAGGTTCGGGGTAGGCAATGGGCTGCCATCTAGGCCAGCAACCGAGACACGACGAGCGAAGTCTGTCTGTCTGGGGAAGAAACGTAACTGACGAGGTCCTCTTTCTGTACCCCCACGCCCTACTCGGTCATTCTGTGATTATAACGGCGATAGTGTCATTAAAGTTATGAGGTTTCCAGCCTATCCTGGCGTCATCACAAAAATAAACTGATATGTCACTGCGATCTAAGACCCTTGACCCCGGGATCTTAGTACAAGATCCCGGCAAGGTTGCTACCCCCCCTGAGGGCTCACGCATGCAGGCGAGTACGGAATGGATTAGCTCTACATCATTTCTAGCACTAGCAATAACCGGGGAGGAAGCCTGAGAGCGGGGGTTGCAGAGGTTTTGCAGCTTCATCTCAGGATGGCCTATCATCAACGTGGGGGGCGATGATCAGCAGAGGCCATAATCTGCAAACATTACCCACAGGACTAGACAGTTGGGCCGATATCAATCACGGTATCGGATGACTCCGAAATGAGTAGCCAATGGGATTCCCAACTAATATATTAGGTATCTGCCCCTGCGAGCCATCTTACCAGCTTTCTGGGTGAGTGTTTGCCAGATGAGGTGGGTGGCCAAGCTCCTACGTTCCGATTTCCCGGTACTCGGTCTCCCCATCGCCCCTTGGCTTTAGAAAGGCAGGACCTCCACGATTTTGCTTTAAGTTGTGAGGCCCAAATCTTGATATACCGTTCGCCGCGGATCTAGGTACATGCAGATTCTCATGCAATGCAGCCCAAGAACTCACTGACCGTCAGTTCAATATAAGTCCACAAATCTGTATGGCCACGATATATGGGTATGTATGGGTATGTGTTGGTATCAACGGGTAATGCTATGTTCCGTTTGAGACATTTCTGCCAACGTTGACAGAAAACGACGATTTCTGGCTCTGTGCAACCAACCATTCTCTCCTAGGCAATAGTTTCCGTGTGAATCGACCCTCCCGCAGGCCAGCCTCCTAGACTTCGACTTCATCAGATATGATAATCTCAAGGTAGGAGGTGTACTGCCACTTGTGCCACAAGCCCGACTATTCCCATTGGCTAAATCTATTAGCAATATCTGGTATGTATCTAGGTATTTAACGATAATGTACTGAGGAAGTAACTGGCTAGCTATATGCTGTACCTAATGGTGAGGTGGAATAATGAACTCACTTGTGACAAGCGATGATCGCTATGATGAGTTGACCGGTGTGGCTGACCCGGTGACTCGTGTACCGACGGAAGATATATTTCGTGGCATTCGTATACGTCTTTCTTTGGATTTAATCTTTCCGTCTAGACGTTCACGCACTGCTCAACTAATGAAGACAGGTACACAACATTTCGAGCGCATATAACTTCGCATTTGCATGATCTAATATGACATGGCATACCGAGGAGCCTAGGCTATTGGTAGATATTTAACGCCCTCAGTAGATTCGGTTTGAAACCGGGCATTTTGAGATCTGAGATGAAATAGGGAGGTTGGTATATTAGATTGGTCTGTGTGTTATGAAGAAGTTGTTTAAGCCATCTAACTATGACATTTATTATTTGATTAACTAGTTAACTACTTGTTGTCGTTACGTTTTCTTTCGATAAGAATGAATGATTTTTTTAATAACTACATTAAAAAGATTGATTACTACCTAACTTGAATAATTTGGATATCTACCTAGATCTAGTTACTTGATATAAGAAACAGACATCAGTTTCAACATTTCCTCATCCTCATCCGGAAACTCGACGATGGATTGGCTAGATGGTTGTTAGAGAAGCTGCCGAGGCTCTGCGCGTTGTAACGCTCAAAGTCCCGTAGGTGGCGTCATGGCCCCCCTTGTCCATGAATCTAGCGTCCAAACGGTAACCCCGGCAGCCCGGAAGCTAGATTGCCTAGGTTACCCTGCCTGCCATGCTTAAGTTACACTAGTTATGTAGAAAGTGAAATCTACTATGGTAGGTACCTATGTAACTACACTAAAAAAGTACGCGGCTAAGCTTCTTGCTGCCCCAGGATTTGACGTTGCACAATGTGCACAGAGCTCCGGTCGGTTCGACCAATCGGCAGCTTTCAAAGATCCACCAAATTTCCTGAAATGGAAAGGCACAGGCAATCGGCCAAGCCTCATCTCATGCCACGCCGTATTCACTCATTTCCTAGGGCGTGAAATAAAAAAAAACTACAATCCTTCTGTTTTCTGTTGTTTTTGTTACTTTGTAACATTTTTGTAACATTTTTATTGTTGGGCAACTCAGAGTCTTCAACAACCCCGAGCTTTAAAACCGGCATCCATCAAGTCTTCAACAGACATGCCCGACGAGCCGAGTATTCATTTGTATGACGAATTCTATCCACTTATACCCGCCCTTCTTCCTCTTCCTCTTCCTCTTCTTCTTATGCCCAGTTAGTGCAGCGCCATGTCCTCCGTGACGACATTTGGCGCTGAACCGCAACCGATCCGCATCGCCATCCTGCTCAACTCATATCGTTCCCGTCTGCTTCCCGCCATCAGGGCCTCCTACGAACGAACCATCGGTACCGTCGCCCCAGATGCCAGATTGGCCTTCTACGAGCCCGCCAACAAGAGCGGCCAATTTCCCGACCCAGCCTTCTTCGATCTGATAGTATTCGGCGGGTCCAACGTCGACCCGCGCAAATCGCACCAATGGATCCTTGACGTGCATGAATACCTACGCCGCCTCGTAACCCAGTACCCCGAGAAGAAGGTCTTGGGCATCTGCTGGGGCCACCAGACCATCTCGCGCGTCTTCGGCGGCAAGGTCGTCGATGCCGCGTACCCGGAAGTATATATATCTTCATCTTCTTTCTATAATACAATCTAGATATTAACCAAAACTCGTAGATGGGTGTGGCCACTATAAACCTCACGGAGGCGGGAAGACAGTTCTTCTCCGAAGCGGCCGCCCTAGGTTCCTTCAAGCTGCAACAGCACCACCGGCGCGAGGTCGCCGTGGCGCCGCCAGCCTTTGTACAATTAGCTCAGGGTAACCAATGCCTGCTAAGCGAGAATAACATGATATTAACATTCCAGGGCCATCCTGAAAAGGATGCCGAAACAGCTCGTCTGCGTCTGCACGACTCGATGCGGTGGTTCGGATTCGATGCCTCGCTAGATGAGAAGGCCTGGATCCAGCTCCAGGAAATGGTGAATATGGAGCATGACGGCCCCGCCGTCTGGAGACGTATCTTCGAATGGCTCAAGGAGCCACCGGTCCTAGGGACCGGAGTTATAGATAAAGTAAGCAAAATGTAACGTTATTCACCAACCTTGCAATCTTTAAGCGGAGCCTTGCATTGGCCTGTTTTCTGCAATTTAAAGCGAAGCGACCAATTTGATGATACTAACAAAACAGAAGTAAGGTTTAATGTCGTTATAGTTACATGAAAATAGCATTGTCGTTATATCCTGGAGTGGCAATAGGTTTGGGGGTATGACCAATTAGAAAAGGTCCGAGGATAGCACATACTTGATAGGGAAATATATGCATACCTTTTAAGGAAGCCCCCTTATTGATTGAGCCAATCAGGCTTTTTTATAATTCCATTCAACGTAGCTTGTAACCAAGATAAAGATCGTGAGTAATATGTCAACGTAGCTAATCATCCTTTGTCTTGTCTGTATCCGCCAACTGCTACTTACAAGATAGTGGATAGGCCCCCGTTTGTGAGGAAATAAAATACCGTTTGTTTTTTCATCTTTAGAGTAAATACAAAACAACTGTTGCTTAAGACTAGCCTTATTAGTTATGCTCCTATATATAAGTTTCGCAGGTAATACAGGCGAATATGCTAACTCTATGTATCATTCGAACTATATGAGTTAGACCCAGAACGCCAAATAAATATATCTGCTTTACCAGATCTTACCCCTACTTATCTCTAAGCGGAACCAGCGCTTACCTAACTCTATAGCGTTAACATATTACAAGGTAGTATTTCATTTAGTAGTTTTATCAAATATGTCTATGCTTAACATCAACCACAAAAACGAGCCACCTAAGCCATTTTCCTCCGAACGAGATCCGAATCAACACGGCTTGTAGCCACGGTCTCTAAGACATAACAGCGAATCCACATATGAGCAATATGTATTCGGATAAGAAGTGGATCTGGCGCAATTCTAGTAAGCTAAAAGTAAATGGGACGACGTAGATAACCATGAAGAAGTGAAATATAAGTGATATCGAGATTGACTACCCAGGTACATATAGGTACTATGCATCTATTCGACGGTTTGGTATGTACTTAATTATCCTATAAGGAATTCATACAAATTGGTCAAAAGATTAAACACGAATTAGCTCGCTTCGTGCCTACAACCCTTCTAAGTGCGTTGTATTTATTATATGTGCTTCTGTTACTTGTAGGTAACCAAAGACACAATGAAGGTTAATTAAATTGAATTGTAATATTTGATTATGTACTCAGGAGACAGCAATGCAAACTATATACAATGCAATACATTACGTGTGTGAGTAAGGAAGTAGGACCGCCGCAAAAGACTGCTTCTAACACGGGAATAATAACTAGCGAATCCGAATTCCTGATCTAGGTTTTGCTTTTCTCTTTTCCATCCCCTATATTTGGGGGATCTAATATGGTTTAGTTGATGATTGGGAAAAAAAGAACCGATGAGTCTCCTTTCCCGTGAGGGACTTTAGACGCCGGGCTATGCTTTGCAATGCACAAAAAAAAAAAGTTGAGAAATAAATGCCGCTTCTCTCTGTTCCTGTTCCGTACCCTCGCATATAGAGCCTGTAGAAACCCCTCGACATAGTAAAACGGTATCGTGACAAGGAAATTCGTGAAAGCCAAAGTCGTCGACTATTGGTTGTTGCAACTGTGAGACATCCGGAGACTACTTCGCACGTTGATCGTAATTACATATTATCTCCACCAGGTATGCATGGTCTCCGTTGGTCTTACATCTTATATGAAACCGGCATCGCAAATATCGCATGCAGCTTCGTGCTTGCGAGCGCTTTCGAGCATCCTAATATCCGATACATCAGCACCGAAGTCCATAATTAGGATCTTGGCATCCTGTCCAGTGCTGACAATACGTCTGTAGTCCGACTTTGCACTCAGCACCCAACTAGCGTGCCATCCTGGAAAGTCTAACTGTTGTTGGCCCGTTTCCATGTCGAAGACCTTGATATCGGTATCGTAACTACCGCTAATGAGACGTCCGCTAATGCTGTCGATATGCAAGCTGCGCACGAGACTTTGGTGGGCTTGTATTTCTTGAAGACATTCACCCGTGTTGGCGTCCCAGATACGTATAACCTTATCACTCCCAGCAGACGCAACAAAGCGGCCATCCTCGGAGAACTGGCTACAGGCAAGACCCTTAGTGTGGCCGGCAAGTTCGCGGATCACCTTGCCGCTGTCGATATTCCAAAGCTTCACGGTGAAGTCTCCAGAGCAAGATACTAAGGTGTTCCCACGCAGTTGTACCGCGTTGACAGGTCCAGTATGGCCATTTAGTTGTTTGATTAGAGAGCCTGTGGCTCGGTCCCAAACACAGATGCTACAGTCCTTAGAGCATGTTACAATGTACTTATCATCGAATGCCAGGTCAAGAACAGCTGCGGTATGAAACTGAAGGCGTCGAACCGGTCGATATCCTGAGCGCACATTGTAAATAATACAACTTGAATCCGAAGAGCCGGTTACCAATATTTCGTCATCATATTGGAGACATAGAATAGAAGCACTGTGGTGAATTGGGAATGAGACGGTGACAGGAACCGAAGGGCTAACCGAAGGGCTCACTGATGCCTCGTTAGGGAAAAGGGCATAGTGTGTGGGGTGGCCCGTCGGGTCGAATAGAAGTGAAGAATCGTTTACGACTTCCGGCGGTCCAATGATAAGACGACATTGGAGGGTATGCATATCCCAGATTCGAATTGTCTTGTCTCGAGAACCAGTGATGATCTTGTTTCTATTTGACGCGTTAGTAAACGTTTAATTAAGTAAAGCATTAGTGTTGGGGGCTGAATTCATACTCATCGAATTGTTGGCAATAAACACTGTCTGTATGCCCGTTCAAAAAGACTGCACGTGCTTGCTTTCCTAATTTCCATCGCCCATCTAGCTCTTCTCGCGCTTTGTATATCTTCTGCCAATCTCTCTGGGAGCGAAGCGAGGGCACGCCAAAGCCGGATCCAGGCTGGACAGGGCGGCCAGTAGCGTATGTACCCGTCTTTTCTCTAAGGAAGGACTGTCGCCAGATGTGCTGATCGTGTGCTATATTATACCAAAGCTTGGAGACTCTGCTTGCAACCGCCAGCTGGGCAGCATCTAAATGAGCCAAAATTTGCACAGCTAGCTCAGGGGGTAGCTGTGCTACGAAATCCTTTCTGATTATCGGCGCGCTCTCCTCTAAATGTATATTAAGTTGAGACATTGACGTAGTGAAAGTAATTCCAATGCCGCTCTCGCGGTCATTCTGTGACTCGGCGAGCGAGACCAATTCTTGGTAGTATCGAGCGTGACCGAGAGACTCGTTCTGCAAAGCTGCCGCCGCCTTAGCTGCTGCGCCCGTGTGCCAGGGAATAATAGGGGGCTCAAGGCCGTTGCCAGGCACCGGACGGTTAGGAAACTCGGTTTGGAGAGGGGAATAAATAGTCTCTAGGGTACCGGGGCCGCCATAGGAAGTACGCGAATGTCGAAAACTAGCAGCTTGTCTCAATTTGTGCCAAGTCGAGTGCGAAGTGGTAGGGCGCATTTCGTTGCTCGCTGCAGCTGACTCGGAGACTCTGCGCTCACGACGGACGATACCCTTTATAGATAGTGATGCACGTCTGATTTTACCCTTGATCATTTCCCCGGAAACGCTTCCATTACGACTTTTACGAAACGGGTTTGCACTTGTCGGAGTGGTCGGTTCTTCCTCAATGCCCGGTTCTATACCAGTATCATGAGAGAACGACCTCGCGCTCAACGGCGTGGGATCGTGGAACATGGCGGCTAAGGGCCCGGGTTGGGCAGGGACTTTAGAGGGAGACATGACCATAGCGAAGGTCGGAAAGGGACTTCGATGCTCGAATTTGGGGAAAACGCGGATAGGTCGTCTCGGTCTGAAGGATGAGGTGGATCAAATAGCGGCTCCAGGAAAGGGGATAGTGAAATAACAGCGACAAACAATGCGAAAACTGCAAGAAGAAAAAGTAATATATTTTCAGCGGTCAGTTGAAAAGGAAAAGAGACTGCAAGAGAGAAAGAACGGATGATATGTAAAGTAAACAATGCGCCAGCGAGGCGAAAGAATGTAAGCCGTATAAAATAGCTGTAAGTGATAAGTAGTAAGGTATTGTTAAGGAAGATTTAATGTTTTTTGTGGCTGGTCAGCTACAACGAAAAAAAAAAAGGTCCAAATGCCAGCACCCGCTTTACGTTATTTAAAAGTACTCCAAAGTTACGCTAATGTAGGTTGTATGTACCTTCCCGATATCCTGGACCGCAGGGTTTTTTCTCCTTATGTACTACCCCACGCCCCCTTTTTATTGTTTTCCTTTCTCCTTTGTTCACCTCTCCTAAGACTCTTGAGTCAGGTGTAATCTATAACCGTCTATAGAAAGACGCAAAAGGAAAGAACTGCTACAGTCTAGTCATGCTGAATAGCTGCATGGTCTTTCTAGTCTATGTACTTAACACATAGGTGCACTTTATACCTAGATAGGTAGTAGTCAGGAGATAACATTACGGAGTGGAGGTACCGCATTAGGCATTGGTCTAGGTATTCGGTAAAAGACCGTGGAGTGCGGGAAAAGATTAACCAGAACTGTACCTGACTTGGTACAGTACCTTAAACCATTCCACATATATTTCTTACTCCTGCCTTTTGCAGCATCCGTTATCCTATTTCAAGTTAGGATCGGCTTGCATCCATTTGTCTAGAAGCGGTGCAGCGTTCGGTACATAGTTCCGTACATATTAAAAAAATAGTCACTACTGTAGGTCCAGGTCACTACCAGCGGAAAAGGATGATGACGAAGGGAGAAAAACGATAGGCCGATGCAGCTAGTCCGTACCTAATGTACATATGTACGGCTGAAGCAAAGGTCGGGGATCCCCGTAATACGCGGACAGGGGGCTGCTAATGGTCAGTATTCACATATTTCATCTCTAGCTTATCTGACTTGCAGTATAAGAACGACCTATAAAATAGTTAGCTCGTAGCCCTAATGTCTCTTTGTAATATAATAGGATAGTATAGTCGAATGAGATTCTGGGGTTTAAATGGAAAGCTGCTGAAGATATACCACCCTTAATGAGTACATGAGGTACCTATATGTACCATTTGAATCAAAGGGAAAGTGCGACATGTACCTGTACGTAAGAATTAAATTCAGATCAGGTACATGTACACATTCGTACCCGCGGTTTCAGGGCAGAACTTTGTCTCTACACGTGGAGGACCCTTCTTTACATAAACGTTGCATTGCACCCTTGCTTCAAATAACCAAATAGCCTTTTTCAAAAAGGCTTTTTGGATGACAGGTGCGCTTAGATGGAAATGCCATATTCAATAATTGCATTGTTAGGTACGTACCTAATGTAGGTACAAGATGCCATCCTCAACTCATAAGCCGCCACATTATCTCTCATGACGTATTCAACCATTGTACACCATTGCACACTGACTCTATTTTAATCTTCACTGTAGATACCTATGTTTTCGTCTTGCTGAGCCCCGTGGTAGGATTCCGTCAGATTCCCGTCGAATCCCAAGTCTTGCAGGCGGCGTAGGCGTGGAGCGAACGGTACGGATTCTCGGTGCCAACTAACAACCGTTGGATGCTTCCATTTGCATAGTAATTTATTTCTAGCTAGGAACGATTGGAAGTGAGGTATCTATCTAATAAGCTATTGGTTGATCACTACCTACCTACTTATCAATGATATGAACTCTTTCGAAAATACCATCCTATCCATGATCAAAGAAACAGGATAAACACCAAGGGTTATTGTCTCAACTTTAGAACGGCCACAGCAAAAAGTTTCATATCCCATCCCATCCCTGATCCCCCTAACCTAACAACACCGGAAATCATAAAACTAGAAACCCATAACCCCGTCATAACCCGTATAACTGATCCATACGTCCCATAACATCATTCGTGTGTATCGTTAAATCCTCGGCCTGTTTCCCATATTGCGAACGATAGGCCCACGGCTCCCACCGAGTGCCTGGCCGACTCTCTTTACGTGATCGCGATGGCTTCTGCGCGCCTCGGAGGTTTCCCGCCCGTCAACTCGCCACCAGGGGTTAGAGTAAGGGCTGAACGTCCGCCAGCCGTCCCCCTCTTTCGCCGCCTTGACTTCCTCGCCCCGGAGGACGACGAAATATTTGAGCACGACCGGTTTCTCTTGGCGGCGACGGAACAGGCCCTTCCTCTTGCGCTCCGGGAGTAGCTCCGTCATCCGGAACTCGCCCTCCTCGAGGACAACGACTTGCCAGTCGCGGCGGCGGAACGGAGTCCTGTTTGTTGACCTGAGCTTGTTGTTTATGACAAACTGGATTTGGTTATACACCCCCGCATTGAGACGGAAGACTCGGTTGGCGAGGTCCTGGGCGTACGATCTTCCCTTCTTAGAGCCCTTAGCACTGTATTCTCGAATAGCGTTCGCGTGCAATTCGGCCAACTCTTCCTGAGCGTAAGATGTCAGGGGTTCGATGGTCAGGAATCCGTCGTTGTAGCTCTTCCATTTGCTACCGAACTTGATGCCACAGAACGTCTTCCAGGCAACTCGGTCGATGGTACCCCCGCTATCGAGAACCATCCATGCTTCGTACACCGTCTTCGCTGGCTCGTCGTTCGAGACGGTGCTACTCCTAGTCAGATATTCGCTTATCATGGTGTTGCAGGTATCTACATATAAACGTACAACGTCTTACGCCCAGCGTGGTCTGGGCAAGATTCTTTGGATAGCATAGAAAGAGCGTCCTCGTCGATCTCCCGTCGAACTCCCGTCATGGTTTCGGCGTCTTCGCTCAATGAGGATAGAGTTGGGCTTAAAGGTGGCATTCCCTCTGGATCCACAGTCTGTTTAACCTCACACTCCAACGACGAAGCCATGGTTTATATATCAGAGGCCGGAATATTTACTTAAAGTGGGTAGAAGGTAGGACAGGCTGGAGTATACAGAGCAGAAAGTCGGAATATCAGAAGCTCACAATAACCCTTTATATATCATTGGGTCTTACTTCTGTATCCGGGGGCTACAGCCCCGGATTTTCTATGTTACGCATGTCCCTCTCGCCAAACGTAAATCGGTGTAGGTAGATGCTCTTGGCGACAGAAGCTGCCTGGAATCATGTTCCATCTAGTATATCTCGGTGCTGTGATTGGACGCCACCTGCTGCGAGCTGCCGTCCTAACATGACTAGATGGGCGATCACGGGGGTTCTGCCTTGCACGTATTATCACAAATTTCGCGATTGGAGCAGAGCTTATGATACTAAGGCTGAACATTGCTTTTCCTTCTTGACCGGTGGATGAGGTGAGTCAAATTGGTGTTTCTAGACCGATCGGTCGATTTAGGTATCATTGGACTACAGCCGACTTTAGTTGTAACCACTTCATTATGACGGTCATGCTGTCTACCCAGTCGAAGCGATATCCTACCAAATACTTCCTAGATGGGCACGATTACACGAGGAACAGTTCTATTTCACCCGGGGTGTATCATGGTGTGTTGGTATCGCAGGCCATAGATATATTTACCGTAGGGGAACAATCTGCACGTCGTAACCTCGTGTCAACCTATCCAACTCATCTCCTAATATGAAGTCCCAGTATCTTGCCATACTACTAGATTATCGTACAGCTGAAAGCTACATGGGAATATTATAGCTCCGCCAAGAACATCGATATCTCAGGGTCGGCTTCTTCATCCAGGCGCCGCTGGTCGTACTCTTCAAACAGGCCACAAGCTTCCCGTGAAACCCCGAGCTTGTTGAGCAATCCCTGGACGGTCGAGTTTTCGCTAGAAAGATAGATTGCAACATCATTCAACAAGTCTCTAAATTGATTTGGCGACAAGTCGACGCATGGTTGCATGATAGCAGCAGTGACTTCGATCCAAGCGGCGACCAAGGTCGGATGAAGTGAGCCCTGCATGTGTCGGAACTCTATCGTGTTTAGCTGGCTCCGGCGAACTTTCCCCGGGAAGTTCGAGGTTGCTGGTAGCAGTTCCATGAGACCAATTGACGCTCGACGGGACTTATTCGGTTCGCCGACTAACATCGCAAGGTCTTCTACGGTCTCAGCACGCCATAGCCACTGAACCTTTGGCTTGTCCCGGTGGAGGGATTCTCGAACACTTGGTGGGACGTTCTGCTCCATCTCATAGACCCAAATCCCCTTTCCAAGGTCCTCGATCCAACTCGGGAGCTTTGGAGCATTATCCGTTGCCATGTTCGTCCCTGTCTGTAGTAGAGCGGCATACTTATTGGCAAGCTGTCGCCAGGACGCGTGTAGTCCCATCAGATTCTCCTCTACAACCCACATCAGGGTGAGGATCCTCTTGACAGTTATCAGATCGTATTCTGCGCCACTAAGGCCCCAATGGATATGGGTGCCACAACGGCTCGAAGCAGGTCCTGAATCTTTGCCAGCATTCACGCTAACCAAGTAATTCGCGCGTAGAGTTCGACAGGTACTATCGAAGTCTGACTTCATGATGTCGAAATCATGGTATCGGTATGCTTTACTAACGAATTCGAAGCCGAGCCAGAAATGGCCTGGCGGCGTCTGGGGTCTAACAGCCATACGCTTCCCCTTCGCCGTTGGGTCGGTCCACTGTAATGATTAGAGTTAGCATTTGTTTCTTGTCAAGCAAAGACTTGAAGGATGGTTTCTGTCATGTAGCGAGAAGAACTCCTTAAACATCTAGGTATAAATCAATATAGTTGTAATAAATTATCAAGCATACTATCATAGTCTCCTCGGGAACAATGCTATTTTCCTTGTAGGAACTATACCGGAAATCATCGAAGTCCCCTAGTCGGGCGTATGCGTCGTCTGGATCCAATGCCTTGTCGTCTTTGGGATGGCCCTTTTCTCGATAGACTGTCGGTATTCCAGCACCAGCCAGCTTTTTCGCAATCTCGTTCCCGAAGTAGTGGATTCTTTCCATATGAACTTCGTGGTCATTGGAATCGTTTCCAGTCAAGCCAGATGGCTCCTCTAGTACCTGTTGAGTGGGTGGGCTATGCTTGCCATTCTCGAGTTTCAGGGGAACCGCGCCAGCCTCTCTAAAAAGAACTATAAACTCCAGCTCAACGCCAAAGGTTGCTGCGTCAGAAAATGAGTTTGTGGCTGAGGTGTTCATGATGAATATCTGAATTCAATTCTGGTTGATGCTGCTCTCTTAGAAATATGAGCTCTCTGGCTTCTTACAACCTCCATTCCTAAGGAGTAAACCCTCATCCTTAAATACAAAACTCAGGGGGCATGTTTACCACGACTCTTTAGTCAGGTTTTTTTCCTGAGAGATTTCTACAAAGTACACACGAAATAGATGATAGTCGGTCACCTTTCATCACCTCTCGTCAATATTAAGCTACCATCGGTAGTCGAACAAGGCCAATAGATGGTCTGTATAGGTACCCCAATTCTGACCGGAAAACTGGCGAAAGGTGACGAGGAATCGCCACGCAGGACGCCAACGGGCAATCACACTACCTAGTATCGATCTAACAAGTACGGAAAAGCTATACTTCCCCTCAGCTGATAGTAAGCATATGATGGGCTAGACATGTTTCCTCTCTGACATGTACGCATAACAAAAAGTCGTATTCCGCAAGCCGAAGAACCAATATCACCATCGAGGTCGCCAACAATAGCCTCGTCGACGCTTTACAACGAGTGTATATCACATGTCAGTCTCTATATATCACTTCATGTCACTTGTGACCTGAAGTGATGTCTTCCCAATCGTGCCCAACGCCTATAGACTCTTTTGTCATCCAAACGTATAGGACGTAGGATCTAAATCATGTCATATAGCCGTAATCGCAAAATGAAGTGTCCTACCACCAGTGTCACCATCATCTACTAGCTGGAACTCCGGGTATGCAGTGCGGGCCGAACCTCTCATTCAGAAGCCAACGCCGTTGTTCAATGGGCTAAGATCACGACCATGTTGCCGGTAGCTCATAGCGGGCCGTAGTCACAATCCGGACCCGGCTTATGTCACTGTTATATCACTGTTATAGAATCTTGCGCCGTGCATGCATATGCGACATCCCGTATTACTTGGCACTTGGCATATCTGTCCCTACCCCCCTAAACTAGTCGGGAGTACCGTTGCTCTTGGAGATCTAGCACAGGTTACCCTCTAGGAAATCCCACTCCTGGTGTAAACCTATTCCCAACATACGGTTGCGCACGCTGATTTTATTAGCAAGGTAGGAGTCTTACCGCCATTCTGGTGGTAGATAGATGCGAGGTGGGATAGAATTGGGTATATTACTTTATTAGGCTTTCCAATCATAATTGTAGTTATTAACCACGATTAATTACAAGTTCCAACATGCATAAAGAAGAAATAAAGCCGGGGTGAATCCCCAAGGCAGGAAGAAACGCCATGTGATAGCGTCGGTAGTGTAGTGGCACATGGATCCTTAGGAATGAAGCTCAAGACGGGACCCGTGGATGGGACCTGATTGAATATCCAAGAGGAATAAGGTTGTTCCAAACCGATGGCTTTTTAATGGAATAGGAAAAATAAAAACAAAGTCCAACTGGGCTTGGGAAAATCCAATTGGTCAATTGCAATTAGATTCTCCTCCCCCTTACATACTGCCCTTACTTGCCATCAAGGTTCTATGGAACATTAACATTAACATTAACGGAACACGTAGTTACCTGTTATTATTTCTTGACTCCTCCCTTGCTAGTTAGCATTACTCTTTAGCATTCATTAGCAATATATAATTTCAACATTACCAACACCAAGGCGAGCAGATGGCCCCGCGTCAATCTGTCCTCCCGCTCGCCTACCGAGCTTTCTTCCTTATTATCGAACCTATATCCGCCCTCGTAGGTGCCTTCTTTGCGCACTTCCGACAGGATGAATATCTCTCGATGACAATACATGCCGAGACGCCGGTTCCTCTCGGGACGTCCGTCGTTCTCTCGCAGCTCGCCAACCTCTACCTACTGTTCGCGCTTAACGAGGCTCTGGTACTACGGTCTACGGGCGATCTCCGGGTGTGGCGAACGGTGCTGTTCGTCTTATTAGTCGCCGACTTCGGTCACCTCTACTCCGTGAGCGGGTTAGGATCCTGGGTCTACTGGGACGTGACGCGTTGGAATCCTATCGATTACGGGAACGTCATGTTCGTATATTTGGGCGCGTCGATGAGGATCGCGTTTCTCACCGGAGTTGGGCTGGGGGTATCATCCCCGGCAAAGACGAAAAAGGCGGCTTGAGGAGTCTTCTTCAAAGTTGTACCTTTACTACTATCCCAACAATATCAATCATAAGCCTTCTATCTCGGTACTATCTTCTAGCTCGGTACTATGCCCCAACAACCAAGGCCGAATATGTTTCCTTTTCAAAGAGGTCTTACAAAACATTTGGAACCCACAATAATTCCTTTCGAATCACTCGGTACGATGAAATACCGCACTGACGGTTTTTAAGTCGTGGGGTTTAGCTCTATCTCCGACCCATTGTTAATACCATATTCGCTTGGCTCCAATCAGATTGACTAACCAAAAGATATTGAAGTGATACAACTTCTATGACTAGGTTCGGTCCCTGTTTAGCGAAGAAGACATTCATGCTTCTAGCATTACTCCGAAACTGGAGCAAACACACCGCTAGGAGTACCGGTTCTATGCCTATTGTGGATAAAAGGATGATTGATTTTGAGGGGGTATACTCTCTAGACCGGGGGAATGGAGGGGAATTCATGGAATTCATAGGTGGGGGTAGCTTTCGTTGCTTTCGTCGCTTCAAATATCAACTTACAAACCCCTCCATCAACCCCTCGTCTATAGTAGGTATTCCTATAATTTTTTGTATCTACCTAGCACCTATCCCTTACTATATCTCAAAATGTCTAAATACGACCAATACGAGGGTTTCCAAGTCGAGTCGCCCGAGACATGGACCCAGTTCCACTTGAACAAGTTCGACACCAAGCCCTTCGGTGATAACGATGTAGAAGTCAAGATCGAGTGTTGTGGTGTATGCGCTAGCGACATTCACACTATCACCGGCGGCTGGGGCGCTCAGCGTTTCCCGCTGGCAGTCGGCCACGAGATCGTCGGTAAGGCTTTGAGGGTTGGCCCCAAGGTCACTCTTGTCAAGCCCGGCCAGCGTGTTGGTGTTGGCGCCCAATCGTGGTCTTGCTTAAGCTGTCGCCAATGCAAAAACGACAATGAGACATACTGCTCCCAATGGGTAGACACTTATGGTGCTGTCTGGCCGGATACTGGTATCGTGACCCAGGGTGGCTTTTCATCCCACGTGAGGACACACGAATATTGGTGCGTATTTTGAATAGCCGAACGTGCGAATATTTCTAGTAGATCGAGTGTTCCTAACTGCTACTTCTAGGGTATACCCAATCCCAGAAGCGATACCAAGCCACCTTGCCGCGCCGATGCTATGTGCCGGTATCACTAGTTATAGCCCGTTAGTGCGAAATGGTGCCGGACCCGGCAAGAAGGTCGGTGTCGTCGGCCTGGGAGGTTTAGGACATTTTGCCGTTCTCTTCAGCAAAGCATTAGGCGCCGAGACGTGGGTCATCTCACGCACACATAGCAAGGAGGCGGACGCGAAGGCGATGGGTGCCGACGGGTTCCTGGCCACACAAGACAAGGACTGGAACAAGGACCACCTATTGTCGTTCGACCTTATCATCAGCACCGCAAACAGCACCGGCGAAGGCTTCGACCTAAGCGGCTATCTCGCCCTTCTCGACGTCCACGCGAAGTGGATCTCGGTTGGCTTACCCGAAGGAGAAGGACTAAACGTAAAGGCTATGGACCTCGTCACCAACGGCTGCTTGATCGGCTCGTCGCATCTAGGAAGCCGACGTGAGATGCTAGAGATGTTGCAGTTAGCTGCAGACAAGGGGATCAAGTCCTGGGTCGAAGCAGTGCCCCTCAGCGCGGAAAACTTATCCACGACGGTGCAGAAGCTTAAGAAATCCGACGTTCGGTACCGGTTCACCATGACCGACTACGACAAGGTCTTCGGCGCGTAGAGAAATTAGAATCTAGAGGGGTTGCCTTGCGTTAATCGTCGACCTTGCGCATCTACGTGGAGTCCTGGGGGCTTTGTAATAGAAAGAACTCATCGCATTTTATGAGACGCTTGTAAGTCAAGCGGAGTTGAGATGATACTATACATAGAATAAAATAGATATAAATTAGCATAAAACCTAGCATCGGTTGATGTAAGTATATCTAAGTGATCAGGGCCGGCTTGGCCCAGGCATCGTTACCATCGGCTTTGGTTTAATTTAAACTGAATAGGCGCCGAACTTATCGTAGTCGAAGAAACGATCTATAAGTGCACAAGCGGATCGGTTCGTACCTATAACCCTATAAGCTATTACGGTAGTTACTAGGTAACATCTTAAAACTGACTACAAGTTAGACGGAATATGTGTTGTGAAGTGATGCTTAACCATACTCGCTACCCCGATTTGATACAAGGTTATACAAGAAAGAGAAAAGGAGCAGGTTGGAAATCCTAGGACTGCGACCCATCAACGAAAACCCCTAGAACGGTTTATCAAGCCCTTGGTCAGGGCAGTTGAGCTATAGTTACCTTAGCCGTATGCCTTCGGTGCTTTATTCATGAGACATATGACATGAATGTGATCTATATTTTGTATTTGACTTAGCAACGTCATCATGTATAGCCTACAATATCAACGTTGTGCCTTCATATGACACCCGCGGATATGGTTGGGGGTTGTTTGCATGGAAGACGATCCTTCAGCCTTAAGAGAATAAGGTCGTTTATATAACGTATGGTGATGAATGTTCTTACCTTAGGTACGTAATAACCGAGCAGATCACAGGAACGTCATAGCCTTCGGAAACCCGAGAAGCTAGTCCGTATATACGAACCTCGTGCGTGTATGTTGTGGACTACTTCTCCATTTTCTAGGATAAAGTCCTAGGACAACATGCCATGACATTGGGGACGGGGTGCTCCTGCTCGAGTAATACTATCCTAGTCTATCCTCGTGATCTTCACTCATGGTGTCCTTGTACGACTTAGTGCTCAGTCTATGCTACCAACAACAATAATCGATACAGACACCTCAGTAAATGTCGTCCAAAGTCATAGGATAAGCAGACGAGTCGGGCATAGTGAGATAAACGTCAAATGCTGTGCCACGACACAGATAACCAGACGATGAGGCTCGGCTGGAAATTCCCCGAATCCTAAGCGGCTGAGCTTTTTACTAGTGGATTCCAGACAGAAACCCACGCTTTAGAATTTGTCTAACCTACAACGTTGGACATTTACACCGCCGATTTTGGGGTAAACAATATTACGTCGTTGTCTGACCGAGTACTGACATGTGGCGTCGCCTCAACTGGTACCACTGTCTTATATACACTAATTTTAGAATCCATGCCGGAAGTCCCCATACCTAACTCCAATCCAAATACCATTATGATCCATCTATATCATTCCCATGCCAAGAAATTATCCCCGGTAATTTGCGGGTGGAGGCGTAGGGAGTTCAGCTACTACGGGGCGTTCCGTGTCGCGACCCTCGAGTTCCGTCGGTGGCGGTCCTAGTAACGGGGAGTAAGATTGATGCTTGTGATCCGCCATCGAGTTCCATCCACTCATTCCGGACATCTGAGATACATGTCTATTGTCTCCGTGCCAGGGTTCTGTCGATTGGGGCGAGTGAGGTACATATGAATTTTGGTGGTACTGGTTGGGAGAATAGGCCGAGAAACCAGGACTTGGGTATCCTGGGCTTGGAGCGCCAGAGTGATTTCCATTTTGCCATTGGGACATACCGGGAGAGTTGGCTGTTTCTTGATTAGTATTGAGCGAGCGGATATGTACGACAGTAATAGACTCACGTCCTTGAGCGACGTAATGATTTATCGCATCGTCGGCGCCTTTGTTATGTTTCTTATGCCTTGCCAGCCAGCCGCACCTATATGCTAAGATCGCGAGAAGAATTGCGACCACTGCCGCGCCCCCCAGAGATATGCCTAGTATTCCGCCCAGAGGCAACTGGTAGCCGGAACTCGAATTCGAACTGGGCGTAGATGACGAGGAAGCGAGGAAGACCTCAGCGTTGCTTGCATCGTCACTTAGTGTTGCTGGGAGTAGGTTTGCTGTTGGACACCCATCATTTTGACACGGGTTTGTACTGCAACATCCCATAAAAGGTTGCGAACTCTTGCAAGTAAACCAACTGCTGGCGTTGTTGGGCGCAGCGCAGCTTTGTCCCGGTATACTATCGTAGTGATCTGATGAAAAGCTTGCCGCCGCTAAATCATTCTGGGGACACCGTCCGCTGCCGTCGGCACAAGGGTCGACGGTGCAACAGCCGATGAAGCGGATGCTTGCATTCTCGCATACATAGAACTTTCCCTTGGACGGGCACGACAACCCAAGGTCACTGCGAGTTGTTGACATTGCGAGAACGAGCGAGCTACCAACGGGTAGATTAGGAATTATGAAATTGCCCTCAGCGCTGATAGAGAAAGTAGAAAGGGAGTGAAAACACTCTCCCGTGGGATCGTCGCAAAAGCAACAAACGGAACAAACGGAACAAACGGTATATGATACGGTATATGATGTGGCTCGTCACTTCTGGCTCGGCCAAGGGATATATGGATACATTGCTGCCAACACCCTCAGAAAGGATTGGAGCAAACGTCAGTCGACCATATGAAGGTTGGATGATCGGGGCTTAATACGAAGACCGACAGATACAAAGCCCCGTCGGGTGCCGTGGCAGTATTAGGTCCCGATCAAAAGAAATAAATGTTGGTTCCTTCGGGTTGGTTGTGCAGTTCAGCGGATGCAGAGGATATCCCAAATTAGGAACATCACATTCGTCTAATTGGTCAAAGGCCGGGCGCGATATAGAGGCGCAGTAAAGATGTCCATAGTAGATATCCAATATTTCGTGTTATAGTTGGAGACTTTACCAGCAGGCTGGGTCTGACTTAGTAAACAGTAAATCAGAAAGCTACCTATCTTTTATGAACCGCGATCTCCGAATTAACTTAGGTCGTATTGTATTAACTGTTAGTAACTAGACGAATTATACTCCCTTACTTCTACATGTAGGTACGCGGTAATTGATGGTTACATGGCCCTTCGGCCCGTTAGTAGTACAAAATTAGAAGTCTTACAAAATACCATAGCCTACCTACCTAGATATCATCGGCTCCGTGGTAAACAAACAGCGTGACCAGTGATATATGGATTGCGACGATAACTGAAGTTCGACGTCCAGGATCGAAATAGGCTTTATCGACAAGGCTGTCTTGCTGCTAGGTTGGCAGTTTTAATATCGCAGGTGGCTCATCTCGGCAATTCGTCTCTATCACACCATGGTGATATTCTACGATGTAACTCATCAGACAGGCCGAGAGGTATTCGAAACGCGGGAAGGCTTGAAAGCAACTTGATAGGCATCAAAGCACAAAGTTCAAAGCTCAAAACGATCACTTCTCACGAAGTACAGAATTTTAAGAAGGCAGCTCTAATGCATATAAATTACATGCAGACGTTACATTTGACAGAGCAAACGATTTTAGAGATGTGATAGGCAAGGGGTGGAATGGTAACTCAAGTTGATTACGAGTTGTAATTGTCAACTTTACAGTCGAGAGGGGAGAAGCTTAAACCTATCGGGGTTAAGATCAAGTATCTCTAGCCACGGATAAGCCACATTTAAACAGTGGGTCTCTCAGATAAGATAGGTAGGTATCCCGAGAAAATCGCTTCTGTCCACAAAACCCTGAGTGGCCCAAGCGCTACTACCCACAACCGCCCACAACTTAGCTCGATTTCCCAAATTCCCACCGCGAATTGAATTTTGTGTGAATTTTCGATTAAGCCCCAAGTCGAAAACTTTCAACATTCCTCGCGACTTCAATTCCCATCCCACCAACCAAACCGCCATCCGCTCCTTTGCGACTTCGTCCCCCCTTCTAGCAGCGAAGACAAATAAACCGCAATCATGAGTGCCGCTCTTAACAAGATCGCGCCCAACAGCCCGTCGCGCCAGAACCCGTCGGAGCTCGAGACCAGCATCGCTAGCGCTCTCTACGACCTCGAGACCAACACCACCGATCTCAAGATTGCCCTCCGACCCCTGCAGTTCGTCTCTGCCCGAGAGGTATGAATACTTCCCTGCTTTACCGGTTATCCTGGGACTGCTTTAGACCGGCCCTATTCCTCGGTCCGATCGGACAACTTCTTTGCTACAAACGACTCGTCCACGGATCGTGACGAGTTCGATATAAATGGCATAGGAAAATATCCAGCAATATCAGTGGAATAGGACGGGAAGCGGTCCAAGGAACACATAAATATTATCGTGTCTCCTGGAGCTCGCCTGCTGACTTTTGGGTCTTGATTAGATCGAAGTCGGCCACGGCAAGAAGGCTATCGTCATCTTTGTCCCCGTCCCATTACTCCAGGGCTTCCACCGAGTCCAGCAGCGGTAAGTTCCCAGACACGGCTATTAATCCCTACCTGATTATCGAAAGACGGTTGCTAACGTTTGCGTTATCGTAATAGCTTGACTCGTGAGCTCGAGAAGAAGTTCTCCGACCGCCATGTCCTGATCATCGCCTCGCGCCGCATCCTTCCCCGACCCAAGCGCTCTGCCCGCTCGCGCAACACCCTCAAGCAGAGGCGACCCCGTTCGCGAACTCTGACTGCTGTCCACGATGCCATCCTTACTGACCTCGTCTACCCCGTCGAGATTGTCGGCAAGCGTCTGCGCACCAAGATAGACGGCAGCAAGCTCCTCAAGGTCATCCTTGACGAGAAGGAGCGTGGTGGTGTCGACTACAGACTCGACACCTACTCCGAGGTCTACCGCCGCCTGACGGGCCGAAACGTCAACTTCGAGTTCCCCCAGTCCGGTGCCACCGAGTACTAGGGATAAGCGGATGTTATCTGGGCTGGTATGGGAAGAGAGTTTGGCATTGTCTTTCATGGAATGATAGCATGGCAAATCTGGTGGGCCAAAAACTACATTACTGGCACGGCGTCTAGATAGCTTGTGGACTAAATGACAAGCTGGTTTTATGATGACATATCACACTTAATGAATTGCTTTTGATATCTTTACTCGTGACTCCTTTCATATTTGCTTGTGTCCTCGGGGTATCGTAGATTATCTAGCTATTCCTGACTGATCCGACCAATGCCGATGGCGCACCAGTACGCCAGTTCTTTCTTCTCCCTTGTATCCTTTTCCTTGCCTGCCGCAGCGCCTACCTGATCCTGTGACACATCGCCCTCCCATTCCAACCGTATAAACATGGGTATCTCCAATATGTCCTCGTCTTCCTTCAGCGGGTTCCGATCTGACCCAGGGTCGCCTTCACTTTTGGAAAAGCTCGAGCGCTCCTCCACGCGGAGCGATGCGGGCACCACCTCCACCACAATACTAACCCAGTTTCGGCCCCTCTCCCATATCTTGCCTGCTTCCGCCTGCTGCGACGTACTCTCGTCGCCCCGCTTTCGCCCCGCACCCTTTTCGCCGTCCTTCAGGACGTCGTCTAGGTACATGTCCGTATCGGTATTGGCATCGATATGGAACTGGGGGCATAGCACCGTCACTCTAGACGCGAAGCGTCCGGGCGTAGTTGCCGGCGTCGCAAGTGTGACCTTGATCTCCTCGAACATGGGGTTTTTGAAAGTTAGGAGAAACTGCGCAGGCTGGAGGGGCACTAGGAGGTCTGAAGTTCCCGGTGTTGAAGGGGTGGGGGTAAGCGGTTTGATGGAGATGGAGGGGATGCTGTTGTTGGCGACGAGGCGGATGCGCCATCGCGTGTTGCCGACTTTGGACTCGGGCTTGCTGATGATGTGCCGGCATACAGGACACCGCTTTGAGCGCTTCGTACGTAGTAGGTACGGGATCGGCCAGAGTTCGTTGGCGAAGCGGGCGCCTTCCTCGACTTGTAATCGTGACTGATCGCCTGTAACGGTACCGTCCCATCCGTCGCGGCGCAGCTTTGAGATGGCTGCGCTGTCGTCAAGGTCGGCAACACGGAAACCCTCGTTTGTAGAATCTGCTTCCCGCATTATGCTCGACTTGGCCTTGGGTTTGCCGAGGCCGGCACTGTTTCCCGAGTATAAGTTCATGATTCGCGTAAGAGCGCCGGGGGAGCTGAGCCCGTAGTCCATCAAGTTCGATAAGCTACTTGAATTGGGCGAATTCGTGTTGTTCTGAGCGTTATAGAATGACTTCATGGCCGCGAATCTCGCCGAGGTCGTCACGGGCACTGCGTCGCTTTTCTTGGGCGAAACGTCCCCGGTCGAAGAAGAGTGCTTGGAATGGTCATCGCCGTGGCGGAGTTTAGAAAGTTGGGAGAATATACCCTGCGGCTTGTCGAATTTGACGCCTATCTCGGCCGAGTTCCAGTTGCAGTACGAGCAGGCTAGAATCCATGGTCCAGACGGAGGTGTGGCACTTGCGCTCTCGGCGGTTAGGAGTGATGGTTCGGGTGCTGACTCGAGGGATTGGACGGCTAGTGGTCCTATACATATTGGGCATTGAAAGCAACTACGCGTACATCTGGGTAAAATATATTAGTATTATTTATAAGGTTATGATACGTTGAGACTGGTTCTAGAGTATATAAATAGAGTATATAAATACGCACCTGTTCCCTTCCGTCTTTAGACTACTGCTCCCAACCTCGAAGAGACAGTTTGGACAGTATATTGTTACAAGCTCCTCGGCGACACATCGCGGGCAGCGGATCTGATGGCACACATCGCAGTACAGCAGATATTCTAGGGGATATAAGCTGTAATTGGAGCGGGGCGAACGGGGATCAAAGGTGCGCTCGTCGTCGTCGTCAGGCGAATCCCGAGAAGAGGGAGAGGAAGTACCATCTGCAGAACGGGTATGGATCGCAGTGTCGTTACAGGGACATTGTATGTAGGTATAAGGAACAAACGATGCCATCTAGACGTCTTAAGGCGGCATATTTCAGCCGCAAGATGCACCCAAGCTCTGCGGACCAAAAATAAGATAGCAATCGAAGTCCAATTACTGAAACAGTAGAATCCTGTGACACTGCTTCCAAGCGGCTGCGCGTCAAAAAGGTGTTGGAACTTTTGTATGTTTTGCGTGCAACAACTTGAGCAAACGAGCTTGTGAATGCTAATCTTAGGTACCTATGTATCGAGTTATGTAATATTCGGTGTCTTATGCTTTTAAGCGGGTGTTTCTTATCGATACATTTTGTCGCATTTTATCTTATTCGCCCTCCAGATGAGAAATGATAGACGAATTACTTCACATAATAAGACAAGATTCTGCAATATATATATATATATGCCTATACCTATATATAATTAGCATATCACTTATTCACGGTATAGTTATTTCTTGCAATTACTAAATCTGATTGTAAGTCGATTTATTCAGCTTTGAACTCAGCGGCCGCAGATGCATACCTCATAATATTGTCATGATTCATCTTGGACGGCTAGGGTAACTACCAACTACCCTCCATATGCCGTAATGATATGCGGACTAAACTTATTCATCGATTGAGGATAATTCAAATCTGACCTGAGCGCCGAGAACTGCATGCATTACCGTGCATTTGTCGTCTAGGATCTTGGCTGCCTATACTTCAAGAACAAGATTCACAGATTTTACCGATAGGTCTAGGCTTTCGTCATATTATTAGCAGCACTTCGTATAAATTAACAAGAGGTCATCCTGTATGCTCAATGGCGGTTCGCTGATTAGACAGGGATATGGCTTCAATTACATAGAGCTCGGTATTGTATCCGACTCATTGGTAAAGACGGTGGCTTACAACGGATCGACAATGGACCACATCATGGTTTACACTAGCCCAACACGCAGGCGTTTAAGGTCCCCGAAATGGAACATGTTACGAAATAGGGAGTCGAAACCGCCGATCTGACGTGGAGGATCTCACTTATATTTCCAAGAGGTAACCTTTGGTTTAGGCAAAGTTTATCGAGTAAGAAATGCCTGACGCTTTCACATACGCGCGCACTCTATTGTGCCTCCTGGTTGGATCTTCGACACTACGGCGAGGCCCGGAGACTTGTAGCCATGATTTCCTTGGTAAAACGTGAGAGAATCTAACGGCGTGTCAAGCCTTGATCTACCAGGCTCGTAGGGTATGCTCTAGAACGTTAGAGATATCGTTCATAGTTGGCCCATGTTCTAAGCGTTGAATGTCGAGCTCGATAGGAAAACATACAACACACATGATGGCCGACGCAAGCGATCCTCGCCCCGCACTCAGCCCTTCCGAATACCAACCAGATAAACCGCTGTGGCGGGAACTGTCTCTCTACAATGGGGTTTCGAATAGATCGCGAGGCTGGAAAACAAAGAAGCCGGAGAAATTTGCGGAAATGCAGACGCCTCAAAAGCCTGGCACCGTGAGATGGGACGGCGCCTCAATGTCGAGTAATGATTGGGATAATCTGAAAAGGGTATGCTTACAAGTTATCCCCTGTTCCGCCGTGATATATATTCACAAGACCGATGTAGGATCCCGAGCTGTGGTATCGTGATGGAAACTGCTACATTCACCTCTACGGCCAAGGGCAAAGCCGTAGGGGTCCCGCATTCAAGGTGCCTTTCTCTGGGTTCCTAGAGACAGCTTGCTATCCCTTTATCGATAGATTTATGGCTCGAGATGTCATAATGCCGACGGGTTGCGCTCAAGAGAACGGCGACCCGGCAAGACAGAGTCGTATCGAACTCTTCATTCCAGCACCTCCTCGATCAGATAAACATCAATCGTATAAATACCACCTGGCAACCCGAAACTTTGTTGCTTACGTCTTCCGCAGGTCTATGGTTGGAGAAAACCTAGGAGCTGCTCTAATTACTCTCATGCATAGCATGCATCAGTTCCGTTTAAGGGACGTGGATAATGTTCAAGATCTTATGGGTTACCTAGACGAGGAAGGTTACCTCAATCTTAGAAGCAACCCGGCTCATGCTATAGCTATATTACACCTTTCAGAAGTTTTCCGGTTGAGAGGTCTCTATATAAACGCTTTTGCACACTGCTGTGGCATGAGCGACCAATTGCCCACCGTTCCCGAGTATCAGGTTCGTCGATATGTTCCCTTGTCTCTGGAAGTTTGTTGACATAAATAGCTACTATCCCCTGTAACTCGAAAGCTCATCCGTTGTGCACGAGTTGAAATGAATCTTAGACTAGGTCAGAGTGCAAATTTGGTGGGAAATTTTCTGCAATATGAGCTGGCCGAGGCACATCTGTCTTTGTATCCTGGAGCTCGATCGCATCTCGAAGAATTCCGGTCTCTATTGCACAATTTCTACGCCGCTAAATTTGGATCATACCCACCACCATCCGTTGACTCCCGAACGACAGTATTCGAAGCAGGCATCTTTCGGACTATGAGGACAGATTTCGATGCTCTTTTCCAGTATCTGGTTGATGAGAGTGTTGACAACACCCAGAACAGTCTATCCTTAGCCGAAGGAGGTGTCTGTACATGGCAAAGTATTCAATCCCTTGACTTGAGACATGAATTCAAGACTTTATTTCACCCCCTTCCCCTCCTCCCAAAGGTGTCGCTTGAAAATATGGAAAAGGTCGCATGGTTGGAAAAAAGGGCCAGAACAAATCAAAGACAACAAGAAATCATACGCTCGGCCTTGTTAAAGGCCACAAACCAGAAGCCCGAACTCCTTAAAAATGGACTGGTGAGAGTATATCGCCAATTCGAGGAGAAATTGGTCCACCCTTCCACTAAAGCAGGCAAGTTCGAAAATCTAGGTCCTATAGACAGTCGCAAAGTCCGCTGGATCTTGATTTATGCGGTTTACCAGGCCCTCCGTCAAGCAACAGAGATTCCACCCGAGGTTCTGGACGCTGCTAGAGCTCCATATCATCTCTGTATCTCTACGGTTGATCTACCACCATGGGATGAGGAACGGCCGGTGCACGACCTAGTTCGAAGGCAAACAATTCATATTGCCCATAGTACATCACCCTCAGCAACAGGTTGGGACTCTGCAGGATCGTCCCCCTACCAGTGTAACTTCGAGATCAAACCGGATATTGACTATTTCGCCATTACCCATCGCGATAGAACCGCAGATGAAGCTAGAGATAAAGGCCCGCGACTTCGCAGAGCAGCGAGTTGGAAGGGAAGTCTTTCTAGGAGCCTATCCCGGAGCTTGACGACCCGACGTCCATCAACCAAACTTACTAAACCGCAGAATAGGACTACCCAGTCACCTTGGAACAGGCACTATCACGAGGTTGTAGTTCAAGGCTACGGCAACGGAACAAGCGACATTAAAGACGCGCTGACAGGTGCACCGCCACCAAAGGTGCGTGCGACAATTGCGGAAGAGGACCCAGCATCGACATCGCCTTCTCGTTCTTCTAGTATTTCTGACCTAAGGAAATCCGAGGATGGGAGTATCGCGAAGACATCGGAAACATCTGTATCCGAGAGCCAAGCGGAAAATTCCCCATTCCTACAAAGCAGTCACAATGGCAGCAGAAAGAGCGCGCAGAGTAGACATAGTAATAACAAACGCGAGACGCCGCCGCATCGTCCCGGGTCTTCATTCGGCGCATTTCGACGAAAGCGCCAAGGAGAAGTCACGTCCAAGTCCTCCTGCGGGCTGCTCGGACGGCGATCGAAGAGTATCGACGGCACCTCGCGGAAATTCATGGAACCCGCACCGGGTGATGTCCACAAGGTGAATAGTGTGACGCCTCACATCGAGATGCCGGCTCCCAAAATCCCCACGTGGAACCACATCAAGGTCATGGAAGACAAGGCTACCAACTGGATGGCGAATGATATTCAGCCCGCATGGGAGCAATACACCGATCTCGGTGGCCTGACCGAGTTGAGACCCCGGGGACCTCACAGACCGCCGCCGAGGTGTAGGCCGACACCGATGGTACGCCTATAGAGTAGGTGGGATGGCATTATGAGGTATATGAAGGACTGTTAAGGGGGACTATAGATTACGCCTTTTATGGTTAACGGTGATACCCACTGGGGAGAACTCGGCCTCCTCGTTAGGCGTTTTAGTTTGGTGCGTAATAACCAGTAGGTAAGAGTCCCAGAGTTATGTACGTTAGGCGTGCAAGATTTGTGCCATTGAAAGCATCCAAGACAAGTTGGGATACGGGACACTCGCAACTAGACCGAATGCAGCTTCAAATGTTAGTTTGTTAGTTTGTAATATACATACCTACACATCTAGCCTTGCAATCTACGATAGGACTTGGGTATATTCCATCACTAAACCACTACGCCCACTTATGGTTTCCATACACCCGACTAATATTTTCGCTGAACTCAAATAGGTATCTCTCGCTCGTAACTAAACTAATCGCTTACTCGGACTTGACAGCAGCTCCGGTCGAGGCAGCTGTCAGGCCATCTATGATTTCACCTCCCATGACGTAGATGAGGTAAGAGGGGAAAATAAGCCATAAGCCGCTGTACCATGTTAGTCAAGTCGACGCTAGAAGTCACGGCAAAAGGGGACTACTTACTTGGGGATGATCCACAAGAGAACCAAGTCTTGTAGGCTATTGTGCCCAATGTTGTCGAAACCCGAGAAGTACTCCTGAAGCCCTATTAAACGACAACCAGCACGTCAGCAAGCCGCACTAACCAACTAGGTAATAACCGCATATTACTCACAATACAGCACCGTCTTACTCAACGTCATAACGGCCGCACTAAACGCCGTCACAACCGCCAGCGCGGCGGGCCGTCCGCTCAGCACGCGGGTGGCGCGCCCCGCGACCGCCGCGCCGGACCCGAGGTAGACGCCCACGTAGACGAGGTACATGGCGGTCTCGACGACGTTGAGGGCGCCCTGGGCGGACGTGAACCCGTTGCGCGCGTGGAACGCCTTCCACCCGTACACGTGGTCCACCTCGCCGTATAGCTTGTACGGCGCGTATACCGGCCAGTGCAGCGGCCCGCCCTCCATCGTTAGGGGGCGCAGGAGCACGTACCCCGAGTCCCAGATCACGAGCGGGAGGGATACGGCGAGCCAGAGGAGGGTTAGTTGTGAGGGGGCGTGCGCCCAGAGCTTGGGCGGTGCGGTGGGGGTGGTGGTGGTCGTTCTGGTGGTGGCGGCTTTGCTGGCGGAGCGGGTGGTTACCATTTTCGTTTTTCGTTTTTCGGTTTCTTTTTTTTTCTCCTTCTGTGTTGTAGTTTTGGTGTTCCGCGGGGTTCGAGTATACTACGGATTGTCGTCTTATCGCGGGCGGGGGTATATTCGGCGGGCGAGTCTATATATATATCGACGTAGGGAGTTCCTAAATACTTCTCGATGTTTACGTGTAGCAGTTGAAGGTAAAGAACCCTAAGCAAACGAGCTAAACTTGCATATATTGCCTTAGGTAGGTAGGTACACTGGCAAGGCCAATTCCGTATCCGTATTCCTGTTGGTGACCAGATGCGGGGAACCGACGAAACAGCTCGGATAGAAATCGTTCCACGACCTCGCGACCCACCGATGTGATAGGGTCTCTTTTCAGAAGGTGCCAAGACCGGGGTATACTATACATTTCTATCTCGCTTTTCTTAGAAATATGTAGGCGTCTTTAAGTTAAGCAATAGAGGTCAAGGGAAAGTGTATATATGCCATGGAGATATGTAGAGAGAGCTACTATTATTTTAATTAGTAGCTCGGAGGTCTTTAATAAAAACAATACTAGAGGTAGTTAGCCCCTAAGAGATGGAAATGTATGATACTAGGCTGCTCTTGATGAATGCAGTGGTATATTTAGGTAATTGTTGTGTAGAAAGTACCTAATGGCATCTTACCTCTGGATACTTGTAAGAGGAACTTCACCGGTTTAGCCATTGAGTGCATATAGGGTTTCTAAGCTATTCAAGTTAGACAAAAGACAATAGGGCACAACCTGACAGGTCTATCCATTTAGACATTTACTCGGTACCGCCTTGCTTCCAGCTAATAATCCAGTTATAGTTTAGGTATTCTTAGTACCTCTCTGCAGGACGTGACCTTTACTAGAGTAAGATATACAATACTCTCAGCGACAGGCACGGCGAAGATGAGAGATAGGGTTGATTTGAGGCTGACTAGGTTACTATACTTACTAATTGATCCCATCTAGACGGGTGCTTCGCAAGATGAACCGTGGCTGAGGACACCGGCATAACTTGCGGTTCGCTATGAGGGCTATCCGTCCAGTCTTAAAGTCAAGCCGCTAGTAGCCTTATACTTTACAGCTTACGGTTTCGATTCGCTAAGCGCATTACCGATAATCCAGTCCACTGGATTCGTTAACACGACTACCTAGGTACGCAAGAAAATGAGAACTGATATACGTGTGCCGCCAAAGCGTGATGCACCGGAGGGTAAGCACCACAAAAAAGAATTGACAGCAAGCACAAGTCGCTCTAGCACGCAAATATGACCGATAGCAAGTAGGCGAATGTAAATCGGTTGATTAATCGTGCGATGTTTTAAATGTGTGTAATAAGAAAAAGAGAAGAAATCGTCAAAGTCGGGAAAGCGGGCGCCGTAAAAAAAGAGGACGGTGGATTGAGTGTCAGGTCATGTGATTAGGCAGGACCCGCTAACTTGGACAATTTCCTTCAAATTGGATCCTCTTTATAAAATTTTCCTTCTCAAACAACATTCATCAACAAAGTCACATTTTCAGATTCTGAAGATCTGAAGATCATACACAACCAAGATATCATAATTGAAATCTCTCCGGGCTATGGATCAGTAAGAGCTACTATCGAATTAATTCATTTGTTATGAGCTCTATCTCGTCGCATCTCCATGGATCGGTAGACAAGTGTCCCGTATCGATTCCATCTCGACATTCAAGCACAGTTGACTTTGTTATATATATATATATATATGTATAAACCCACAAATTGCCTACCTCTCGCGACTCTCAATGCGCGGGAGCGTCAACTTCTTTTTTATCGTTCAATGTGGGAGAATGATCCAAGGCCTAGACAGCCGGTCCAATCCACCCTGCTGCCGTAGAATGAGTGCGGTAGCGGGACTAACAAGGACAAACACGCCATTCACTTACTTAGAAACTATTTAGTTTGACTTGACGAGTAGATATAATTAGTCTATTTTTACACTGGAATAATTTTATATAACTTCTTGTACAATGCGAATCCTGACCATCTACGGGTTTCCAGGAGAACCGTCATCTACATTGCTATCAAATCCCGATACTAGATCGCCTCGAGCCTTTTCCAGTTGGCCCGGGAAACTCGAGTCCTTGAACGCAATGCTAGCGCTGCCGAAATCGTACGCTACAAGCTTGTCTCGAAGCGCGGTGCTCGGGAATCCATTGTATGAGATCAACGCGCCGTAGAACCATTTTCCAGTGTCGTTTTCGATGTTATCGTCGTCCTCATTCGCGAATCGGAAGTCGTGCGTGCCGACCCCGTCCTTGTTGTACACGACTTTAGGATGCGTGCCGTCCCATCGGACGTCGCTGGCGCTCTTGACTTGGTAGTCACCGTGTTGCGATACTGCTACTACTTTGGCCTCGTCGTTCTGGACGAAGACGACGACGTGCTCCCAGTCGTTGCGGTGTCCCGGGTCGAGGGGGAAGTTGGCGAGGGCAACGTCCTTCTCGAAGTAATAGTCGTATAGATATGCGCACCAGCCATTATTGCACCGCGCCCGGGAGTACACATTGTTGTTGGCGAGGTCTGAGGGGTCATGGCAGCCCGAGGACAAACCAGTGTTTTCATGGTCGAGGCCTGGATTTATGTTGCCGTTCGCATCGATGGCCGGCGTGTTATAGCACCCATCGGTATCGAAGTCCATTGCAGGTTGCCATCTAAATACCTTAGTTCAGCGCCCGTGATCATACATAGTACTTAGGTAACCATAGAAATCATTTAAAACTCACTTCTTGTCGTTGGCCGTAGCCTTCTCCGGTAGCGCCTGTGGAGGATCTCGAGTCACTAGGTGTAAAAGATGCTCGATAGGACTACCATTCACTACTGGAGTGGTAGTTGCCATCAGCAGAGCCAACCCTGTGGCAGCGAGGCTCTTCCGGATAGACATTCTGATGGGCAATTTTCTCTCTACTTCGGTCAAGAGTCGAAATGGCTGGCCTGGTCCATCAAATCAGGACTCCAAATGGGGATTTCCATCTTCTATATACCCCTTTCCAAGTTGCTCTCCCGTCTGATGCTACACTCGGTTTCTCCATTTCCTCACGACATGGTCCTGGAGCAGATGGCAGACAACAAGCTGGGGTTTGGCCGACTTGAACAAGGGTCTCCCCCAGGGGCCGACACGAGCCGCCTTCCTTGTTTGGAAATGCATGAATATTCACGTCACCCTACTGGACCTTGCATCTCTTATGCCGTGCTCATTTAAATCTAGCGGCGGAGAATGGCCCGAGTTTAAACTCTCACCTTGTCTCCTATCAATTCTACAACGTGCTGCTGTTTAGACTGCAGTATAACCATTCACAAGACACCCCAATCGCTTCTTGGTATAGTATCCTAAGATCTATGTATAAGCAGTACTTCAACTCTTCTGTCTAACTTCATATTAAACCCCCTGTTCACTTCAATCATGCAATCTATCGCGTCAGCTACGGCGGTATTGCCGATCTTGAGGCTGAGTTAAGCCCCGAGCATCTGGCCGATCTCGAGTTTTAAATCCATAAAGCCCTACCGGCACCAGAGCTGCCCAGAGTTTAGAAATAGGATTGTATTAGCTCCACTCTAGCCTCCTTCTACTTATGTCCATAGCTGGACTTTGCAGTTGATACTACATACGGACGCGAGCACGGGTTTCGTCTGAATTCGTATGCCGGACCCGTCTCCCCACACGACATCGCGACATGACATCTAGTGTATATGGGAGGTAGATTTCTAGATGAGTACCTGCAGTTGTAACGTTGAATTCTGCATTTATTGGTTGCCGTACTCCACGTGTGACGATCTATCATAGTTAATTAAAGTCCAATTCTACCCTAGAGCTTTGCAACTCCACTGAATGGCGCATGTGTTCGGTAGGCGAATTGGTATGTCCAAAAGTACTACCCCATCCCGTCGGTGTTGCCATTGGATAGAACTCCACACGTGTATTGACCTAGCGATATAAACAGTTGCTTCGCATGGCGCTACGCCTGACGCATGGTCATATTACAACTTTAGATATTAGCTGTAGTTTTAAGCAAGCAAGCCGGGGCTAGTAATGTAGTATCGCAATGAACGGGAATACTTGCAATATCAACGTAATAGATAGATAGCCAAGAGGAAGATGACAACTTAGCACTAGCGGGATTATAACAATGCTAAACACGCACAAGTAACTGCTGTGTATCTGCAAAAGGAGACATGTAGAGGTTCAAATTTACTTGTCTCACGACTAACATGTAGGTGTAATTGTCAACGCCTAGGTTAGAAAAGTATAAGTAAACCCAACGCTTGTAATTCCAGAGAAATATGCTTCTATAATAAAGATAATAATAACACGACCGAAACTTCATAACATCTCATAGTTGTATTGCTCAGACAAATAAATCTATATTTTCTCATACATAGGTAGCGTCGTCGTCATCCCAGGGTATATACTCTACACACACACACACACACGATTCCCCCAACCGTTCCCGTTGCTCCGGTTCCAAATCGTACAATACCTAAGCAACTCGCCAGCGAATATATATACCTAATATATACATACACAGAAGCATACAAGGCAAAGCAGTTACATAGGATAGGTAGTTAACCGCAGCCCCTAGTATTGGCCGTCGAAGAGGTACTTCTCGTCCGTAAAAGACAGCAGAAACCGCGCTACCAGGCGGCCCGTGTAGTTCAGCGACACGTCGCGCGGGAACGGGTGCCCCTCGTGGTTAGGCAGGATGGGGTCCGCGACGAGGAAGTCCAGCTCGGACCCTGTTGCAGCACGGGGTAAGTTAGCAATGCGCTCGTTTTACCTGGAATTGTGTATCTACCTATCTAAGGGGTAGTAGTTAACTAATTAAAATAAAAGAATAAACTTACATCCGTCGCCCTGGAGCAGCTCCTTTAGCGAGACCACCATCTCGGCGGCCGGACCGTCGAGTTCGTCCATCTGCGCAAAGTTGGCGTCGGCGAGGGGGTTGAAGGCCTTGGCGCCGGTGTCCCGGGTATGGGTCTGGTAGACCTGGTGGAATTGGTACGCGAACTGCTTGAAGGGGAGGTTATCGATGTCGCGGCAGAGTGTGAGCGCAAAGTCCCGGCGGTACTCGGGCTTGGAGCGGTTGCGGATCGAGATCTCGTTCTGCGAGATGACGAAGGTGTCGGCCGCCGTCTCTACCGTCTCCATGAATAGACACAGGACTAGGAACGCGGCCAGACACGGCGCCCACTCGCGCCGGAGTTTGGGCTTCAGCGACTTCGAGAACCCGTCGAAGAGCGACTGCATCTCCTTCAGCAGCATCTCGTCTAGCACCGCCTTCACCTGCCGGTTCAGCACCCGCGACGTTAGCCACGGGTTGCCTCGCGGTACCATGTTCGTGTCTCGCAAGCTGACGATCGTAGCTTCGGTGAGGCAGAGCTGTCGTGTGAGCACGTAGTGTGTGACGTAGATACTCAGTGCGCGCTTCACCATCGCCACCTGTGAAGACTATTGAATGTAGAATCTCGTTAGCCTAGGCTCGTCATTTTCGGGATTGGCTAGAAGTAAGAGATGTCAAGATTTACCTCGGAACGCTGCGCGAAGCGCTGCACAATCGACAAAACCTTCCGCGGTACTTGGGTTGACCGGATAGCATCCGTTACCTGCTGGGCGTACATGGGCTCGGATGTGAGGTTCTGGATGTACTCGCGAGCCCGTCTCTTCAACTCCTCCCGCTGTGTCGAGTTGTCCGGGTCGATACCAATCGGGGCGGCACCTCTCGACTGCAGATCCATCTGGTTTATGCCCATGCTCACGTGCCAGTGCTGAAGGATCTCGGCGGATTTAGGCGTGAAGAAGCTGGCGGGAATGGTGAGCGTCGAACCAAAGTTGGAGCCGGAAAAGAGCTCGACGGAGCATGTGACTTCAGCGTTGTTGGGCTTGAAGTTTTCCACGTTCTCGCTGATGAAGCTCGCTATCTGGTCCTTCTTGAAGTGCGTTCGCATAAACTCTGGGAATAGCACCGGGAGGAAGTCTCCGAACTGCCAGCACATTATCTGTGGAACTTGTGCTGTGAGCTTCTTGCAGTTCTTACACGGCCGCTCTTTGTCACACTTCACTTTGCGACTATAAGCACATGGGTGAGTGGTCGTTCACTAATACAAAATAGAAGATAGGTGCAAGGGAAGATACACACCTGTGGCAGCAGAAACAAGCCCCCAATCTCCGAACCTGCAGAGCGCTCTCCTTGGTCTCATGCGCCAACGGCCCCTTCCTACCTCTCTGAGTAGTTCGCATAGCCTCGAAGCATTCGAAAGGATTCGGCTTCCCCGACTGTTGGTGGATGAGGTTCGGCGTCATGATGACGAATTTGCTTGACGCCTCTGCCTTCCTCTTCTCGACCTTGTAGCCGCTCCTGACTTTACGTATAGGGCTTGCGCCCTTTCCGGGTTCCGCCTTGACGTACGGAGATCTCGGGCTCGATTGGAGAGAGCTATGCGCTGGAGATCGCTGCTCCGGGGACTGGGACGTTATGCTGATGACCTCGTCACCTGCCACCGGCGAGAACCCTTCGTTCTTCAAGTTTGTAGGCGCCCACGGAGGGACGTTGTTGTCGTTCTGGAACTGGGGTGGGATGTTGAGCTCTGCCGTCTGAGTGGGCATCTCGAAACCACCTATCCCCGCCATGTTGGCAGTCATGTTACCCTGGAATGTAGAGTAATATTGGGCCATATCTATATCTACAGCATTGGAGTTAAAAATGACGCTCGAATTGTGACGTGCCAACTCCTCGCGCTGGGACTCACTCGTAAATGGTTCGTTAAACATCAAGTCGTGCTCACTAGCCATGAACTGCTGCTGGTCACCAAAGTTGGACAGCAATTGGCTTTGCATGCCTGCAGTCGCCATTACAGAGGCATCCGTCGCGTGGTCGGGAAAGGAACTAGAAGGCACCACGCGGGAGTGGTCATGTTCTAGTCGTTCTAGTTGGAGGGGGGACATGGCAACGGGTGAAGCTTGGATCTGGTTGGGATTCATCCCAATGACCCCCCAGCTTTGCATACTCGAGCTAGAGGGACTGGGCATAAAACCAACAGAGGCCGAGTAAGACTCTACACGCTGCCACGAGCCGTCGGATTCATCGCCAGATTCCATGTGGGGGAAGCTGTGCTTAGAAGACGGGGAGGCGGACGCGACTGAGGCCATGGTGGTGGTGGTGATGCCTCTCGTCTGGAGCGATTGCAATCGAGAAGCGCATGAACCTAATCACTCATCTATTTATTAATAGGTGTTCCCGGCACGCCGAATCCTCCTCAGTCGTGCGGTTTGGGCGGGCTTCGGGAAGCACGATAATGCTGAGACTTTTGTTTGCCGTGGGGTTTTCGTACTACGATGATGCAAGTTGCTAGCCGAGCAAACAGTTTTAACTAAGACAATGGGTAGCTATAGAAGAGTTACATAAGGTAGGTAAGGTAGGTAGGTAGGTGAGATATGTAGAGAGCCTAGAATATGGAGCCAAGAATTAAAATAAAATAAAAATCGGGGGTCGCCGGTATAAGTTATTCGACGACTTGTACTAGAAGAATTCCCGACGAAACCGCTCGGTGACAGATAGGATTCCACCCTTAAGAACGTCGAAACAGCCTTGAGGGGGCTGAGGATAACAGCATATGTTTAAAGGTGTCTGCCATATCTGCTATTATGAAGGTAACTCCGCCACGTTGGCTGATTGGGTACTATGTATACTGGACTATGCTCAATTGGATGACCGACGGGCAACTTGATGTGATAAGTATATAGAGCGCTAGACCTATTTTGGATTTCGGTGTTGATCCTACGGCTGGGATCCCATATGCGCGGTTATGTACCACGTACATACGGTATTTGAAGGGTGTTAAATGCGCTTTATGGTACGGATAAGTTCATACCAATATGCCTACTTGCCTGCTATTACACAGGTTCTTATACATCATGTAGGAAAGAGTCCAGTCGGAATGAGCGTTTAACGTAGCAGTGTGGTGCCGTAGGAGAGGCTTTGTATTCTTGCGTATTCCTCCATGAGGGGACGTATGTGTATATACGAAGATATACATAACACAGGCTATGGCTGGGCCAGGCTGGCTGGCTTATAATATTGAACCAAAAAGGAAAGATAAAAAAGAAAGGGATTACACACACAAGAGCGTGAACGCCTCGGCATGTAGTGCGACCACTACCTAAAGAACAATAGTAAGGGGCGGGCGTTTATGGATGCTAGAAATCTAGATAAAAGGACTTCGAAGTTGGAGGGCTCGTAATATATTTATTCGACGCAGAGACTCGACAAGTTTATATAATCAAGCCCTTGAGATTTATAAGGCCGAATACCATCGTCATCACACTCATCATCACAAGAGGTATATAACTATCATCTCACAGAGGCCCGAGAGTCTGCCTGAGGCAGAAAGGTTTAGTATGACTGCAGGGATGTGCGCCCGAATTATATTGAAGCCACCGCATATTTTGCACAGCTGGGCGGGAGATCTGACACATAAGATGTGCGACTCTTGGACCCAAGTTCTTCCATACATACTTTATGCCCAACAATACAATAAAATGTCCATTCGTCCAATCCAAACTATGGCATTTCTGATTTGGCCGCCCGAAACCACCGCCCGAAGGCATTGTGAAAGACAAGAATCCCATCTAGCTTACTTGCGTTACGAAGAAAAAAGAAAAAGAAAAAAAAATGAAAAGCAGATAGCAGTACATCACCATGCTTTGCTTGTTCGTTCGCTGCCTTGAAAATGAGACGAGTCTATCCCACTCAGTAAAAAAAACACTCTTGAGATTGCCGCTCCAAGAACTGAATCAGACACTACCGTATCGCGCCTCGAAACGCAAGACAATGCCTCCCCCCTCCGCACACAGTCCTATGCTGTCGACGAAGACAGTAAATCATAAGAAATCATGAGTCATTTCATCCCACGTATCAGTGGTCTCGTACATATCTTTGTGAACATATCATTCGGGGGCAAACCCAGGCATTGCCCAAATGGCCCTGAGGGCAAGTCTCGCTCGCTGAAAAGCTTCGAGAGTAAAACGTTGTTATCATCGGTTTATAATTCCAATGGTGTGTGTGTGTGTGTGCGTGAGTGTATTGTCCTTCAGCGGAAACGTGCTGACGCCACAGCGCTTCGTTCCTGAATCTGTTGCTCGGTTGAAACGTATAGTCTGTCCAGGTAATCCATCGCGGCTGCGTCCTTAAGAATCTTCGCAACCTGGATACCGGCACTGATTAGTTGGAGGATGTTCCGGTCATCCTTCAGCGGGCGCGACTGATGCTTCGCAGCATGCCGCATCTCCAACGAATTTTCCAGAATTGTCACAAACTGCTTGATCTGTCCGTTATAAAGGACCCGGGCGGGGATTCGCCTCTTGGTCGCAAGGCGCTTGAGTAAGTAAACCCATTCGGTCCATTCTCTATCATGTGGTCTCTCGACTGGCCTCATATCCTGGGTCAAAGGAATTGGAAACTGGTATTTTGCAACAAAGTCGAACGCGCACTGCGAGAGTCGATCGTTGACTTGCGTCAGGACACTATCCTGTTCTTGCACCAAAAGATTTGTAGGGAGATGAGGAAGCTCCCTCTCCTGCATGGCCACATAATCCGGCGGGGGCCTCGCTAGGTACTGATGAGGTCCATCGAACTCGTCCCTATTAGAGGGTCGTCTCTGAGGACGGCCCTTGCCACTGCTCTTGGACTTTGCTGCTGGCGCAGAACTTCCGCCATTATTATCCAAGGTATAATCCGATAAACTGGGAGACGCAATAATATCATCAACAGAATCCGTTGGGGAGTATCTGCTCGGTCCATCCCAACCCTGCGAGCCTGTGCTATTGTACGAGCCATACGCTCCTCCGGAAGAAGCTCCATATGGCCCGGACTGCGCTCTCGAGATGTAAACCGGCGAGGAAGAGTATGCAGACTGGTGCCGGCCGACTGGACCACTGGTCCCCATCATCGACACATTGGCTGGCGAACTGTATGCTGAACCGCACCCGGACGAGTATATCACACTTCGGAGGCCAGTGTTATTCCCATAGTCTACAAAACGGGGGGGATTTCTCATTCGCCCTTACCTTGAGCTTGAGTACCCGTTCTCACGGGTGCTACCTGGATATATGCTGTCATTATAAATGACGCTTGAGGAAGTCAGCTTGACCGCAATAACAGAGACCGACAACATGATTCAATGATCGCACCTGCGGGAGGAATTCCAGGATCCGTTCGGCATGGCAGAAGTTCGGTAGGCTACTTCCTGATGGGCCATGATCCTCACAACTTCTTTGGGGGGGACAAAGAAAAAAAAAACGTGGCCGACGGGGCGGAGAGATTGTGAGATAAAATAAGAACTGCACTAGCTCCGGTAGAAGCTAAAATCCCGGCGATATACGCCTGGCTCTCTAGAAGAAGGGCCCCAGAAATACCCTTTTTTTTTTAACACAGATTCTAAGTCTGGGTCCCCAGGATCCACGGCGGATGTCCTTTGCAGATTGGGATGGTTCGGTTCTGGAGCGGTGAATAGCGGGCGCGCTGCTGGCCGGGAAAGGAAATGGGAGTCAAGTGGCTCGGCGGATTCGGTAGCAACCTCGGGAGGACAACATAGACCCGGATGCGAAGGGAATATCGCATGCTCCAGTATAGATGAAACCTCAAGGCAGTATGGACTATCTTCACCTTATTCCGAAGAAGGTAAACCCTCGATAGAATTGTGCCTTTAAGCTTGAGGTCCGAGGCGTGGACACTTTATGCTATAACGAGGTCTGTCGAATTTCGCCACCGCGAACGGATCAAGTTGTGCTTTTTCTTTTGGGTGACGAGGCGCGCCGAGCAGGGCAGTCCCCAGAACCGATATCAAGGGGCTCGCCCCAGCTCTAACTCAAACAATGGGGCTGCAACGTAGGTTCAAGGCGGACCTCACGCGCTGCGAAGTTAGTTAGGGATGGGGGTATAGGTGCCGTCTCGGGCGTCGACCACCGATTCGATACGGGGCTGGACGAATCGACCAATCCTTAATTAGTCAAGATCGACCAACGAAGCAGTTTGATGGAATTGTAAGCCAGATGACGGGGTTCGAAAAGAGTAGCTACGAATGTCTAGGAACACCCTACCTATAGTGCGAACGTGCGAACGTGCGAGCGTTCAACAAAAAGCGCCGTCTCCAAATCGTGATAATAACACACACACACACACACACACACACACACACAGTAGACCGTCCACTCAGGCGGCGGGATCGAAGAAAAAGCCGTAATTGGCTGTTGCAGCCCAATCACGGTAGGGCAGCATTGGGCAGCTGAGAACTAAAAAGAAGTGTCCAAAGTGTTCCAAAGTGTCCCTCTCGTTCCTGCTTGTCCGTCTTGTTGCCCAAAGGACTGCAGTCTTTCTGCAGTATCTGCAGTATCTGCAGTATATGCAGTATCTGAAGGGGTATTAGCCTAGACTATTGCAGGGAAATTCCTGGTGAACGAATAGCGGTGACCCTCCGAGGCGGACTATCTGACTAGATTGGGCAGAAAAGCGTTGCACGAGCGCAAAAGCCCAACCCCAACCTAGGTAGGTAGGTATGTATGGTGCAGTGCAGGTACATTGCTGCCCGGAGCATTCCTATCCAGAGTTCATAGATGTATTGTACTATGGTAATTGTATTTGTAGCCCGCCCGAAAGGAGGAGGTCCGGAGCGCGAATATGCATCCATAGGTACAAAAAGCAAGCGTGTGGGAAAGGGGGGGGGGAGGCGACGTGTGCTTCTCTGTGAGCGCCGAGCGGTGCTGCGAGCATGTGAGTTGGCTCGCCGACCACTTACCACGTATTCGGATCCCACACCTTGGTATCGTCATTTCATAGCAATGCCTAGACTCTACGATTATGGGGGTTTATTGGGACTATGGGGTATGTAGGGGGGTCGGATCGCAACGAGATCAATTACTGTTGGTATTTTTACCATTTTTACCACTTGAATGTTGCGGTTGGGTTAAGAAGTTGGTGGAGATAAGATCATATCGAGATGAAGAATTGGAACTTATAGAACGCATTGACCATATATCCTAGTCGCATGGGTACCCCATGGGCCTCCGTGGTCCGCTATTGTAGTCCGCTATTTCTGTTTCCTTAGGAGGCACCTAGGGAGATAATTCAGTTGATCTTCTAAGCTATAAAACTATAAAAAAGCGCTAGACACGGCTAAACAACAGCGCTTCAGTTGTCAACTATAGGTACCTACCTATCGTAATATGGGTTGCTTGGAAGAAAGGTACCTAACCAAAACCTGTTAAGACTTGCTTTTCGCCCGTCTTACACTACACCTCTACAACTAACATGAATCCACTGCGCATGCGAGGGGTCTCAATTCTCAATGTAAACAAAAGCCGTACCTCTCAAGGAATTATACAGAACCATGCGCCAAGATAGGTAAAGGAAACTTGGGTCTGAAGAAATAGGCTCGATCTTATGCTCTCCCATATCGCCTATAACTCTGGGAACGTATAGTAACCTCTTGATCTATCTCTCTGCCCTTGTATCATGACAGGTCAATTAGATGGATTATGTCGTACGTTGATATGTACTCGACTGGAGTATATGGGTCCCGACATACATGGCTCTCGGATGTGTTCCAGAGAAGGGACATTTAAGGTGCGTGCGATTGTAGGGTATGATGAATGACCCTGTCATGCTGGGACGAGCGGTATCTTCCGAATATAATTGGCCAGTCGCGCTATGTCAGCCCTATATGGGATCTGGAAAGACTCGAGAATGTAAGAAGGCTGACCGGTTATCCATTGGAAACTAATGTCGTCCATTGCCGTCTCTAGAGCCGTCTCCTACTGCCCACAACTTCCCGGCTAAGGGAAAGACATTGACTTGGCATTATGGGAAGATTCTCAACTGTAGATATCTTCAACTCCGTAGTCCTAGCTAGTTCCAAACTTGGCTAATGTATCTGCTACTATTTCATTCATAAAGGGCGGCTTATATTTGCGTGAAGCAGTAAGACGGCAACGGTGGCAAGGTAGCAATGAAGGAGTAAAGAGGTGTGTAACAATGACGAGCAGCCGGGAAGTATAAAATGTCGCAAGCAGCCATCCGGCATGTAAAATGCAGAAGAATACCTGCTCACACGTGGTAGTGATACGCCCCTTGGGTCAAATAACATGGCGAGCCTCCTCGTCCACGACTTACGCGATATGTCAGCTGAAGGGATTTTGCTTCTTCTGTACCTAACAATCGCAATATGTGCTGTAGTGACCTATAACAAGATCCTAGCAATAGTTACATTCTCTAACTCTTAACGATGAGATGATTGGCTTCTATTATATTGACAGGCCTGACAAAAGCAATAGGAGGCTTTCGGTCGTAAGAAAAGCCGGATAGCGGAATGTACCTAGTTAAATAGGACTTTACGCACGTAGCGACATGTTAATTAGTATAATGCTCTTCCAAGTTGAGTATTCAATTAATATTGGCTTTTTAGCTTAAACACCGTTCAAGGATCACACGATACTTCTTTAATATCTTAGTATAAGGAGTACTTAACCAGCCTTACATTAGGTAAGTTACCAATCGAGATATGGCGAATCCCTGGTCCCATATATTTAGAAAACGTCTGCCTGCCCGCAAGCCCGGGAGTGTTACGTATAAATGTCAAATTCTATTAATAAACCTGGGTTCGCTCTGATATTAATTAAATTCTTCAGCCAAAAGCATTTATATTCGTACACTACAAAAACGAACCTGTAAAATGAGATCGGGAATTATCTGAGCAAGATATTTTAAATCGATATATCCGTTTCCTTAATCAAGTATCGCGTGATGGCGTTATATAACCTGTGAGCTAAGCTTTGTATGTATGAGGTATGTATGTAATCTTACACCATCGTTACATATTAATAAGAATCTGGGCTGAGCACTGACCAGCGGGATCTACATACATAGTAAGTAGTCGTAATTGAGCGCTGACAGTGGGTCTTTCTGGAAATACAACGCCACACGAGGGTAGGGTAGGATTCGACTGAAGATGGGGGAATGGTTCAATGAAATCATCGCCCGCAGCCAGGGGTTCATTCGCTCTGGATCGAGGAGAATCGTCTGCCTGACGAGGTTATTAATCATACATTGAGAGGAGAAAGGGTCACACAAAGGTATGTTTTATGTCGAACAAACCGCTATACCACTAAAAGGTTAGGTATTTATTTGGTAACAGATTTTATTCTATTACATTTTTTATATGTATCGGACAGACATTTATGTCTGACATTTTATGACCGCGCCTATTCCCCTTTTCTCGTGATACCCCCTTTGGACTTACGAACTTCGCATGAATACGATGGCTGAATCAGCTCCCACAATCCAGCGCCAACGTCAACGCAAGTTTCATCGCAGGTCAAGAAACGGCTGTTCCACATGCAAGACAAAGCACATCCGATGCGACGAGAGAAAACCACTATGGTAAGTTCCTGATATGGTGCTCCGTTTGCCCGCGCGGGATTGTATAATAAGTATACAAAATACGTCGCCGCAAATTGTGCAGGTGATTGGTGCCCAACACCAACCAGGAAGCGTTACTTCGCGTCTATTACCCGCAGATCCTTCACGTATGCCTAGCCCAATTTATTCTGTTGCCTACCTAGGTATCTATACGCAGCCTCATCTCCGTCACACTACACTGGTAAAATCTATCATGAGGCGCTTTCCAGTAAGGCTGACTGTGCTGTAGCACATACTGTCTTCGACATGGTGGAGAATGTGGCTACCCGGACGGAGATGCTGAGTCTAGTACCCCGGAGCCCGGGCGTGGATCCGGATCCAGGGCTGGATCTAGAGAGCCTCACGAATCTGTCGAACCTTGCCTGCTCTTGGTAGACGCTTCTCTAAAAGATCCGTTCCTAGGAACCTCGTACGATATACCCCACAAGTCACGGTCGTTATTCCAACTCTGTGAGTGATCTCGATCGTGTTCGGCGAGGCGTGATAGCGGAGACTAACTAGTTGCCGATGCCCAGTCGCAAATACAAGGGTACTGTACAGGACCCGGGTTGAAAGAAGTGCGGATTCATTCATGTGAGTAGATGACCACGAGTATGCCTGTGGGGCGGAGCTTGATGTTCGAGAGATTCGGCCTGACTCGTACGTGCCTAGCGTACACAAAGCCTTGTTGCATCCCGGGTTCCTCCATGCTGCGTTGTTAATGACTGCCCTGCATTGGGCATGGTGCACTGGTGATGTCGAGCACTTCCGAGTCCCTTACCTCTATCACAAGCTGCAGGCGATACGATTCGTCACGGACCAACTAAGGAACCCGGACGCCGCCATCCACGATGGCACAATAGCAGCCGTCTCAAGCCTCGCTCTGGTCGAGGTATGTACCACTCCAAGGAGAAGGATGGCTTCACTCAGCCTACTAATAACTTTCAGAATGCCTTGGGGTCTGTCGACGCCGTATCATCTCATCTACGCGGGCTCGCGAAGATAAAAGAATTACAAGGCGAAGACAGACGTCCTAGGAAGATGGGCTTGCTTCAACGAATGATCCTAATGTGCGTATAATCAGCCTTGGCCTTGCTAGTGATTAAGGCTGACGTACCCTCATAGGGCAGCCAGAAGCGTTTCCAGCCGCCCCGTTTGGGATATCCTTGACATTAGTCGAACAGACCTGGTACATCAGTCCGTGATAATATCACTGCTCCGAGTTGCACTCCGGCCAATCTATAGCCTGCGAATGTTAGGTAGCTCGTACGATTCGAAAGAGCCGCTCTCAGAAATCCTAGCGAGAAAGGCACCTCACTCTCGAGTAAGCGATAGTAACGCCTTATCGCCTCTCAGATCAGTCGATAGTAGTAGATCCGGGTTCATAGCGTGCTACTTCTATCTCTACGTAATCATACGTGAAGGCATGGTTGATTCATTCATACTTAATTGGCTCATCGAGCAGTTACTTGCGGACGTCTGCCGCACCGAGATGCCCATGCAGGCGGGCCAATATAGTCAGTCGCTCTGGTTTTGGTCTGTTATGTTTGGTGCGTGCGTCACAATGGCGGCTAAGACCAGTGACGATCTCGAGAGGAAACAGATCAAGGCATACCGAGACGTATATTTGGACAAGATCAACCTCGTGAGTCGCGTGCTAAAGATCAAAAATTGGGAAGCGGCCAAGTCGACACTAAGGCTCCTCGCCTGGGAGGACGACTTTGACGGAGAGACGGAACTAAAAGCAGTATGGGAAGAGGCTGTCTGGGAAAGCGAAAAAGCATCCCACAAATGGTACAGCGGGAAAAGCGTCGAGTATCAAAGGGCTAGGAATTGCTGGTGAAAAAAGTGAAGATCTGGCTTGCTTGAATAAGTGTGTCTCGCATAATAAAATACCGGAATGGTACTGTATACCTATAGCATCGTGCCTGAATTGGGTCAAAGATATATGTTAATACCCTTTTACAAACCCATAGGACACGATAGCACCGGATAGGCAAAGCCATATCGAGCAAAGACTGAAGCCGTCACGACCGGACTTGTCGGGGAATTGAGAAACATCTCGTCAACCCGAAATGCCGGCCTAGCTGTCCCAAAACTGCATCCCACATCCACGCCCACGCCTACGCAACAAGCACGACTGAAACATCTTTCCCCCCTCTTGCTTCCGATAAAAACCGTCGATGCAGACGCGGCGGTTAGGAAATTCAGATGGTCTTTGATACTACATGGTGAGTATGGGGATTGCAGCGGAATGAAAATATTGCTCTTTTTTTTCTTCGGTCGGATGGTGCGGATAGCGATTTGTCAGTGCGGATCGAATAGCGGATCGAATAGGACCAGCAAAGCAGACAGCAGCAAATCAACTATTCTGCTATTCAAGGGACCAGCTTGAAAATCGTCAATTTTTAATTGTCAATTGTCATACATGACAAGTCAGGGCTTAAGGACGACTAATGTGTCCATTTAGCGCCAATTAATCCAATTAATTCATTCGATACCATTGGTTTTTGACTGATGCTAAAACGAGACAACCACTCGTAAAATTTTCTTCATCTTTCTTTTTTTTTTTTTTTGGTTCTTTTTCTTTCTTTTGCTCACCGACTATTCATCGTTGATAATTTCCAATGCGGAAAACAGGCGCAAATTGCACCTCCATCTAAGGACTGTCGCTTTTTTTTTTTTGCTCGCCGAGAATCCGAACGAAAGCCAGCTGATGATGCACAATATCGACGGTGCAGTGCTGGCAATGAGGGTTTTAAGAAGACGGCTTAATATTACACAAATTTCCGCGACTGGCGCATGGCTCGTGCAGCTCGTGCCAGTAGAGATGCAGAACAATGCAGTTCTATGCAGTGATGTGCTGGCCAACTTCAGCTACGGGACAACCCCTCGTCAAATGTCGTCATGGCGCATAAGATAGCACTCAATAGACTGTCGACAACATTCAGGGTCTCCACATGGTTACGGTCCGAGCCCTGCGAACCTATTACGAATGCAGGATCAAAAGGGTAATCACGGCCGTGACTGCCAGCGCAGTTTCTCAGTGGACATGGGAAAAAGACATTGAAGGAAGGTGGAAGGAAATTATCAGGTAGCAGTTGCAGCAGCGATCAGCCAGTAGTCTGTCAGAAACAGGTCAGTAACCAGGACAGTGGCCCATAATTAACCAATTAACATCAAGTTCGTGGACCCTATCCTGCAGGTTTTGGAGCGGGGTTGATAACAATCTGCACACCCATGAAACTTTTTCCCTGCTTTTTGCTGGATATTGCTGGGTATTGCTGTATTTTGCTGGCTTCGCTGATTTCTAGCCCGGCGCCAATGCCCAGGGTGGTAGGTCGACGACGGCCAACGGCGTCGATGAAGCACGACACCCTGGCATCGTGTCATCCTATCACTTCTTGTGCGTTGGCCAACCCCATCCATCAGTCTTGCCTATGGCACAACAATAAAACCCGAATGTCCCCTCTCTCTGCCCAACATCCATTCTTCACTCCTATTTTCCAGCCCAAAGACCTGACGTTTCTGCCCAACCGAGACCCATTATCACCACTCTCATCATCCCGTGGCTTATTTTTTGTTGCTCTACCCAAGACATCTTCCACAGTCCCCCACAGGACAGCCCATCAGTACCCCATCAGGCCGTGGTTTATTAACCTCTCCCAAGGATCGACTGTTGCAACACCTCTCCGTCGACAGAGGAACTGTATCCAGTTCAGTTCAGTTCAGTTGAGAAACCAGTCTCACTGCTGCTCCGTGTCCCCCAGTGTTTTGCCACAGGATTCATAGGGATCATCCGGAGAGCCTGTTACTCGTTTCATCCCAGAAGGATTCAATGTCAGCCATGGTTGCTTCCCGCCAGGACAACATGTCAGGCTTCAACTCATCTTTAGACATGGATGACGTCCACACTCCTGCGAGGTATATTGCATTGTTTTTTTTCTTTTCTATTGCCGGAGTATTGGGGTTTATTTTCTTTTGTCGGAATAATCATGTTGTTCGAAAGTCATGTACGCGTTGCTTTTCATTCTCTTACTGGCAAGTGCTTCGCTTTGTGCTCTGCCAGGATATGACCCAGGACATTCCGTTTCCAGGACAGGACAGGACAGGACAATTCCAGGACAGGATCTTCAAGGAAATGGAGCCAGATGGATGCCGGAGGACAATCTTCCTAGGATTCAAACCGAGGACAATATCTGAGGCTCCTTGCGAGTAGCAAAGTCAATACTTGTATTGTCTAAGCTTGACCACTCCACGTCTCTCAGATGGAACAGATATTATCAGAGATCAGCTCTCATTAAACCTACGGTGAGTATCGCCCGCGAAGAACATTTGTGACAACAGACAACAACCCCAGGATAGATTCCAAGGACACCAGTGAAAAGTATTGCATTGTTACCAGACCCGGATAGGACCTCATCCCATGGACCAGTTGTGAATTGATCTTCGAGCTTTACGGACTTTGCCCAGGAATTTTTAGTACGGATCAATGGATTTTCTAGTCATACTTTACCTTTGGACACTTCAACAACAACTCTGGTTCACGAGTGGACGCTCTCGTTTCTGCTGCGTTGCTTCGCACATTCAGTGGTAGTATCGGGCAACGCTTGACTTGTACTCTGGATCCTCGGATTTGATCATAGGATAAACGACATTTCGACTTGAGCCAAGGATTATTTCTCTTCTGGAAACCCCTTAAGGAGCAGTATTGCGATGTCGCTTTTACCAAGGACCCTGGGGTACACCTAGCTTCTTCGCCAAAGGAACTGCCAACGTCTGGATTTGCACATCTTGTTGCCTTCTCGACTACAGTACGTATGCCATTGCATGCCGACTCGATCGGCTAATATATCTGATTGACCGCGTGTATGTAACTAACATCAAACTCTTCGTGCTCTAATAGGCACTTCGATCTGGAATTCCCTGGTTTTTATCTAGCCGGATTTCCTTTCTACATATGCTTTTTCAGTTTACTGTTTAGGCCAATGCGTTTTTACAACTTGGATCATCCATCTCGGGATTGCATTTTCTCTCTGTCGTTTTCTCTGGGTCCTGTTTTGGATTCTTAGTTTGCACACGACACTTCAGTCTGGTTTGTACACATTGCCCCCTACTCAAGCGAAAGGTGTTGAAAAACTAACCAATATCGCGACAACAGGAACAAAGTTGTGCCATGCTGAAAGTATTTCATTTGTACTTGGTTTTGGGGCACATCTTCGTGATTTTCACCACCGGCTAGTGGAAAACAGAACACTAACCTCAACCTCAGTGACTACAGCTCTTTTTCCCAAGGAAATATGCTTGCCAATTCCAGCGGATCTTTTCTTTATTCTCAGACGGGACATGCAGACCTCCATGGTTCAGTATGGGACACAACAGCTGAAGGAACACAGAACTTCAATGGAGAAGAGGATTTCCATTTTTCATATGGACAAGTTACTCCCAGACAGGACCCGAATGAAGCCGTGGAAGATATGACCAGCAAATGGATTGCCGCGGAGCAGGCCCAAGCTCCTACCACAGAGCCCATGCGGAGGATTAGCTCGCGAGGCTCCTCTGGAAGCCACAAGAACAGAACAATTAAGCCCTCTGCTCACAAGAGCCGGCCGAGACTACCTCAAGTCTCGCACATGCCGAATTTTGACATGACAGGTAATCCACAGATGGATGCATATCTCCTCCAGGATTCAGATACCCATTCAGTATCTTCTCAGATGTTCTACCCAACGCTTCCCATCAGTGTAAGCCTGTCCGCGGATGGACTTCCCTACTCTCCTGCTGTTCTCTCGTCAGGAATGGCGCAACAGCACATCGACCCAACCCAGATGCAGCTGAACTTCGAGGCTAACCTTACGGGGAACTCGCCTGCTGCTACTACGTGGAGCTCACTCAGCCCCGTTGAGTCTCGGATTTCTACCCCCGGTCCCGGTGAGGATGCGTGGTCTGTACCTATGGATTCTTCGCCCACGCGAACTAATGACTCTTCGCCTATTATGGATGGCATTTCGCCAAGGTATGTTAAACAATGCGCTATGACATTTGGAAACACTCTGACGTAGAGAACGTCATTAGCCTCGATCGCCAGATGGGCTTGATGACCACAGAGGACCCCAATGGAGTTGTTTTGCCAGACGATATGTTTGCATTGCCTCCTGCTTTCTCGCGCCGCTCCAGCGGCGACGGTGAGTCTTCTGCTCGGGACCACCCCTTGTACAAGAACGCCTACCCGCAAACCGACGGGCTATTTCACTGCCCTTTTGAGGGTCAGTCCAGTTGCAACCACAAGCCCGAGAAGCTCAAGTGCAACTACGAGTCAGTCCCCAATTGCCTTAGTCGCGCCTGCAAATCTAACCGAAGTATAGCAAATTTGTCGACTCGCACTTGAAGCCATACCGATGCAAGATCGAATCTTGCGAGAATGCTCGATTTTCCTCTACCGCATGTCTCCTCCGACATGAACGCGAAGCTCATGCTATGCATGGCCATGGTGACAAGCCCTACCTCTGCACATACGATGGATGTGACCGTGCTGTTCCTGGAAATGGATTTCCGCGCCAGTGGAACCTAAAGGACCATATGAGACGCGTCCACAATGATAATGGAAATTCTCTCAATGCCGTCAGTGGATCTCCCCCGTCCGGACACGGCTCTTCCGCACATTCGGCCAAGGGCCGGAAGCGAAAGAGCAAGGATTCCGTAGACAGCACCAGCAGCCGCAAGCATGCTTCCAGATATGCCCAGGCAGCAGAGGCAGCTATGAGAGCCGCTGAGCAACCCATGGTGGATGAATGGTACCAGCACCACAAGGCTCTACAGACATACCTCCAGGAATTTAGCGTCCCGGATGCTTTTGACTACCTGCAAAACATCTCTGAGGCCAGGGATCACTTGGCAGCCATGGGAAAGATCTCCCAGAAGTTGCTTTCTTCCAACAAAGGGTCTAGCACCCAGGACTCGTACAGGCGATCTCACGGACACCACTCTCGCTAAGTGAAGAATGTATGTGATGATAACTCCCACGTTGTTTTATGTCCAATATAGCTAATTTAATATCTCGCAGCCACTAGTGAGACTTGCGGACCATGGATGTTTTTACAAGCCAAGGAATTTGCAAGTGCAGACTTCTAATTTTACTTTTACTTCCGCTGGTCAGGAGACCGCGACGGAGCCTAGCCAGGCTCCACGAGGAATATGTGGAAAACCACGCTCCAAGCCAAATCCGGCATTAGGACCCCAGGGATTCCGGCGCTGCCTCTCATTGATTGTAGAGTTCCCGGATTGAGAACTGGAACCAAGGACATGCCAAAGGATGGCGAGAGTTGATCCAGGATGTATATGCCTGAGAAGATGAGGATATGCCACGAGAGGGCATGATGACCATTGCGGCTACGGTGAAGATCAAAGTAACCGTCGCCCCGGTGGTCGATTGTTGAAGATTTGTAACCACAAGGTGGTGATAGAGGAGGCCATTATCGGTACAGGTGACCTGAATAGATGGCACTTGATATTGCGTCGCGGGGTGTTGAGTCTAGAATAGCAGAGCTATATTTAGAAGTTTGATATTTGAAGTGTTTTAGTTAGCAGTCGAAGAACGACTATCGTCCATAGCCTTGATAAAAGTGTTCCTTTTGTAGTCTTCCGTCTCGTGGATACTTTAAAGATTGTGGTTGTCCCTGGAGAAAGAGTGAGGAGTGAAATATGGACTGCTAAGCTCTTGAGGAATACATAATTCACATAGGTCCTAGTTCTGCCCATCATAGCGCTAGAGTACCTGACTCTATATATTCTTACCATGAGGGCTCCAATGGGAACCTAATCTATGTCTTAGCTTTATATGAGAATGTAGTACTTAGCAATATGACCCTGAGTATAAATACGGATAGTTCTACAGGTATGATTCCCAGTACTCATCATGTTGCGAAGTACAATGTCACCTATGTCTCTATGTAGAGGGGGAGTACTTAACCTACCCAGCAGGCATCTATATAAAATCAAGGCTGATTCTCGATATCTCGATAAGGAATGTGGCGTTCTAGGCAGCGGAGATCCGGAAATAGGTTTTGATAATATAGATAGCTCGTACAAGGTCTATTAATAGGCGTCGATGTGGCTCGTAAGAAGGGGGGGGGAGTATGGGATGGTACGGAAGGGGAGCAGAAGCGGGAACCCGTGCGGTCTCGCAGGTGTGACATAGCACATAGTGATAAGCAGAACTTGGAGACTGGGTAACCTAGGCTTAATACGTTTAGCGATTCGAGACGTATCACGCTGGAGCAAGTGCATGAAGACAGTTGGATCTTTGGGTTTCTAGTCTCTTGCTGGCGAGGCCAACTATAGTTACGGGCAATCTTCAAGCGATATAGGTCTATAAGATGTCCGTCGTACCGTAGCCAGCGGGTGTCACTCCTTAAGCCACTCCGTTGCGCCTATTTACATTAAGAAGCCTCGGATATGACCCCGGTTCTAATAGACGGGCTTCGTGCCTCGATTCCATATGGTCTAAACGTATGAGTCAATATCATAGTTAGGTAGAATACCGATCTCATAATCAAACAGCTCATGTTGAGACCTGGTGAGTTACAGATATAGGCTATGATTATAGATAAGACATCCAGAATAAAGAATCTTCTCAGTATATATGGTTACTGTTCTCTGTAACTTAAGCTTAGAGTTCCGTAAGATATAAAAAAGTACATAGCATCGATGACACCAGATACTTAGATTTGGAGGCTGGGCACTCTATATAGCATAAATAAGGATCTATAGAAAACCTAGTGATTCACAGATGTAATAGGGGCGTGATAACTACGTGATTTTACTCAACCGAACATGAGTCGAGACTACGAGGTTATCACGGCGATGGATGATCCTAATTATCGATTAACTCAAGAGGCAGACCATATGACGTGGGCTTATCATTAATTGTTCATGCACCTGTAGCATCATCCAAGTCCCAAATATGGAGGATTTCACCAAACCCTGATCCTCCGGCCGTTAATCGCCGAGGTAGGTGTACTATGATGACCGTGGAGACATGTAAAGCACGTTATAGAAAACCTGCCCTCGCCAACAGCCCCGCCAATAGCCGCAAGAGAGGAGAGCAGTGAAAGGACTCCTACCAGATCGAACATCTGTTTCACGCACCGAATCCTTCTAGGGTGGAGCGAATTGTTTACAGAACCGAGTACCAAACCCCTAGACTACGACTACACACACCTTGAAACCCCAATTACTACCTAACGCTGCAATGCATACCACCTTGGTTACATACTTACAGCCTTCCTATGAACATGCATAGGTAGGTACATACCAACATAGGTCATTTGGACATATGCGGTTTTTTTAAGGATGCACATCGCTAGATCCCACGCGAAGAGGATGATCAAAACATAGATCATGTTTATGATTTATTTCTGTTTCTCCAAGATGGCCTCCTTATCACCCAAGTACCCTCGGTAGATAGGTGTGCACTATGGTCCAACATGTAGTAGACCCCTTCCCCTCCTGAAGCGCCCAGTAGGTGAGAGCGATAAGCTGTAGGAAACGAGTATAGACGACCTATGTCTAGATGTGAGCGATTGGTATTTTCTAAATCAAACCGGCCTCCCATGTCTACCCCTAAACCTAGGAAAGGGGGAAAGCCTAAGCCAGTCTCAGTCTGAATGTTCTCATTGAGTCTCAACGAGTGGAAGCGAGTACTTCCATAATAGCAACCCGCGAGTCTGTGTCAACACAGTTAAACAGTCGTCCTTGCTCAAAACTGCGTGTATGCCTTTAAGAACTTGAAACTGATCTAAACCACGATGTAAATTCTGGCCTGATACCCCCAAATGAACGAACCAAGACCCATGCAATGCGTGGTTAAGAACCCCCCTGCCCTGATGCCTATTAAACGCCGGTGTTAACGATATTGAAAGTAACCCGCATGACGCGTAACTGTTAGTATGAATTAAGGCAATTCGGCGCGATTAGGTATCTGCTGGATAAGCCTTAGGTCATTACCCGCTTGATACATGATGAAGATCCAATCTCTCGGTTGTAAGTTGCTCGCTGATATATCGGCCCTGTAATAGCTACGAGGAGGTATTTGTGGTGAGCGGTAGGATGTATTTAACTCCTCTTCAGGTTCCGATTGCATCTCGAGATCGACATACCGGGGAGGTATAATAGGAGGCAATGGTTTATTGAGGTTGACACGTTGATGACTGGCAGATAACGGCGCTAGGTGCCGTAGAAGAAAAGACGATGACGACGTTGACTGATCAATAAAGGTCGTAAAAGACGGTGAATGTGTCAGTGGTATTCTATCCCTGACCGTCATAGAACTACGTTGTCGTAAAGACTTTAATATCCCTGGGAGATAGGTTGCGAAAAATGGCTTCATAGCCGGAATAGAAGCACATATCTTGTTATCGTATTAGCGAGAGCTTAAATATATAGACGATACCGTTCACATACTATACCGAGATTCAACTCAACAATACTGGTAAGCCAGACATCCCTGCGATTCTTGATATCATCGGAATGAAAAGCCAAAATCCACGCATAGTAGCTCCTCACAATTCCCGCGGAACTTGCGAGAATACCGAGCCCGAATAGGAAGATAACTATACCGACTTGCCTGATAGGCAAGTTTAACCCAAGGGCCACCCAGATGGGTATGAGTACGACGACCCAGTCGGTGATGGTATTGATGATACTAGCTGCGAGCATGTGAGCAGCCCAATCGATACAATGTTGTGGCCGGACCGAATGATCCCAAAAGGCTGATAGAGGTCTAATAGGTTAGGTAGTTAGATATAAATATCAGGTTATTCTCTGCGTACTAGTAAACGTACATGCATTGGAGAAAGCTGACAAGGATGAAGACGAAGCAATTGACGCCAATAATCCCTATTAATACCAATACGGCAATAGTCACATTACGATCCCTCGCCGCAGTTGTGAGCCGGTAGAGCAGGATGAGTATTGATAACTTGGTTAAACTAGTGGCTAAGTCGAACAGGATTTGGTTGGCGAAACTAGTATGTTATTCAGCTTACACACATGTTACTAGATTGGAAACGGAAGAGGGCTTACACTATTTGTAGGCTATCGGTAGAGAGATTTGATTCCCCGTTCCTATTGTGATGGTTCCGCTGAAGCTTCTCCTCGGTGATAATGCCGATTAAAGTGAATGCGGTGGAAGGGAACTACCGAATATTAGTGAGTGCAATGGACTATAGTGTCATTAAAACTCCGACATACATATGCGAGTATAATGAAGATATCGTCAAGCCCGAATCCCCGAGTTAACCACTTACGGGTATATAAGCGAATGGTTAAAGTAATCGTGACCACACTGGCAAGTATGATGCCAACGGTCATTCCAAGGTGTCCTTTCGTCTCTGGTCCAGGATGGTTTGGTGTTGAACGGCTAGTGAGAACCGTGATGAGAGGTAGTCGCATCTTGTATTTGTACTCTTTGGTCCGGGCCACAGGATACCTCGAGAGATGTGTTCATAAAAAGCTTCCACGGTGACGTACACCACCCTCGTGGGGATAGGTAGCCTTGACCAACAAAGGTCCGAGCCGCCTTCAGTTGACCGACTTCAAGATGGAGATGCAGGGTTCTTATGATGTCCAACTTATCAATGCAGGGAATCCAAGCCTTACACGTTACATTATGTGGGTGAATATCGTCTGGGTCAATCCCCGGACTAAGAAGATGTTAGGACAGCATATATGATCCCGTTATTTCGAATGGTGTTGGGCATTCCACGACCTAGACATAAGAGAATACGTCCAATATGAACTTACTAAATGTAAATAAATAGTTGCTATCGTTAAGTTTTAATATTGCCACGTACCTACGGGTGAGATCCTCGATGGCGATAAGGGTCGTCGGAACATCCCAGACATTTCTTCCACTTGGAAACGGTCCGAGGCAGTTATGAGTATTCATACGTTTCCCGTATTGATCGATAGATGGCTTCTGCCCCCACCGCACGGGGGCCGAAAAATAGTATCTGGGGAGAAGAGATAGCGTAAAGAGCCTACATACGGGTAGATGGATGCAGGTCACTTATGGCTTGCATGCCGAGACCCATGTCAGCCAAAGGGGCGCTTATCAAGTATCAAGATCAGTAAACTGGCGATAGAACTTGGCAAGTCTGTGATTTAATAGTCGAAATTTTAACTCATGGGTGATATCAGTTTCACATACTTTCGTCCATGTGCTTGTAGATTAGATCGATATCAACTATACATCTCACGGAACCCGAGAATATGTTGAAAGGAGTGCGGAATTCGCACATAATAACAGATAGGGACGCCGTCGACAGAGAGCCGCGCGGATGCGTTTAGACTCGGCTCTCCCGTTTAGGTTGCGAGATGGTATCACACCTTTACTTACATAATCTTAACAGGATTGATCCGTTCGGGATCTCATACGATCCAACTGTGGACCAGAGCTGAGTGGCGTTTGGTAAGGCATTCGGAGCATGGAAAGCGATCGCCTCTATAGTCCCCGAAAGCGCGCATATCGTGTAGGAGGGATGTTGCACCGCAGGAAGGAGGGCTGCAGAATTTCACGTCACCATTATCCCACCCCCTTGGATCGATAACTGCTAACCAACAGATCTTCGGTTGGTAGAACACCTGTAAGTGATAGCTCAAACTTTCACCAGTTCGGTATTTTGTATCAGAGGCCTGTCGGATAATGGATTTTCGAGTCGTACAAGAAGTAACACGGACTTCTAATATCTGTACAGGATCGTATTGACAGATGTATGTCTAGACTGTCCTTGAGCAGTTGAGCCGTGGTAAAGTAAGAACTCCGAAAGCGGTTGGTCGAACTGGCTCTAATAGATGCGAGCTACAGCTAGGATATGAGGTCGGTCGCCAAGCCAGTCATAAGGCCAGCAGCCATAAGGCTTAGACGACGATTACGATAGACCCAGATCAAGCACTACCGTCGATCCGAAAACGCATTAAAACGAAATCGTACAGACCCCGTACCAACGTAAGACCAGCATTGTAATACCCAACAATACGCCGTAAATAAAGTTGGCGCATACATATTCATGTTTCATAGGAGGTAACAATGGCGTACTTATGGTTGTCTAAGCCCAAAGCCTTCTGCCTTCATGGCGTAGGGGTACGAATCCTAAAACTCGATTGGCCTTTCAAACAGCGCCTCTCGGCTACAGAATTCAGTACTGCGTGCGTAGGGCCTGAAGATAGAGTTGAATCCTTGGGCTGAAAATGTAGGGTTGCTGTTGTATTACCATATGTACGATATGTAGCAGGTGACTTGAGAAATCATTTCGCAAGCTCTTCCCGAGAATGAGGTTGAGAAGCGAATTGTTGTATAAAACATCAATGCAAGTTATGCACGAAATGCGATTACGTACCGATATGTGACTGGAGAGGCAGTCACATATCGGTACGTAGTGCTTCGGACTTAGCACTCTCCACTTTTATTCGATGGAGGTTAGCCCACAAAAGTTGGCAAAATCACAAAATTAAAATCCTCCCACTTCCGCAGTTTCGCAGCAGCGTCGTTTTTCCAATTTTCAAACACCAACTTACGCAATAATCCTCACCATTAGAGCCCCTCTATTGGAAGACTGTCATCATGTCTAAAATCACAGTCGGTATGTCAATTATAAATTATTCCAACGGATATAGAGATAATATACTGACATTTCTACCCCGCTACAGCCGGAGTGCGTACCAACGTCAGCGAACTGCTTGACTACTCTCTCAACACCAAGAAGCGGAACTTCCTCGAGACCGTCGAACTCCAGATCGGCCTCAAGAACTATGACCCTCAGCGTGACAAGCGTTTCTCTGGCACCATCAAGCTGCCTGCCATCCCTCGCCCTAACATGACCATCTGGTATTACATTCCCTGTCTATCGTCAAATCAACATTGGCTTACATGTGGGATATAGCATCTTGGGTGACCAGCACGATCTTGACCGTGCTAAGCACGGTGGTGTCGACGCTATGTCTGCTGATGACTTGAAGAAGCTCAACAAGAACAAGAAGCTTATCAAGAAGCTCGCTCGCAAGTACGATGCTTTCGTTGCTTCTGAGGCTTTGATCAAGCAGATTCCTCGTCTCTTGGGTCCTGGTCTGTCCAAGGGTAAGTGAAAATCTGTATATCATTCGATAGAGATAAAAGCTAACGATTCTATTTCAGCTGGTAAATTCCCTACCCCTGTCTCTCACGCCGATGATCTCACTGGCAAGATCAACGAAGTCAAGTCCACGATCAAGTTCCAGCTCAAGAAGGTTCTCTGCATGGGTGTCGCCGTCGGAAACGTTGGCATGACCCAGGATGAGCTAGTTGGCAACATCATGTTGGCTATCAACTACCTTGTTTCGTTGCTGAAGAAGGGCTGGCAGAACGTCGGTAGCTTGACCATCAAGGCTACCATGTCTCCCCCTAAGCGCCTTTACTAGACGCTGTTTCGGCATAATACGTCACTGGAGGACGTAGTACTGGTAGCGCTAGCACTTAGGATTGTAGTCACAGCGCTCAGATAGGGCAAATAAACTGAACCTCCCAGACTAGATTTCTGTTCCATGATTGTAATAAATTTCCCATGCATCTCGTGATCTCGTACGTAGTTCTGGGTTAAACTAAGTCACGATTGTGGGAAAGGTCTCATACGAGCCACTTCGCAGAAAAATTCTCGAAACACAGTCTAGTTCCCACGTCTGGATATCTACTTGCGCTTGATAAGCTGGCTATTTGCAAATTTTTACGGTGGCCTTCTTCCAGGCTATTTCTACAGCAATTCCTAGCCAACTACGATGATTTATTTTCAATTCAAATAGCCCAGAAGCCATTAATTGCGTAGAATCGGAAATCGAACAATAAAACTAAATATCTCGACAGGAAATGTAGGAAACACCCCACAGTCGCGAACCAGGAAGAGCTGGCGTCGGCGGCTGATTAGGAAGAGCGTTTTCAAATTGATAAAGGAGGCCGGGAACGGAAGGAAACCCATAGAGAATAAGATGATAACCCTCAGCAAGCCACCGTAGTGGAGCCTCCATCTGAATTAAATAAACATTTGACGATGTAGATTTAACCCATACTGATGATGAGGAAAGGAAAAGAAGAAAATTTTGAAAGGCGAGGCGCGCAGAGAAAATATTTAAAGGCCTTTTTCGAGGTGGGGCATACCGTCGGCGCCCACCCAACCACTGGATGGACCCACTAAGTTTGAAAAGATTGCACGTGATATGATACACTACTAAAGGGTTATGTACCTAAGTACCGTTTCGTTCCGCAGGCGCGAAGCTCAAGAGTGATAAAATTATTTTTTCGCAAAGCATGACCACAGCTTAACCGCTCCTAATATATCAGATGAGACTCCAATAGACAAGTATTAGTTTAAAGGCCTTTTATATTTATCAACATCTATATACAGCCCAGAAATTCGTTAAATAGCTAGCTCGCTGTACCTAGTCTCTAACTGCATGTGTCTATTGCCCTTCCGCTCTGCTGCAAGTTTAGATGGTCTATGTCTAGTTCTCCATTCTATCTATGAATCACTTCACATGCTGTATCAAGGACCCAGAGTCCAAATCAACACCTCATCTCCTATAACCAGACACCTCGTGTCTTATAAGAGGGCAACACCATCCCTTGTAACCGCTATGAGATCGTTTATATCTTGGGTACTGCGCCTAGGTAGCCGTTTAAGACCGCTTGGATCAGCTGGTTAGCAATAGCTGTCTGCGGAGGCAATCTTAAAGCTCCCTCCTTGTATCCAGCTGGGGCTGGGTCTCCCAGACCGCTAACTCCAGTCGCTATGCCTTCTCTTACTTCATCGAAGGAGAACCATCTGGCGTCGGTCAATTCTTCGTCGTGGCCAAGATGGATCGTCTCGCCGCCAGGAGTGGCCTGGCCGATCGCGCCGATCATTAAGTTGGCGGGATAAGGCCACGGCTGCGAACTATGAATCACAACGCGTCCTACCGTCACGCCGCTCTCCTCCCAAGTCTCACGACGGACCGCCTCCTCGATGGACTCTCCAGGCTCGAGGAACCCTGCGAGTGTGCTGAACCAAAACGGAGGAAACCGCTTGTTTCGACCAAGAAGGATTTTGGTGCCGTCAGCCGAAACTACAGCCATAATGACGGTAGGATCTGTCCGCGGGAAACAGAGGTTGCTTATACCATGCCGAGTGGGGCAGTCGGCTCTCTCCTTTGGTGCACCGCCTTCAGGAACGCCTGCTAGGTCTGTCGGCGGACAGGACCGTTTCCAGCCGGCATTGATAGACGTGGTTGGCTGACCACAGCCACCGCAGAACGGGTTCCGGCTATTCCAGTCAAGCAAAGCACGAGCTTCTGCGAATATCGCCGCTACTTCATTGTGAGCATATTATCTTTGTAGAATACAATTACGCTAGTACGCACCATCTGGGGCATTTAAAGTTAGAAGCCTCCTCCCATCGATGAAAGAGACACCGTTGGCCTTAACAATATCCACGATACTCTTAGCTTTGGCTTCGATGGTACCCTTAGGCGTGACATCGACAGCAAAGTACGGTTTGCCTTTGTAATCACGATACTGGAAGTCGGGCTTCTTTTCATCGATACCGAGGAAGAGGACGACAGGTTGTGTAATAGCCGAGTTGAAGTCTTTAAGCTGCTCCTGCTCAGACTCTTTGAAAGGCTCCTCTCCCGTCAACGGCACTACTACATCTCTAGCAACATAGGATAAGTTTGCGTGGTCTTTAGCAAGCGGCGACAAGTTATCTAGTAGTAAAAATGCCGCGCTAGGATGAGCGAAGGCAGCGCGCAAAAAGCCATAATCGGTCCTGAGAAATGAGATTCGGTTCAATGGGCTACCGCTAAAGTAGTTGGCGACCTCGCGGCCGAATTTCCTCGACAACATTGAGTCGTCTTCAGCAAGGACCGGGAGATCCGGAGTCGGGTGCCCCATTACGCTTTGATGTTTCTTATTGTTTTCAGGTTGGAGGCTTGCTGATGTGGGGTTGGTTGGGCTCTTTAACGAAGCCCGCTGGATATATAGGTAGTAATTATAGGTATTGACAAAAAATAAATACGAGGAAGACTCTAACCTTTTAAGTAACAACCAAATAATAACGGGTCGGCCCGGATTTTGGGGAGTTAGTAACTATTAAATATTACACGTTATTTTCTATGCGGGATGTGTATCTGTTGATTGGTAATACAGAGTTATTCTTTCTGATATGTACCATAAAAGACTCCCGATTACATAGTATAGTGGGGTTATTTCACGATGGCGATAGCTCAATAGGTAGCTGTTGGTCTGATTCGCCGATACCGATGGCCGGCGTTTTGCGGGAAAAGTATGTTACCCCTTTCTGCCATTGGCTCCGAGTTCTCAGCTACATACAAGGTACCTAGAGGTCGGTAAGTACATACCTCCTAAGCTGCAGGAACACGTAGGTACCGATGTTGCAAGTAAAGTGGTTTTCAAAAGCCTAAAGTAATTATATCGTCAGCTTATATATTTCCTAATTGTTTGTTGATGAAGAGATGAATCCTTTGAGTTCTGAGGTATTAAGCAAATATAAATCCACGCTAAGAATTATAGTACGTGAAGACTATCGGGCGGGTTCCAATCTCGAGGATCTTGAAATCTTGTTTACGGGGAAGTTCTTGTTTGAGATCCGGGACAACATTAGGTGTGTAACGGTTAGCCCTATCGGCGTTGAAATTCAAAAGGGTTCAGCATCCTCGCAGGGTGCATGCATGTGGGGTAAGGCTTGTGCGTCATCAGGGCAGCAGCTAACTTTTAGAAACAGAAACTTTTCTTGTTCCGGGGGCCGCCCGCCGCTATGGCGCAACATCCCATTTCCGTCAATCTTGAAAATTCCTTTCGCGAACAACTTCTTTCTGGCCGTAACTTGTAGTTGTATTCATAATTGGATATTGGATATCATACTTTACTCTCTAAGCTTACACGTGCTAACCTACCTAGTGTATTATCTTCACTGACACCTTTTCTATGTGCCATTGGAGCTTTGGTTACCCCTGACGTCGGTCTTATTACACAGCTATTATCCCCTGAACTTGCGCTACTGATGGCTCCTCCTACGGAGCCTCTAAACCTCGATGTCGAAGCGATATCAGGTATCTGCGGGTGAGCAGAGCATTTCATATTAAATTATATAAACTAACTTTTCTCTCCTCGCTAACGTCTCGTGGTTTTTTCGTAGCTCCATCTCGATTGCGGCATGGGTCGTAGTTTTCTCACCCCAGATCATAGAAAATTTCCGACGAGGTTCCGCCGATGGATTGTCCGTTCCCTTTATCATCCTCTGGCTGCTTGGCGATGTCTTCAATATACTCGGTGCCATACTTCAAGGTGTACTGCCGACTATGCTCATCCTAGCATTTTACTACACGATAGCCGATTTCGTTCTTTTGGCGCAATGCTTCTACTACAAGGGTTTTACATGGAAGGACGAAATCCCGTCATCCCCGCCGAAACCGCCAAACGTCGTAGTTGTCGGTGAGCCTACTGAGATAACAGGATTGTTAAATGGCCACTTTCATGAGAGGGAAAGAAGAGGCAGTGATTGGTCTCATCTGAATCCGACTGTGCCAATGGTGTCGGAGGCTCCGATCACGCCCCCGCGTACGCCAACGAGACTACAGTCAATAATGTGGAATTTGGTGGCTGTTCTTATGGTCTGCGTAGCGGGCGTGGTTGGATGGTTGTTGAGCAGACAGTATTCAAACGGTCAGCACGATTCACCCGCGGACGAGAGTCTTCCTTCATTCGATCTTTGGGGTCAGATCTTCGGTTGGCTATGCGCTCTTCTCTACCTTGGGTCGAGGCTCCCCCAATTGCTGCTTAATTGGCGTCGCAAATCAACCGAAGGTGTAAGCATCTTATTCTTCCTCTTTGCTTGCCTGGGAAATTTGACCTATGTCCTTTCGATCTTCGCCTACGAGCCTCACTGTGCCAAATCACAATGCCAGCCTGGCGAGGCAGAGCGGATATATGGGAGATACATACTTGTCAACTCCAGTTGGTTAGCTGGTAGCTTAGGGACATTGCTCTTAGACCTGGGCATATTCGCTCAGTTTTTCATCTATAGTAAGGATGAGTTAGCGGACGAAGAAGAGGCAATCGAAGATGAAGAAACCATTGCTGATGAACAGCAACTCGATGGCCGGCCGCTCCTACAGCGGACTGGTTCTGGTCTTCCATATATTCCATAAACTGGAGCAATAACAGCACGCCATACTAATAATTGCATTCACCGGCTTACGAAATGGACTTGGTACTGGAACGGAAAAGGCGGAAAAGGGTAATGGAGTTCGGGATAACATTTATTCTCCCTTGATCTAAAAGAAAACTTATAAGTGTGTAGCTAGGCTACTAACAAGACGTTGCATTCTTAATACCAAATAGGGATACTTAGGACGGTGTACTATATTATTCTTTGAGATACAGTTAGGATATGCAGCAATGCTTCAAGGAATATGGAACCAAAAGCTACTTTTCTATTACTCAATCCTTTATTTCAAACAATTATATATTCTTCTCGCTCCTTTCATGAGGCCATGTGCAATAGTTACCTCTACCGTCTTGTTATATTACCTAGGCTCTGCCATCGAATCTATTCCGCAGTACCTTCGAATAGATGACTATAGCATAGTCCTCCTTATGGAACACTACTCTATACTTCTAAAGACGGCGAGATGCAATCATACTTATCTTATCGATGATAGTACTGCTCGGCGCCTTCACTGGAGGTCATGCTTGAGTATCCTATGGAACCGTTCGCTTTCAACGTTACCAGACCGTTAGTTGAGTATCTACCTAGGTATGCTTGGTAAAATAAATAAATAAATAAAAACCTAACGTATTATTTGGCTACCTCATCGCTAACCTAGTAGAGAGATAGGAGGGATCAAGGATCACACAGGTCAATATTGTTAGATCCACCAGGGTAAGTAGATAGCATATAACAAAGACAGCAATAAGCTTAATTCGCTGATACGATGCACAGATTGATACTATTGAAGCAAATACTCTCGGACATTATCATTGGCTCGTCAAAAATCTGTACTAAGTCAAACGTTGCCGGAGTTTCGTATCTCGTAGACTACGGAGAAACCTTGCACGCACGCCCGTTTCACGACCTCTCACCATATGTGAGTCTACTGTCTACTACCTATTTCAATGCTCCTGTCGTGATATACCAAACAGTCGTCCAAGTCACCCATGGCTGTAACCACGATGCGTTTGTTGTATCGCCGTTGTTCAACGAAGGCGATGCGTTGGACATGAGTCAAAGAGATAGGAGATGGGATAGATCAATTAGGAGGGGGGTTTAGGGGGAATTTACTAGGTTCAGCCGCTTATCGACTCAAGTTAACAAGTGTCAAATGTCGACGGCGCCAAGTGGGTTTCGCTGATCTGATCGACAATCCAGAACTGCCAGAACTGCCAAAGTACTACCTAAGCTGACTCGGCTCGAGATTGCGACGCGCCGCCGTTTTCGGCATGCCCTTCAAAAGTCCGTTTAGTATTTTTTTTGTCATGTATTTTATCCCTATTTCCTATTTCCCTATTTTTTTATTTCGCCTCTTCCTCTTCCGAAAAATCTTCAAGGAGCCGTCGATATCACGCCACATACCTTGATGTGGAATTCTAGCCCAGCGATGGACTTAAGACCTAAGTCGATCATTGTCAATCTCTAATTTTTGAAACGTCCAGCACATCTGTACTTGGACGGCCCAGAACTTAAAGGGGGTCGCAGTTTAGTAGAACTAGCAGACTACAACTACCGGCCCTGGTCTAAGTGGCATCCGCCGATATTGCAGCCGACGTAACCAAGCATCGGATATGAGAATAATACTAGGTACATCCCCAGACATACCTAACCTTACGAGCCTCCTATCCAGTGGAAACGTGCGTGAGTAGGTCGCCTTGTTACTTCTCATTACCTTGTAGTTACACTATTATACGCTGCTGGATTTATTGGCTTGCATGAGCTTAGCATCGTAATACAACAGCTCGTCGGGGATTCGTCAGAGATGATCTGATTGATAAAGGAATAGAAGAAAAATACATAGTAATAAAAAGGATTGTACCGTTAAATGGGATGGGTACCATGTAGGTTAGGCATGTAGGCACCCTTGTTCCCGACAGCACGGAAGTCCCGCTATCGTTCAAGATTGAAAACAAAGTCTGGGGACGGGGACGGGGTCCACGCCCTGCGCTACCTTAGGTATGTACTGCGCTGCGCTACTGGAAGCGCAGATGTTGTGCTGGGACCACAACTTGAGCTGTATCACTATCGACATCATCTTCTGGAGTTGACGACGAATTGAAAATGGTTTAGAGAAATAGTTGTTTAACGCTCACTCCCACTTGTGGTGCCATGGCATTGCTTCGTTCATATGTGTTCCGTCTAGATGCAGACATTAACTTACATGGCCGTAGGTGATTGGTTTGCTATGCCGTCTTATACACTACAGATATACAGATGCGCTAACGGGGTCAAAGATATTCCCACGGTTCGATTCGCAAGCCTCACGACGGATCGGCAGCGAGAGGAAAAAGGAAGTAAGTACCTCTTTATAACATGTATGTGAAGAATTATACGGGCATACGGATTATATACCTGGTTAGGTAGGCTTGGACATGTTACTCTGCTTTTAACTGAGAACCCGGATTCCCGTATTTTGACTGACACGGCAGAACCTGCGATGTACATACATACCTACCTAGTACCATGTGGTAGCTTCGAAGTTGAGGCTTAGGCAGGCTGCCGGTGGGACTGACTCGCAAGCGAACGGTGTTGAGATAATGCATAGACGAGATCACCCGACCCCCTTTCGCTGACGAATGAAGATCTGTGGGGGGTTGAAAACAACAGCTGGCACGGACTTCCTGCGAGTAATACATAATACCTACTTCTTCCTTCGAGTCATCGCTTATTACTTTATTACTGTACCGCGTTCTACATGTCGAAATTTCTACGTAATAAGTCTCCGAACCAGGCCCTTTTTTCTTTTTTTCTTGTTGCGTGCTTGGACCACCCCGGACTTCATGCATCAATATTTTCTTTGCACGGACAAGTTACGGAGCGTACTTTTGTATATCTACACATCTACCACCGGATCTGTGTTACCGGGGCTTCGGTATACCGTATCGCACCGTATCACAATCTAGAGTCTAGAAGTCTAGATATCTTTTCAACTACACTATCAACTAATATTTAACTAATATGGCTTGTTTTGCGCTAGTCATCCAATTTTGCGGTCTAGGACTGTTTGCTCTAGAAATTCTAAACCCCCTTTTTTTCAATAATGGAAACTAGTGTAAAGACTTGGAGAGGCAGAGAGGACCCTGGCGATCCCGGATCTGCCTGTCCGCCTGTCTGCCTTTTAGTTGGCACACTATCCCCGCCGGTGATCGCTCCGCCGGTCTCCACCAGGGGTCCAAATCCCCCAACGAGAGACGGCCGCGGTCTGCAGGCTGATAGTCAGGTATTCAGGGAGCCAGGTAGTTTCTAGTGCCGCTAAATTCTAGTACCTACTGTTCATGGGTACATATACATACCGCGCCCGTTACGGCTTCGTGCGAGTGCGGTGAGCCGTCCTGCGTTTCCTCGGCAAGCCGGATCTGAATCCCTGCTCAGCTACCTCTCAAGACCCCTTGTCGAGCCTCGCCTTGCCATTGCAAACCCGGCCAGCCTCCCAGGGATCCCTTGGCTGCTTGGTCCCTGTATGTGCTTTATATACGTACCTTATAATGTACAGTATCTACAACAGTATCTACATACCTAGTGTAATACTAGTCGTATCTACCCAAGTCATCGGCGGATGCTTCCCCACGTCTCTCAGGAGAATTGCGCCAGATGCGCCTTGTCCCTCTGGTACCATCTGGTACCATCTGGTACAGGGGAGTATTACCCAATCATGGTAAACAGGCGATTCCGGCGGCTGGGTCTTGCCCTTTTCGAGCCTCTCTTGTGTAGGTAACAGTCTGCCTCATTGTCGGTGAGTGGTTCTGCGTGATTCATTCTTCTGCATGCCCTCCTCCCGTTCATGCTTACGCCCCATCGTTGCTCTCCAGGTGGCAACTGCTTGACTGTACGAGTTACGAGTCACAGACTCCATTGTCAGCTGTCCACTGTAAACTAGAAAGTCCTTGTGCTTTCTAATCCTTCTTTTCTTCGAACATCTTCCTGGCGTTGGGCGTTTTAAAAATCTTATTGTCCATATCCAAACTCCCGGTTTACTGTGGTCGTTGTAAGTCTAAAGCGCATAACCGATTCAAGCACGCGTCCGGTCCTAGTTGATTGACCATTGGATACTCTATACTCTATATTTCCTATTGCATACCAAGATCCGTCATTTTCACCAAGGCTTATGAAGCTATAATACACCTGAGGTTGACTGGATATATTTGGTGGGATAACCCAAAATTCACCGGACTTCATCATGTCTCGGCTGCCAGACCAGCGAGACCTCACCAGATTCGGATATAGTTCCTCGAGCGAATCCGACGAAGCCCCGCGTAAAGCGAACACGACCAGTTCAAATAATCAAAATCAGAAGAAGAAAAAGAAGCGCAAGCCCCCGCCTCAGCAGAGCATCAATAAGATATGGAGACGATTCACTACGAAGCAGTTTACCAAGGCGCTCGCGGTTCTACCCTTCGACCCCGTGCCACTCCCAAGCACCCCGGAGCGCCCGAACGAACTTCTAATAACAGGGTATGAGCGTGCGAGAGAAGAATGCTCGCGCAAAGTAAAGAAGATCATTGCAGAATGCAAGCGTGTCAACACCCGTTATAGAGATCCAGGATTTGACCTAGTACGTTCCAGTTCTGTCGTTCTTCTAAGACAAGGAAATCAAAACTGACAATTATATGCGCTATTAGGATTGGGACCTTAAGTGGCTCAAGGGCAATTGTCTGAATTACTTAGGATCGCGCAAATTTGACATATCGAACTCTAGACTTGGTACTAATACCTCTGTCCCCAAAGCTGTTAAGCGAGTGCACGAGATCTTCGAGAAACCGACATTTATGAAGAATATAAGTGCCGGGGATGTGAAGCAAGGCTCACTCGGTGACTGTTGGCTCATTGCGAGTTTGAGCGCATTGGCCAACGTTGAGGACGGAATTAAGCGCATGTGCGTTGAATACGATACTCGTAAGTTATAAACATGGCGCATCACATTATCAAATTCTCTACTATTTTGCTGACACGAAATAACAGGGATCGGAATCTATGGCTTCGTGTTCTACCGAGACGGCGAATGGATTTACTCTATCGTCGACGATAAGCTGTACCTTACTTCGCCATGCTGGGATTCGCCAAGTATGCAGCGCGAGATGCTCCAGCAGATTGACCGTGAAGAGCCCGAGAAAGTATACCGTAAGACCTACCAGACCGGGTCCAAGGCTTTGTTCTTCGGCCAGTGTAAAGACCAGCATGAAACCTGGGTTGCATTAGTTGAGAAGGCATATGCCAAAGCTCATGGTGATTATGGTTCGTTATCTGGCGGTTGGATCGGCGAGGGGTTGGAAGACCTTTCTGGCGGCGTCACCACTGAGCTTCTAGCATCCGATATCCTTGATGTCGATGCCTTCTGGGAGGATGAACTTTGCAAAGTGAATCAGGAGTTCCTCTTTGGTTGTTCTACCGGCCTACTCGATGGTGGTTATGGCGATCGCAACGGGATCCGCGAGGGACACGCCTACGTTGTGATGGATGCTAGAACACTCAAAAATGGTCAGCGTCTAGTAAAGCTCCGGTAAGTCTTTTTGAACCTGTAACATATTTGACAAGCCTAACTAAAGAACCAGCAACCCCTGGGGCAAGACCCGTAAAGGTATTTGGGAGGGACCGTGGTCAGACGGCTCTAAAGAATGGAACAATGATGTCAAGGATGAGCTGGGCCACCAATTTGGAAACGACTCCGTCTTTTGGATCACCTATGAAGATATGCTCGAGAAATATCAACACTTTGATAGGACTCGTCTTTTCCGAGATCCCGACTGGAGGTGCTGCCAGCGATGGATTGGTGTTGAAGTACCGTGGAAGGCCCAGTGGAACGAAAAATTCCATATCAAGCTGACGAAAGAATCTCCCTTGGTACTAGTGCTCCAGCAGCTTGACGACAGATACTACAAGGGATTACACGGACAGTATAGCTTTAGAATGCACTTCCGAGTGCATGAACAGGGGCGCCCGGACAGTGAGGATTACATCGTCAGGTCCCATGGTAACTATCTTATGGAACGCTCCGTCTCGATCGAAATACCATGCATGGAAGCCGGTAACTATTCGGTATTTATTAGTGTTGTGGCAGAGCGCGATACCGATATATCCTCTATCGAAGACGTTGTCAAGCGTGAATGCCGCAAGCGCGTGGAAAACGAGAAGCTAGCCCAAGTAGGCTATGCGTACGACTTAGCCCATAGCAAAGGCGTGGCGCATCTTGAGCAGGTCGCGAAGCTCCGTAAGAAGTCGGACCAGAAGAAGGCGAGTTCCTCGCGTATGCATGAACGTCGCAAGATGTGGGAAAAGCGACATCTAAACCGCGACATCACGAAGAAGCAGACGAAGAAGAATCAAGAGAAGCGCGATAAGTGGCGCGCAGCAGAGGACGAGAAGAGAAAAGCCAAGGCAGAGGCTGAAAAGGCCAAAGCTGAAGCCGAAGCTGCTGAAAAGAAAAAGCAGGAAGAGGCAGAGGCCGCCGAGAAGAAGAAGAAAGAGGAAGCCGAGGAAGCCGAGCGCAAGAAGAAGGAAGAAGAGAAGCCTAAAGATGTAGCTGTCCAGACAGACGACACTAAACAGAGCGAAGATAAGAGCAGCCAGACCGAGGAGGCGGTAGATACCAAAAAGGAGGATGCTGGTTCCGACTCTGCAGACAAGCCGAAGGAAGAGTCAGATGATACTCCAAAAGAAGCCGCAGCGGACGGCCAAAAAGACGACTCAAAGGACAAGGACGAGACCGACGGCACTAAGAAGGATGAGGATAAGTCCGCCAAGGAGGCACCTGCGGAGGAAAAGTCTACTGAGGAAAAAGCTGCTGAAACGAAAGTCGCCGAAGAGAAAGCTGCTCAAGAGAAGGCCAATTCTGCTGGCAACGCCACCCCTGCTAAGACCAGTGGACAAAAACAACAACCCCCTCCATCCCCTCAAGCCTACTCATCAGAATGCGATTCATCCGACAGTCCGGTCGAAGACTGGGAACTACTCTACTCATCGGACGACATGTCCAAGAAGCCACGGATGGCTACGGCACCACCTGCGACCACTAACAATGACAATGCCGTAGAGAGCGACGGCGAGTCAGGCATGCCGGACCCATGGAACGCGATCTGCATCGTCGGGTTCCGGGTGTACTCGAAAGACGAGGACTTGGACCTGCGCGTCGTGCTCGAGGGCGGCGACATGGCCGAGAACGGCATGGGCGAGAAGGGCCCCGCGGACATCGACAACGCGCAGATGAACGCCGGCGGCGAGCGCGCGAAGCAGAACAAGGATGTTACGGACGAAGTCGAAATCGTCGACGGCGAACTCGTTCACAAGAAGAAGATTGTGCCGGATAATGACGACGAGCAGCAGAAGAAGAAGGGCGATCAAGATGAGGAGGGGAGGAAAGACGATCAAGAGGTGAAAGATTATAACGAGGCTAAAAAGGAGGAGGATGAGAAACATGAGGATGAAGAAGGCGAAGCAGACGTAGATGCTCACAAGTCAGACGATAAAGACGACTGTGCCAAATCAGACACCTCCGAGTCGTCCGTCGACTCGACGCCCATTCCGACACCCGATTCCGACTCGGGAGACTGCAGTCCGCAGTACTCGGCAGCCGAAAAGACAGCCGGCGACTCATCATCAGTAGCCAAGCCCTCGACTTAAAGAGGGATATTATCTTCCATTCCATTCCATCCATCATACGTTTCCCAACGGAACGAAATTCCCCCAGCATTGCGTATTTCTTTTCAACAATTAATTACCTACCTACCTATTTTATCGCGTTCGGAGCATGGATACCTTTTCTTTTTTTTGCGCTCTTTTCTCTCTCGTATTCGCGGGCATTGATAGATGATTTTACGATTTCCGGCTATATAAGTCGCTACGAATAGGACGGGCCTGGTTGGTTGGCTGGTTGGTTGGTTGGTTTTACGAATCGGATAGGGTTGTTGGGGATGGATGGCCTGGCTATTATGCATCGGTGTGGTGGTTGGCGGTGGTGGTGGTGGCGGCGGGCGGCTGGAAGGGATAGATGAAGTTATAGAGTCACGAAATTGTCACCTACTTAGGTAGGTAGTCTCTCTGAATATCTCTTTCCACTCCATAGGATCGACGACACGACTCAAATAAAAATGAAAATTCCAACATCATGTCACATTGGCAGAGTTTTACTAGTATTATATGACTTGTTCGATAAAGGCCATCCCTACCTAGGTAGCTTAGGTAGGTACCTAGGCATTATTATCGACGTATACGCTTCCTCTAAGCTACCCAATATGGGTGTTATCTCTATAGGCTCTAACAGCGTCACGCGGCATAGTTTCAGCTGCACAACTCACAGTCGTTCAACGGTAATGAATACCTCCCACTAATCTATATCCCAGCGAATCAACCCTCCACATCGTGGAATGCACCATCAGCATCATCCGACGGTAAACTCTGCGCTTCGCTAGCAATGCGACGCCTCCTCTCGACCCTACGCCTCCAGGGCCTGTAGGCAAGGACGGAACCGAGCCCGACGACGAGGAATAGTCCGCAAATAGAGCCGCCGATGATATCGAAGTGGTCGCCGATCTCGCCGAGACCATCCCAGAAGGAGCCCTCGGGTTCGGCAACATTCTGCACAAGCGACAGGATCTGGATGACGCCGATAAACGCCGAGACGACGACCGTGATGCCCGTCAGTACGATCGAGTAGTACAGGATGGCGACTGTATCACGCGCGAATGCCTTGGACGAGTATAACGCCATCATGAGGGCTCCGTCCGTCGTGTCTAACATGCACATTCCCGCTAAAAGTTCCGGCGGATGTTAGTGAATGTGAATTTAACCCAATCATTCTCCCTCTTGATTTTCTTGGGGAAAGTGTAAGAGGGAGAGCATACCTGTGAACAAGAGCGGGAATATGAGAATAACCCAAAGACTTGTCCCCTGCGCCCCTTGAATGCTTGCGATACCCAAGATAGCAATCTCAGAGCTTGTGTCGAACCCGAGTCCAAACAAGACGCCGAGAGGATACATCTAGCCATATCAGATCAGTGAACTGTTTCCAAATGGATATATATTAGGGTGCTTGAGTTACAAATGCATGATAGGATTTGTTGCGCTTAAGGAGCCAACGGCGGAAAAGGGGTCAATAAATCACGGGCTATATCTGAACCCAATGAAGAAAAGGAGCATACTTTCCACGGCCGGTCGACAATGCGAAATAGTTTCCGAAACACAGTAGCAAGGAACCCAGCGCCCTCGAGCTGCAAGTTAGTCGCAGCCTGATCCTCGTCTGCTCCGTCTTCCTCCGAGCGATGCGGGTCCGCCTCGCGGAGGACGGCACGGAGACGGCACACAAGGCGATACAAGACCCAACCGTTTCCAAGACACAGCAGGATGAGGAACGCAGCGCTGACGCTAGTGCCTATGATCCCACCGACGTACTGGAAATTGTCGAACCGGTCGCGTAGGGCGCCGCTAGTAGCCGCCACAACGATACAGGTAATAATGACGATGGTAGAGTGGCCCAGACTGAAGAACGTGCCTACGGTCACGGGCCGCTGTCCCGACGCGATCAGTCGCCGGGTCATCAGGTCGATGGCGCTGATGTGGTCGGCGTCGAGCGCGTGTCGTAGGCCTAGCGTGTATGATAGGACTGCTGGGCTGATCATGGTTGGGTAGTAGTGCAGTACTACGCCGACCGCCGCCCAGACGATCATGTTGGCGAATATCAGCGTCCCGATGATTTGTACCACGGGTAGTGGGAGAGCCTTCAGCCGGCCCGGGAGCGGAAGGGCGCATTGTGAAGATAGTCGTGGCATCTCTACTCTCTACCTAGGTAGACAGGGTCGTTGTCTATTAGAGATTTCAGTTGTAGAGACTAACCTAGAAACTCCCTGTCCCAACTATATCTCGATATCAAGTTTTCGACTCCTCGTGGTATCGCAGAGCAGGAGTATAATACCAAGGCAAAAGCAACAAAATAATTATTACAAGCTCGCCCCCGCACCCGCCGACAGACGGGATATGAATAATAGACGTGTCGCATAATGTGCCCCGCGTACGGTATAAGATAGACGCTTGATCCAGGGTGCCGGTGCTAGCCCTAACCATCCCGGGCATTGTATATTGTATTGTATATTGTATTGTACTATAATATGCAACCTTCTCCTCCGGCGCTGGCCGAGGCTGATAAGATAAAAGTTTAAATTGATTACTATCATCTTTTATTATTATTACTCAATAGCTGCACTTATATTATCACTTCATCCTTTTTTTCATCCTTTTTTTTTCTTTCGCTACTAGATTACTTGGCATTCTCACTCCAAGTCATTAACGCTACGACGGTTTAAGGAATAATTGGTTAACAAGGCTTAGTCTTTAGTATTCGGGACATATCAAAGGAGAGATATCATTCATATTTCAATGAAATAGTGATATTTCTTATAATAATCCTAGTTTAACTCTATGATGTATAATTCGCATCTTGCTCATATTAAAGGCTTCATGTGATAGAAGCATTGTTCACGATGAGGCTGATATGCTTCTTATCTACTGCAGGATATATTCAGGCTCATAGTAGGCAAATAAGATTGACTAACCATCTAAGCGTTTATATAAAGAGGTCCCCTAGTATAGATCAGATGGCTTTCCTTCTTTTTCTTCAACCTCTAATCTATAATCGATGATCATCAGGTACACACTTAAACCTTTCAAAGATATACATAAGACCAATATCCAGTAGGAGAGAGACGCTGGACGGGTTGTTGCAGCCCTACATAAAACGGTACCTAAACACGGGTCATATTCATAGAAGGTATTTACCCACGCGAAGTTGTACTTGTGCGAAGAGGGAAGTGGTGCATAAAGTAGAACCCGACTTGATCCCTCTTTAGTAATCTCTTCTTGGACTTACCAAGCTTATGAGGTAGCTTCTACTTATATTACCTAACGTCTGCTTATACATATCCTGCCTATATTAGTCCCGCATACAGCTCCCATACTCTTCAACGCCCTTGGAAATCTAGCTGATCCTACCCACGCTTCCTATTGGGCCAAGTGGTCCCAATGTGAGATCCCATGGTTTCTAGAGATCTGCAATATGAAACACATATGAACGTCTGCGTAACAGTCGGTTTCTCGGCATCTCTCTTCAAAATGCTATAGAAGACCTAGGTATGGTATATTCTTCTTAGTTGCCCATCAGACTCAACACGACGAAGAGACAATCTACCACAAGGGTTGGCACTCATCGATCCGAGTATTTTCATAAAATTCCCAATTATACCATCGAGTTCAAGATCGCACGCCTAATACTACCCTCGCCTCATCTTACTCTTAGCGCCTTACAAGGTTCAAAAGGGCAGAGGGGATCGGGCACGTATACTCATCTGACTGGGTTAGCGGTATACTGTTACGTTAGCAGTAGAAAATTAACTTTTATTATCCTTTATCCTGTCATCGATGGGCACCTTTGAAGGTGGACTAGAGACGATATGCTATAGATAAAACGCAACCCAGGGTACTTCGCTACTTCGCGTGGCCAATCTTACGCCTACCAAGCCATAAGCACCTACTAGCACCACTATCACCATTGTATGTATACAAATGTGGCGTGCGCGTTTGAATCACCAAGTAGTATTCAGATCGAACAGTGCAATATGCTTAGGATACAGGAAATCTCGAAAAAGTGCACCTTTTCAGTCGTAACTCGAATCTTTGCATATCTGTCCTACGTAGGTTCCCTCTTAGACATGGAAAAAGAAGTTATATACAGCTTGAGCGTTTTGATAGTTGAGGCAGACTGCTCCAACTCGATCTAGTTCGTTATCATGATATCATTCCGGTATTTAAGGATGAATGCCCCATGTAAATTCGAATAGCGCCGTCCACGAAAACCCCCCATGTTATGATGATGATATAGTGAGAGGAGATAATTTGTAATCGTCTTGTATGCCGACGTTGTCTCTTCAGGACCATAGCTAGTCCTTGAATCTAGCTGGTGGGCGTGGTAGTACCTAAGTAGGTAGGTAATTGCGTGTTTATGATCATATGAGCTCGAGCCGCGTGTAGAACTGGGTTGTCGTGTCGTTCCATTAGCACTCTCGTAGTGCTTCTAGATTTATGCTAAAAATATCCCGAATTCGAGAATTGGGCGTGGGTGTTGGGATATTCCGCGAAATAATTGGTTCTCCTCGAGCCTTCACTGCTTCACTACGTGGTGTAGCATTTGGAAAGCACAGCCATGCCTTCTAATGATATCCGAAATCTTTTTCTTAGCCAGCCCAACCGATGAACACGCCGTGTTAATGTTCTGGCTCGTAGCCGTCTCCTCCAAATTTATCCTTCTGCTAGATAATGCGTCGATAGCTGCTAATGACCCCATTCGTATAGTACTGGACGTGGGCGAGTTCCTTATATCTTAACTAGTAGGTACCGTGCTAGTATAACGTGACCGACTTGATATTTTCTGGTTGGGAAGGAGAAAGGTCCGAACGAAGTCGTCGAGACTCGATGTATTTTCACAGTCTTGATAGTGCGTAGCAGGACGAGTACTCAGCTCATGCTCGGAAAATATCTAACGAGTTAGTAGCCCTGTTAGTATAATAAGGGGTGAAGGCTCGTGGGATAGTTACTAGAAGTTTGGTGTTAAAGATACCACACCCCAAGAGCTGGTAAATTGCCATCTTAGGCCAGCTCAATACCCGTGAGCCATACAGAAGCTTCAAGCATGAATAATCATCTGAAATGCAGATCTTATAACACTTCTCATAATTTGTTCGAATAGCCACGGTTCTGGTTAGTTTTACCGATGGCTATACCTTTATCTTTGTGGGATACCTTCATGAGTCATCACTACTTATAACTTCGTCTTCCTCGGCTTTTAGCAACACGAAATGTTTTGGGATGCTAGGTTCATGTGTTAGCCCAACTAGCTATCCTCACCATTTTGGCTATACTACACGAACAACTTCAACAGAGGCCGGGCGCTCGTCGGTCTGGGGTAATTAAGGAGGGCGACGTAGACCCTTTACTTCCTTCGGCTGAAGCGACGTCTCATCCTACGAGGGTACATCCTGTTGGGATAACGTCCCTAGGAGCTGTTGACGGTTCCTAACCCTTCGTATTAGAGGGTTTTATGCTTTTGGGGGTAATTCGTTGCTCATGCCACAGGTACCGAGCTCTTGCTTACCTGAGCTCGCCAGTTGTGAACTCCCGAAATATCGCCAACTCATGAAAGGCGCTCGCTAGGGTCTGTACTTGTGCCTCCCTCGGATTCGTCATCGCTAGCTCAAGGTCGACCATGAAGCTTGCTCGAACTGTAAATTGGGAATCATATCGTTGTCCTATTTTTCTCATGTCATTTAGGACAGTATTTGCCTCGGGGGCAGATAAAAACCCGTTGCGCAAGGCCATGCTTAAGAGCCCAAGCATAGTCACCTCAGCTACCTGGAAAGAGCCGTCTACTCCGAAATCAGTATTCCATCCAGAAACAAGAGGCGTTCGTCATTTCTGAGAAATACACTCCATAAATATGAATTAGTGTGATACATGCGTGTTCACAAATGCATAATCAAGTAATGTGAAGGAGTGGGCATAAGGAGACAGCATCACATACTGAGGAGAAGTTAGTATTTGAATGAACGATTGAAGACACAAGCTCCATGAAGGAAATCAGATCCCCGAGGTGTAAGAGAGCCTGCGTTACGTACCACATATTCTCGTAGCCCGTCATGCAAAGCATGAAGTAGAACCAACACTCCGGGTTTCGCAGCTTACCAGAACGCATGGTTTCGCAGAGCATCGCGTTGGATAAATATAGGAGAGCGATATGCCACAACGTTGACGAGCACGCATTGTTGAAATTAATGCAATAAATGAGAGCAAGTCGCTTCAGCTGATTTACCGAGGATTCGTGTATGTCTTTTATAGCAGCCGGAGTTGTGAGGTGCTTCATCTTTAATTCCTTGTTGGCAGACTGCTGTAGGAATGGCCAAAACAATTCCATCACGGTACAATGGTAGTAAAGACTACGCCGAATATATGTTAGAATGATGAGGTGGGCTGAAGCGAGCAATCAAGAAGCCGAAATAAATCATGTCTGGCCTAGAATGACCATATTCGGCAAAGGGACCTTACTGTAACATCAAGTTGGAATGACGGTTGCGTCTCCCCCGCGACAGTCCAAGGGGAAGCGATGCTGCCCATTCGAACATCCTTCGATATATCTGTTCGGCGAATTCAACCGTCGCTCGGGCAGCAGGAACGGTATTGCTTGTCCCAAAATAGGCCCAGATGATATCGTGAACGATCAAGTTGAGCTTACACATCGCTTTGAAGGCCTCGCTAACTTGGGTCGACACAAGAGTCCGTTGGTGTGGATACGTATTATAATTTGTGTGTCCATGGGCCTCGGAGTACTGCCCCGGCATGGGAAGCAGGGGTGGTGTCTCGATCTCTGCTCGATGTAGATGCAAGGAACGTACGCTAGGATATGTGGCCATGAGTACTTGCTAGAAAAGATATATCGGAAGCAGATTGTAGATCTGGGCGGTAAGGCCAACTCACCAAGCGCACGAGAATATACCCCACGAGGTGTGACTTGCAGCTCTGAGCCAATCTTGGTGATGATCCAACCAGGTTAGGGCCGATGCGTTCTCGGAACCCACCCCAAAGACTGCCGCGCTCGGGGTTAGCATAGCCAATGATTTGCTTCGTCTAGTGCATAAGACCACAGGGACATGGGTATCTTAGTGACGTCGCCGCCGCCGCACCGAACACGTTCCGGAAGTTGACTTACGGCCCATACGTTTCCCCATTTGGATACCTTCATCAAGGCATTGGTTCGCAAAATCATCACGGCCTCGAGAGGCTGATGTACTATTCAGAAATTGAGCAGCTGCCGCCGCAGTCAGCGTGTTAGTGAACTTTTCCACTTGCCATAACCTCTCAGCTTCTGACTCGAAAGCAACGCTATAGGCCGCTGCCTCTGGCTGTAAACTCGAATACGATTGCTAGGTCGCGTCAGCAACCGATCGTAATCATAGCTCACCGTACTTCTTGGACGGCCCCGTATCTAGACCAAGACTTACACAGGTCCACCCCAGTAGGGCATTCATGAGTAGGGTAGAGCAGAAATGAGTCTTCCCCTGTATACAATCATTTAAGAACAAATCGGCATCAAATAGGGGGCACCATGGATGATCAATCTCCAAGTACAACGAGATCAAGTTTGCAGCTAGCTCGTTCGTAATAGGTACGGTAGTCCAGTTCTGGAAGTTCACACTCTTCAGTCGGTCGTCAACAATCGTGTGCATCGATTGCAACGGTTCAAAGTTTCCTATTTCACGGTCACTCGCGTCTAATACAGTTGGCGTCACCCCACTTCTAATGCCGCTCTCACTCGGGCCAGCAGGGACGATTGAGGATGATGGTGTGTCTCCTTGTCCGGCGCTGCGAACGCACGTTAGCATCGTGGTGGCGAGGTTATAGGGTCCATGAGGTATGGTATCCACAAACCCAACCATAAGGGAAGCATACAAGCTAGGCGCTCTCGGCGGTTCAAGAATAACAGGGCGCAATAGATCGGCTAGGTTAATAAATGCAATCTCAACCGGAATCAGCATCGGGTAGGCGGTTGGACATCGCATCATGAGTTCGTATTCGGGCGTCTGTTGGGTCTCGGGTATGAGGCCTGCCATTAGCTGCCGATTGGATAGCTTCACAGGCAAGGGAGGATCGTCCTCGAGGTCTTTCTTTACAGATGCTAAAATATCGGAAGTGTCGCTCGCTCCCTCGGCTAGATTCCTGGTAGACTTTAGTCGTCTTAAAATGTCTAGAGACACGGCGTCAGGGGCTGATTCAAGCAAATCGAATATCTCTAGCATGTCTTCCGTGGATCTCCTGAGGGATTCGACCTCCCGCTTCAGAGCCATGAAAGGGGTCTCGTCGCTGCTGGCGGTGACGAAGTTGCATTCCACGCCAGCCTTGCTGCAGGCTGTGCAGGCAGGTCTTTTTCCATCACACTAACGGGCATGGGTCAACAATTCGAAGAAATCGACACGACAGCCTTGGGAGAGCAGAAGGCAGAAGGCAGAAGGCAGAAAGTGTGGTACTTACACGTATCTTCTTGAGACGGCAGTTGTTGCAGGCAGCCTTGGAAACTGTACGTTTCTTGACGGGCGGACCGGTCTCCTTCTGGAAAGCAGATTCCGATGCCTTGGCCTGAGAGCCGGGAGGCATGGGCGCCGGAAGTAGGCGTTTGTAATTTTCGGACATTGGATTCCTACAAGTCTTTTTCGACTTACAGACTCCATAACAAACTTCATGTCTACCTCACGTCGAAATCGGACATTTTGGCCCGGATGTTCTGCGACGTTAAGAATTGGATCTATTGAGAGAGGAGTCCTGGAAGCCTCCCTCGACATCGGAAACGATAGATCGAGTGTAGCCAATCATACCTGTGGGATGGTTCGGGCCTCACTCCGTGAAGCTTGGGGATCTAATCTCTCTCAAACCCGTTGCGCCTTGCGTGGTCCGGCCTCGATTAAGCGTAATTGATAACTTGAGAAAGCAAGTTAGGTAGGTATGAACTATCCTAAGGAATTGTAGCCAGTGTCAACATCCGTCAGTCATCTGGCGGAGGCTTTAGATTGGAACGCAGCGTAGTCCCGGATATACCACGTAACACGCAGCGCATCATTGGTGATGCAAAAGGATATGCAAATTGTATCGAGTACCTATCGACGTTCCTAAGCTAAAAGTGCCTAAGCCTACCTTAGTTAGGTACTCAGCCCGGACAGAAAGGTACAAGTACAGGTTTTTTTTTTTGCTTGTAGGCAGTCAAAGAACAATAAAAAGAGAGCATGTGTGAGTGATCCCAGAGAGGGAAACTTAGATCGGGGTCCCATTTTCTCATGTCGAACAGTAGCTAACTAAACTACTATTGGTTAGACCTACACTGCCAAGAGTCGCACAAGCTCTCCCAATGGCCAGGTTGACTAGACTTGCAGGGAAATCGAACCAATCACGAAAGTCTGGAGCGCGCTCCGAACCAATCAAATATCTTTCTCAGCAATTATTATCCCATTTTGGGATGTGTGGCATGTACCATAGACTTCATGGGACTTTATGGGACTTGAATCTTTTTAGAAGCGATTCATTCATCTTAACTATACCATAAGTCTACTTGACGCTCCTTCATACCTATATATATATGTATGCAACCATCTAACAGTAATATATAGTCAGTAGATTCGTCATTAGCAACAACTTATGTAACTCTCGTTTATAGTAGGAGGTATACCTACAACAGCAAAAAAGAAATGCGTCCCTTGCCAAACTTCGCTTAGAAGTGACCTTACCCAGGCAGCTATTTGTTTTTCTTGTTGGCGTTTGTTTCGAAAGTGAAGTGGCATGATTGTGCTTGTTTGTTACATACCTAGGTATGTATCAGTTACTCTGGATATTAATTTTAGGTACTCTTCCCCGTTCTAAGCATTAAGCCTCTGCCGAGACTTGATCTCTGTTTAGGGTTGAGCGCATACCAACCCAGGTAGAGACACGATTTTGATTTCTTGCCTGTAGAAATAACATGAGGTAGCTCTGCGGTACCTATAAGCAAAGCCGCGTCTTCCTTCGTACGGTTTGATATTGTCGAGTGGATGACCTCGTTGATGGCTTCGTTGGTGTTTGGGGACAAGTTTAAAATTAAAAACTCTGGTTCGAGGTGTCATCAACTTTTAAGGTGTTATGCTCAGCGCTACCTAATCCAAATACCTACCTCATAGGTAAGTAGGTTGTAAACGACCTATGAGGTACCTAGGTTGCATGTAATCTCAACAACTCATTATAATACAAGTATGCATATATTAATATTTCGCATAAATGCATATAGACGGTGGCGAAAGCTTATGAAGACTTTGTCGCATGACGCCCGACGAGATTCTAAAATCAAGAGATCGAGTTTGACCATGCGCAACGCAAAAGTATATATACGTAATAGTTAATAATATTTTATGTATATAGTAACATGTATATATTTGCCATATGTTTGTCACGACTAGTATAATAGAACATCTCACTGGTAGCACTTACAAGTTGCTATGAGATAGTTCAGGGGGGTAAACGGGACCCCTGGTATTTGCGGGCAAACGTTGCCGGGTTCTACCTATCTATTACATATATAGGTACATACCACTATTCCCACCTTCAGACATATATTACTTCTTTAGTACATCTTAGGCAGATACATGTACGTTGGCTCCCGCCACTTAGCGCCGTCTTATGGTTGCGGAGATCAACCCGCATCCAAGAAGGCATATCATTGCATCGAAGGTTCCAGGGGAAGGGGGGTGGGTTACTCTGCCTGCCGTAAGCTAAGGGGGGGCTACATGCCGGTCCTCCTTCACTAGAGGGCCCCAAAAGCAGACGAAGCCGCCACTGATAAGTATCTTGTTTACACCTCGCAGGCCTCTCCGCCACCACTCACATCTCGCCGTGGCCTTCCGCATCCGTACCCCCTATCGAGATCCGACACGACAATCAAAGTCGTCTCGGAACCCCCTCCGATCCAGGATTTTCGTCTAATATTTACGTCGACCAGCGCCCCCCAAAGAGCGAACCTCGTGTCCTGTACAACTAAGACGACCATCCCAATACCAACCGAGTCCGCCGCATGCAACACCTGTCTGCCCGAGAAAGAATCAGGACGCAATGACTCATAGTCTAGGCAACGAGGCTTTTGTATTGAGAAGTATGACTTACGTATCAACTCGATAAAACCGCAACGCGTCGTGGAGCTGCCGAATCGAGCTCCTTGCGTCGTCCAACACTGTCGAACCCATCACCGATAGGTATTGCCGAGCCCTTTACGCAGGAATAAAACGTAGATAATCGAATAGCAATACAGGAATAACATTCATAGATAAGTACTGGTGGGGGTAGGTCGGTTTTGTAACCGTCACTGACAGCAACAGGAGGAAAAATAAATAAATAGAAGCCATAGATGTGCACAGCAGCTCGTTTCGACTCCAATCCCTCTTCGAATCATGAATAATGTGTTTTGATCGAGATCTCTCAAGTATAAACGAGATATCTTCATTCGTTTACGATCGGAAAAGTTGCCCCTTAGTTTAGACTCGAAGCCGCTGAGCGGCGGATTGGAAAGCGAGCGCGCGCAGATACACCGAAAGACCATCATACGTTATACCCTCTACCATTCATCCGCTACAACTGTCGTGTTTTCCAAATTTAGTATATATCGATATCTCTATCGAATCATAAGCAACCCGAATATGCCGGCGCTAGTAAGAAATATATTCATTCATACTAGGTGGTCTATGTTACTTTCATGTATCATGCACATCTGTGCGGGATAAAATGTAAAGAGGCATCTTTCGGGCCGTTGTCCGAAGTAAGGTAGGTATTATGCATTCCACATCTTGGATCAAGTTCTCACAGGTGGTAGAAGAGGAGCCCAAATACCGCGTTTACCGGGTGGCCTTGTGTCACACACGAAGCCAAGCTCAACAACGATAGCATACTCCGTTGGGCACTATACAACCCCGAGGTAAAGTATTAGGATATGAAGTGCTTAGGAGGTCATTAGGTCAAGACGTAAGAAAGCCACACTACTTACCAACGAGCCACCGGGTTGTGTAGTCGAGACCGATTTATCCTCAATAATCAAGCATCGCCAATTCGAATATTTTGTGGCCGTATCAACACCATGGGCATATGCTCAAGAAACAATAAAAATTGGGACTGCCTTCGAGGTCTGTCGGACTAACTGTCATTTCTTTGACTAAGGTAGTAATAATGGGCCTTCACCCTATCATGTCTTCGGTTTCCTAAATCGTGGTCCTAGTATAAATGGTTTCTTAATCCTGAGCGCTAATTATAGTGGTAGTGGTAACACTCCATTCTACTATTATTAAGTACTGGACCTCTCGAAATGCCATCGGCCGTAAGTATCATGCATATTCGGTAACACTCTTGCGCCCACCGGCACCAGATTGCTCGAATTCCGCTTTCCGTATCCTCTCATGTTTGGCAGTCGTGTACGACAGTCCGGCAGTCCAGAGTGCTAACAAGATAGACACGGCAATCATAGCCCACATTCCCCTCTGTAGCATGGTTAGTGTGACAAGTCTTCAACAACAATTTCGAGATGTCGTAAGTAGTGTAAGGACTTACAGCGAACCACGGTGCCATCGACGCCCCGTAAAAGACAATGCTCCACCAGGCGTTCACGGCGTTGCTTCCCAGGTTCATACCAGCCAGCACAACAGCTCGAAACATTTGTTCCTCGTAGCGGAGAGAATCGTTGGCCCACGCGAAGAAGGTAGCCTGGCAGGCATACACGGCGCCTGCCCAGTAATAAGCACCAAACACCACAGAGGTCGATGCCGAACTCGTCGGGTCTTTGGAAGCAGCTAGGATCATTGCAGAAGTAGCCACGCCTGTGATGCCAATGAAATAACCGACGAGATAACGCTTCCCGTTAAGGTAGTCTGTGAGCGTCGCCCAGAACAAAGTCGATATAATGCCAACAGCAGGCACACCACTAGGGTAGTTGTTCAGCTGAGGAACCGTATATTTGTTCGTCGGGTGGCTCTTCATGTACAAGGCCAGCAGAGAGTTTGAACTGAAAGATTCGGTCTCGCCGGCAATGATCCAGAGCACAACGAACCCCCAGAAGAACCAGGACGAGAAGGAATTCTTGAAGAAGGCCCAAGATATTGGCGATCGCTCTTCTACCGGTGGCACGCGAGATACGGCTAAAGCCTTCTCGGATTCGGTAAGGTAGAAAGCCTCAGTCGTTGATGGCGTATCTGGGAAGAAGAGGAGACCGTAAAGTGCGACTGGCAACGTGATCTAGAAATATGCATCAACACCTTGCATGCTCGCGTTTCTATCTCCCTCTTATACCAAACACACACGAATAAGGTGTCCCAGAAAACAAGGTAAACAGCATTTCTAAATAAAATAAAGACGTAGAAAAAGAGCTAATAAAATAATAATAAAACATAGAGAAAAGCTAAGACTTACGATGCCGTCCATAATGAACAACCAGCGCCATCCACGGAGACCGTTTTTACCGTCTAGACTGGAGTGAATACCCGTCTGTATAAAGCCTCCAATCATAGTCCCAGCCAAGCCAGAAGCAGTGAATATGCCAGAGCGCTTCCCCAACTCGCGCTCCGTGTACCAGGACCCGAGGATGTAGTGGGTGCCGACGAAGGTAGTGGCCTCGACTATGCCCTGGAAGAAGCGGA